TAGACCTGAGGGGTGAAAGGAAACCACCACAGAAGTGGAGACTAAATGATGGAATTCTGGATGATAGGTCTGCTTTGCAGAAAGCAGAAAAATCTTTAAGAGACTTTTTCGAATTAAATTTGAACCAGGGAACAGATTTGAATGTGGTGTGGTAAAGTAAAGCAGTAATGCGAGGTTTTTTAATACAACAAAATACACTTCCAAGAAAAATGGGGGGGGGGGAATACTGGAGGAGATAATCAAAAATGAAAACAATGAAAACCTTAAAACAAAATATAAAAATGTTACAAACACAATTTTCAATGTTGGCGAGTCAATAAATTGAATGGAAAATCAAAATGTTAAAACAAAGGAATTTTGAATTCGCCAATAAGCCGGGAAAACTGTTAGTATGGCAATTAAAGAAAAAACAGAGTGAAAATTTAATAAATAAATTGAAAGTAGAAGATAAAATAATTGATGGCCTGAAAGATATAAGGAAACATTTTGTAAGATACTATATGGAAGTATATCGAGCCGGAGAGGAACATAAAGATAAAACAGAAGATTATTTAAAGCAGAATAATTTACCAAAAATTCTGAAAGAGAAGATTGATTACCTGAACACACCAGTTACAATGATGTAGGTACAACAGGCAATATGTGATGGCCTGGGAATCGGATTCAGAGGCTGAACCTGAGGAATCCCAGCCTGCACAGGAGTCCCCACCTCCAGGACCGGCTGAGCCGGGGCTGGGGCCTGAACCTGAAGGGCCCTCACCTGTGCTGGATCCTCAGGAGCAGACTACCAGCTGAATCTGCTCTGGCTCCGGAGGTGATCGAGGACCCATTAGCTGCAGGTGCTCCACTCTCAGCCCCATCAGGGGAAGGTGAGGTTGCCTCTGGGTCCAGTAACCCTCCAGCCTCTCCTGAGCTGCAGAGGCTCAGGGCAGAGAGGCGGAGGGAACTAAGTTCTCGCAGAAGGAGTGCTCGCCTTAAGGCCAGGAGAGGCGGGTCACCTGTAGACCGGGACCGCCCTAGGCCTCAGAGGAGATAAAGGCCAGTCAGCCCAGTCCCAGGTTGCGGGAGCAACATTGTTGGTAACCTGTTCCTGCTAGCACCCTGTCCTGCTCTTCTGCCAGCGTTCCTGACCTCACTCAACTCCTTGCCTTGGACCCCGCTTCAGCCTTGACGGACAGCCTCCATACCACACCTTCGACCTCGGACTGGACTCAGACCACACTGCATGGTAACCCCCCCGGGACCAGCACACAATAACCCAGGCCAAACTAGGTAAAATGCCAATTAAGTACTATAAGGAATTTCAAGATTTTCTGGTACAACCACTTAAGGATGCAATGAATGGAATATTAGATACAGGAAAGTTACCAGAATCCTGGAAAGAAGCATACATTCCGTTGATTCCTAAACATGATACAGACTTAATGTCAGTTAAGAATTACAGGCCGATCTCCTTACTAAACAATGACTATAAACTGTTTGCTAATATATTGGCAAACAGATTGAAAAGGATTTTAAAAGATTTAATTCATCAAGATCAAGTCGGTTTTCTATGTGGCTGTCAGATGAAGGATAACATAAGGAATATAACTGACATAATAGAATATCTGGAGGCCAGCAGTGACAAGCAGGCGGTATTAATGTTCACAGATGTGAAGAAGTTCTTTGATAACATCTCATGGAACTTTAGGAAAAAACACTAGAAATGATGGATTTTGGAGAGACTTTTTATAGAGGAATCGGCACAATTTATTCAGAGCAACAGGCAAAGCTGATCATTAATAATGTAATAACAGAAAGTTGTAAAATAATGAAAGGGACAAGACGGGTGTCCCCTGCCACCATTACTGTTTATTTTATTTTTTATTTTATTTTATTTTAGTATTAGAAATCCTGGCAAGGAAAATAAGAGTAGATGAAGAAATAAAAGGAATAGTGGTGGGAAATAAAGTATTCACACTTAAAGCATTCACAGATGATCTTGTGATAACAACAGAAAACCTGATGGTAAGTTTACTGAGGGTCTTGGAGAAGATGAATGTATTTGGCCAAGTGGCAGGTTTCAGGCTTAATAAAAGTAAAACAAAGATGCTGGTGAAAAACATGACAGAACAAAATAAAAAAGAACTACAAAAAATTACTGATAAGGTAATAAGCAAAAAGGTCAAATATTTAGGAGTTTGGTTGACAGTAAAGAATATTAATGTGTATAAGGATAACTACCTGACCGCGTGGAAAGAAATAAAAAGATACTTGGAGATTTGTCACAGGATGAATTTATCATTCTGGGGGAGGATATACCGTATTTTTCGCACCATAGGACGCACCGGCCCATAGGACGCATCAAGTTTTTTTGGGGGGGAAATAAAGAAAAAAAAATTTATTTCCCCCCCAGGCGCTTGTGGGGCCGGCAGCGGGGAGAAGCGCTCATCTCCCCGCAGTCCGCCTTCAGACCAGGTCCGGGGACAGCGGGAAGACACGCTGCGTCTCCCAGCTGTCCCCGGAGCTTGCGGGGCAGACAGCGGGGAGAAGCGCTCTTCTCCCCGCCGCCCGCCTTCAGATCAGGTCCGGGGAAAGCAGGAAGAAGCGCTGCGTCTCCCAGCTGTCCCCGGAGCTGCGGGGCAGGCAGCGGGGAGAGCGCTCTTCTCCCCGCCGCCCGCCTTCAGATCAGGTCCGGGGACAGCAGGAAGAAGCGCTGCGTCTCCCAGCTGTCCCCGGAGCTTGCGGGCCTGGCGGCGGGGTCTCCGCACCGACCCCTCTCGCTCTCCAGGCTTCAGTGAAAGTCTGCATTCGCCCCATAGGACGCACGCACATTTCCCCTTCATTTTTGGAGGGGAAAAAGTGCGTCCTATGGAGCGAAAAATACGGTATGTGATAAAAATGAACGTATTGCTGAGGATGTAATTTTTGTTTCAACTGATTCCTGTGGTCAAGGAATGGCAAAGAGATATTTCAAGGTTTATATGGCGCGGGGGGGGGGGTGGTGGAGCAAGAATAAAGCATAAGTTGTTAATAGATTCAAAAGATAATGTGGCTTTTCCCTGCCATATTTAATATATTATGAGGCAGCCTGCCTCTGCTGGTTCCGGGAATGGATAACATTACAAAATACAGATATTTTGGACTTCGGGGGTCATGATAACAGATTTGGATGGCATGTGTACTTATGGTATGAAAAAGTTAAAGTCCACAAAGGATTCCTGAACCATGTAATAAGAAAGTCATTATATGTGGTATGGGATAAATATTTTTTTTTTGCTAGAACAAAAAACTCCATGGTGGTTATTGCCATTAGAAGCGATTTTTGCGAAGAAATTGAATATGAGAAAAGATTGGTTACAACATTTTAACAGATTGGTTACAATATCACCAGCTGAATTATGTTTTTAAAATGGATAAAAGAAAGGGTTTTGCCACTGAATTATCGAGGTTTGAGAAAGAATTTACAAAATAAGGTGAAACTACTTTCTAAAATGTATAAATTGTTTTTGGAATGGTTTGTTAAAGATGAAGAAGTTAAGTCAGCAATAATTCAATGGGCAAGAGATTTCGGATATAACATAATAATTTATTATTTATACCCTGCCCATCTGGCTGAGTTTCCCCAGCCACATAAAATTGGCAGCATGGGAAAAACTTTGGAAAGAGGATTTAAAATTTACAGCGAGTTACATGCTGAAAGAAAACTATATGAAGATTATGTATCATTGGTATTTATGGTAACTCCCAATAAGTTAGTGAAAATGTATAGGACTAGCTCAAATGTCTGTTGGAAATGTAAGGAAAAAGAGGGCACCTTCTACCATATGCAGTTGAATTGTAAAAAGATAAAGGAATTATGGGAAATATAATGAATTAAAAAAATGTTTATAATAGTAATTTTAGGTGCAGACATACTGAAGGATTTGAGAAGACTGTTCATGTACGCGGCTACGGCTGCAAGGATGCTGCTTGCCCAGCAATGGAAAGAGAACAAGATGCTTACAAAGGCGAATTGGCAGATGAAATTAGTTAACTATGCAGAGATGGCTAGATTGACTAGGAAAATCAGAAATCAGGAGGATCAAAACTTCCATAGAGAATAGGACAAACATAAAAGGTAAAGGGGACGACCATTAGATCCAGTTGTGACCGACTCTGGGGTTGCGGCGCTCTTCTCGCTTTACTGGCCAAGGGAGCTTCCGGGTCATGTGGCCAGCATGACTAAGCCGCTTCTGGTGAACCAGAGCAGCGCACGGAAATGCCGTTTACCTTCCCGCCGGAGCGGTACCTATTTATCTACTTGCACTTTGACGTGCTTTTGAACTGCTAGGTTGGCAGGAGCAGGGACCGAGCAACGGGGACTCACCCCGTCTTGGGGATTCGAACCGCCGACCTTATGATCGGCAAGTCATAGGCTCTGTGGTTTAACCCACAGCACCACCCACGTCCCAGGACAAATACAGATTGTATTTAAAAGAACATTGTAAACACTTGAACTCTTTGGCAGGCTTTGAATAACTCTTGCAGTGTTATACTTTGGATATATTGGAGGACTGTAATTCGGATGAACTATAATATGCAGTTGACATAGACATTTTAAACCCACAGAGGGGAGGAGGGAGGTCCTAAGATTTTGAAAAATCTTGTTTTATTTTTACTATTTTTTAAAAAAATGTTAATTGTTTGATTTACTTTGTAAAAACAATACAAATTATTTCAAAAAGAGAAATTGTGTGTGGGAAGAAGTCTTATATTTTATAATAAAAATCCCAATTTTTATTATTTTTCATAATCCTAGAATTTCACTTCCAATACAACTCAATTTTAATACAATACTTGAGGCTGAACTCTGGGCCAGGAGCCCCTCCGACACACAGCCGTGCGGCAGAGAAATGTTATGCAATTATACATGAATTCCCCCTTTAAGGGAGGCGCTTCCCTCCCCGTCTCCTCCGCCCTTGGCCTGCGCGGGACGCGCGGTCCCCATGGCAACAGAGGCGCTTCCTCCTGCCCCGCCCATGAAGGTGCGCAGGCCCCGCCCCTCTCCCTCCCCCTCCTGCGAGCGAGGCAGCGGCGGCCCCGCCCCCTGGCGCCCGGGCGAAGCAAGCTGGGCTGCGCGCGCGCCCCCGACGCCCAGAAAGAGAGACGGGGTGCCGAGCGGGGCGGGCAGGACGGAGCAGGCGCGCACGCGCCACCGCCGTCGGACCCAGGTGAGGACTACGGGGTGGTATTGTGTGGCCCCTCCCTCTGGGGACCCCCTTCCCCCAAATGCAGCTGGGGGGGAGCAGCGACGCCCCCCGGCCAGTTGCCTTCGGTCTATCGCATCTCCCAAAATCTCCTCACGAGGAGGGGGCGCCCCCTCCCCCAAGAAAGGTGCTTCGCACGGAGGAGGAGTCGGGTCTCTTTCTCTTTCTTGCCCCCCCGGATCCTTTTCCATCTCCGGGACCAGCCGCTGCCCCTCCTCCCCAAGAAGACAGCCAAAGTCTCCCCCTTGTGCGAGCGAAAGACAAGCCTCTTCCTTGGGGCAGTCTCCCCCCCCCCCCCAGCAAATCACTTCCGATCGCCTCCCGACTTTCCTGGGCACCTGTGAGCCCCCCGCCTGCCCCCCCCCCGCGTCCTCTTCGGTCTCCTCGTTTGCTTTTCCGCCTTTCCTTTCCTCAGTTCTGCGGGATGAGCCCCCCAACTCTTCTCCCGCTTCGCAGCCTCTTCCCACCCCCCCTTGCATTTTCTTCCTTGGGGTCTATATGTGTGCAGGCGGCACTTTCCCAAGGGGAGGGCTGTGTCCCCAGATTCCTCCTGACACGGAGCCTCCCCCCTCCCCTCCTTTCCTGCCTGGCAACCGCCCCTTCTGCTTTGTGTGCCCCCTACCCTTGCTCTGCTTTTTTGTGTCCCGTCGCCTCTGTCAGGCGCCTCTGCAACAGCTTGGGGAGAAGGCGGCAGAGGAGAACCTGCCTGCCTGCCTGCGAAACCCTCCAGCCGTGCAAAGAGGTCGGGGGTCAGGGCCTGCTTTGCTTTCTTTGCAGGAAGAAGAGCATGGAAGGATGGGATGGGATGGCATGCGGGTGGGTGGGTGGAAGAGCCCTCCAGGCAAGCTTGAAAGAAGGAAAGGGAGCCTCCTATTTAAGGTCTAAAACTCCCTGGAGTGATTTTTACTTCCTTCCTCCCTCCCTCCCCTTCCCTTGTTTTTGCTGCGTGTAATGGGCTCTCCCTTTTTAGCGTCCAATAAGCCGGACCCTTTTGATGGGATTAAAGGCCAAAGCTGACAGAGGAAAAATAGCAACAGGGGCTGGAGCCAGGTCGAGTTCCTTGTTCTTCACCCATTTCCCAGACCCATTTCTCCCCCTCATTAGTTAGCTGCCAGGAGGACAGAGCAGGATCCTTATCAGCCAGGCAGCTTGGCTTGGCTTGTTCCAAAATTGGGTTGCTCTGACTAAAAACAAACACAAATCCGCTTCATCTTGATCATGCCTACCCTAAAAAAAAAATCACATTATGCTATTTCCAGAGTTTCTTCCTTCTGCATAGCTAAATCATAGTATTTAAACCTCATTAAAGCCCCATGGGATAATTAAGTGATTCTGACATCCGTAATTTGTCTTACTGCATTTGAGATGATTATGTTTAGTTGAGTTATGCTATTGTCATTGTTTGTCCTCTCTCTCCTTCAGAGATTATTCATTTATTTCCTACATAGAGTGTATGTCTCAGGGAGGGCAGACTGGAGGAAACTGCTGTGCACTTGTAAACTGGGAAGGGGTGCAAATGGGAAGTCAGCATCCCTTCCCTTCATGTAATGTACATGAGGGGATTATTGGGCTTCTGTGCATCTTCCAGAGCAAAGGCCAGGGGCTGGCTAGTTGGAGGGATCTAATTTTTGACTTGTGGTATTATAAAAGAAATTAATTTGGGGAAGGGGGTAGTCCCTTATTGTGGTATGTCCTGTGCTGATAGTATGGTTGTAAAATGAATCTGGGTCTATTTTTTATTATTCAGACAAAGTGTTTAATAAAAAGTTTTGGCAGTGTGGTGTAGTTGGAGAGTGGTCATGTGAATGGAAAGACTTCTTCAGCTTTGGACACATTTGAATCAATATTCATTTCTCATTTAAAAGCAACTTAGTTGACAGATTAATGATGTTATTACTTTTGTAGGTTTTTTTGATAAGGGATATTGTAGGATTGTGTTTTTTACTTGAAACAGTAATAGTGTGACTAAATGATGAACACTTTAGACATCCTATTTCGTTGAAACAAGTGAATGTAAGATATGATATTGAAATGGTTTGATGTGTGTTTTAAATTGTGTTTGTTATGTCTTGCTTAGCTTATTGTGTTAGTGATGTGTTGTGTATTGTGTATACATTGTATTCTATTGTTTTTTTTCATCTTTTTTCATCTTTTTTCTTCCCTTTCCCTTCTTTTTTTTCCTTTTTGTAATCTTTAAAAGTAATAAATATTATTTTTTAAAAAATAGACATCCTATTTCAGCTGAACTTCTTTCAAGACAGATGCTTTGAATTAGGGCAGCCTTTGCTAACCTGGTCTGCTGAAGGTGTTTTGGACTACAATTCCCATCAGCCCCAGCCAGCATGGCCCTATGATGAGGTTGTCAAGAGTTTCAGTCCGAAACATTGGAAGGGCACCAGGTTGGCAAATTAGGGTCTCCTTTGTGGCATTAAGCTTAGTGCTAGTTACACAGGCATCCACAATGGTGTGTGTTCTGCCTGTAACCTGAAAGTTGAAAGATAAAGTTGACTCCAAAGGGAGCATGAGCTTGATTCTATTGATGGCACAGTTAATTTGGTTCTGAGGCACCTGACAGTCAAATCATTTCTCAGCTGTGGATTCACTGAATCTCTGTCATTTCTTAGCAGTTCTCTAGACACTGTTGATAGACTGTACTGCATCAGACATCTGGTGTTACTGAATATTTGAAATACTGGTTTTTTTGTATCTGATATGATATTATGGAAGAGTGCTGGGATAGTCGAAACTTCTTAGTTTAATGCCCCAGTGTTAAGCACATTGACCTGGAAGAAAATCCTACTGAAATTAATAGAATTTACTTCACAACTGTGAAACAGGAATGTTAATGACATGTCTCTCATAGCAGTTAGGAAAACAAATATAAGCATTTAAAGCCCATTTAGCACTGTGATTCTTGCATTGCAGGGGGTTGGACTAGATGACCATTTGGGTCCCTTCCAATCCTACAGTTCTATGATTTCAACCTGAGGAGCCCAGCTCTGTTTCTGCTGGCTGCATCTGTGCAAAATGTGTTTTGCTTTGTGGCAGCTACAGCAGCATCCTTTGCTTAGCAAATGGATAGATAGCCTCCATGTGTCAGCAGCCTCAGCCTCCTGCCTGCTCTGCCCTGTCAGAAAATGTGCCCTCAAGGACTAGGGTGGGCTCCTTGTGCTGGCATTGGAGATTCTAGTTCCCATTCCTCTGAGAACTGCCTATGGGTCATGTCATCTTTGACTGTGGAAGTGTTGTACCCCATAGATTTGTAGAGTTGAAGGGGGGGGGAATAATGAATAGGATATGTTTTGATATTTTGTTATATTGAAATTGCTAAAAAAAAGGAAAAAAAGAATTGTAGAGTTGGAAGGGACCCCAAGAGTTATCCAGTCAACCTTCTGCAATGCAGGAATCTTTTGCCCAATGTGGGCCTTGAACCTACGACCCTGAGTTTTCATGCTGTACTGACTTGAATTAACACAGGCTATATGATGCTCCATTGCATTTGTTGTATTAGAACTGTCAAATAGTTTTCTTCTAGTTTCTCTATTCAATTTTCAGTGCAAACAGGTACATACATACCAGTACTTATATTCAGATTGGGGAGGGAGATGAGAGATTCATAAAGAAATGCAAACCTAAAAGAAAGAAATGAGAAAAAAACTGTAATGTGAGAAAAGATCACATAGGGATAAAAGGAAACTCAGCAAGTATATTCAATCTGCCCTTTAAGCAATGTGGCACATGTTCTGGTTTTGAGCATTGTTAACCAAAACATGCATAATGTGTCTTGTCTAAGACGGCAAGCTAACCTTGTGTAATGGCAGTGTCTGCATTTATAAAAGAATATACCAACGACCCTCTCATAACATACCAATGTCGCTATATACAGCAATATAAAAACATTTAAAAATACATTAAAAGCACTACCAAGTAATCATTAAAATGACCAGCTACTGGGTATCCTGCAAATGTTCTGGTTTTGCGGGTTAAACATTTTCCTCAGATTGTCAAATCTGCCTTTATGTCCCTATTTGCATGACATGCTCAGTTTGCAGAGGCAAACCATCTCTGCAAATCCCATTGGGGAGTGTGCCTGTTGTGTGATAAACTGAGCAATTTAATCTGGAAGGACAGGTGCTTTCCTGACGTCTGGCTTGAAGAAAGTTTTGTATTTTCCGTGTTTAAAGTAGGATTAGGACAAGTCTTTGACAGATGGCAGGATGCAGACTTAATCAGTGTACCACATGGTATCCAGTTCATAATCTTTCAAGTTTGATCTCTCAACCTCAGTGTCTCTAATGATGATTTAATGTGTGAATGATCTTGAGTATCTCTCTCTTCCAGGTACTTTGGATCATACAATTCTGTTCAAATTAATCTGGCGAGTGCAATCATTAAGTGAAGTTGGCATCGCTATTCAGGGATTGCAACATATGGTGACAATTATGAGAAAATTTCATTGCGAGAAAAAGGGTAGCTAATGTTTCTATGGCAATGATCCATTACTCTCAGCAGCTGTAGGCAGCACTCTTTTAAAAAGTCACGTGTACAGGCCTGAACCAAAAAGTTTTTGTCCCCCAAGCAGCTGCACCATAATTCAAAAGGTGCCCCTCAGAGTCTCTTGCAGCATGATACGTACTACCTGAGCTGTGTGCAGATATTATTTCCTAAATGCCTAAAGCAAAGTGGTGAAGAATAAATATGACATAGGGTGGACAAATCACAAGAATGTGCCTGTGGACTTAAACCATTCTAAGTAACCAAATGCATGAGGAAAAGAGAGGAAGTGGAAGGAAGGGAAGTCTGGAGCAGAGGAGACACATTGGCTGTGCAATCTGATGCATATTCTCACAGAAGTAAGTCCCAGTGAACTTACTCCCACGTAAATGTAGTTAGGGTTGCAGCCTCAGTTAAAATATTAGTGAATGAAGAGAATACCTAGGAAAATAGAGACAAGACTACAAGAGTTCCTGGTTTGTTCTTGACCCCTGCAGCTGCTTAATTGAGGGCCCTCATTGGAATAATAATAATAATTTATTATTTATACCTCACCCATTTTTTGCATTACAGAGCAGGCCTTTAGGCTAAGAGGATGTCCAGCACTGTTTCTCTGGCATTCTGGGTCATACCAGTAGGTAGTGCATTTGAAATATCACAACACATCAAGTTGATCAAAATACAAATTAAATAATGTGAGTGTGAGAATAGAGTGAAAAAAGTTAACTTTACAGTTGATAAATGTGACGTATCAGACAGCTGGTGCAACCCATGATAATATCACAAATGATCCTTGCTTATAGAGCGACAATTTTTCTTGGCTCTTTTCAACATATTAAATGAATGCAACCCCCTGTTCTATAGGGGTTGATCATGACAAAAAATGGAGCTGCTAGTGAGGAGATCTTCCCTACCTGGCTGGAATTGCTGTTTTGTGTTACTGCCAACTTCTTCTAAAGTTAATTGGTTATTGGCAGATGAGTGATATTTTCATGATAAGGCTATTTCAGTTGCTTTAACAACTTCATTCACACAATATCACTAGTGCATCCAGCCACAACCTCATATCCTCCAGATGTTTTGGACTCCTGGCGCAGCAGTTGTGACTGGAGTTGATGGGAGTTGTATTCCAAAACATCTGGACTAGGTTGTGGGTGGATGCACTATCAAACAATGGTAGCCTGGCTGTATTAATTAAAATATGGTTTCTAAATCTTACATGCCTGGACAGCTTGATTTGGCAGAAGATTTTTTTAAAACTGGACACTGCATTTTGTGATGCACAAATAAGTTTCCCCCTGACTTTTCAAACCACCCTGATTGTTTTTGCCACTTAATGTGCATCTTGATCCCCCTAACTGCTCTAGAGCATCTGTTGTCTTATATATAAGTTTTCATTTCTCTGTGAAGAACCATGCACTGATTTTGCCACAAAAATAGTAATTTGCTCACCAGGGTGGTGTTAAATCACCTGTTAAACTGAACAGGCAAAGAATAGTGACCCACGTATAAATGCATAGGAAAGACACGCCAGTTTTTCTAGTCAAACCAGTTAGGGAGTTTGCAATTATCCAGGGTATGGTAATTTTAGAAAACCTCTTGTATCAATGGTGTGCCAACTCCAGCCTCCAATTGTATGGTGGTAGCACCATGGAAACTGACTGTATCAAGGGGAAGACATTGTTGACTTTGGTTGGGAATGTGACAAATGGGGTGAATCCCCTGGCTCTGTAGTGTGTATTGTCATAACAAACAAGTTACAAGTTAAGCTACTGTATTTGGGATGCTTTTTAGAAGCATCTTCAGTTCTGGTTTATGACAGAAAGAAATAGGAGATGCATACCATATGTCACTTATCCCAGTGCTTTTTGCTTTCCTGTGAGTAACTAGCCAGGCTAGGTAGAACTTTGACCTGATCCAGCAAGGCAGCTCTTATATCTTCAGAGTGCCTGCAAAAAACGGAGAGGAAAAAACGGGGCCTGAACAGACCCTGTCCCAGGACACTTACAATCTAAAGTTTGACAGTGGATGTATATTAGAAGAAAAATAATGTATTAGTTTTGGATCTAAACTTGGGCACATTTGCGTTGATTTCTTTTTAGTAGATCAGTGTTCTTAGAGGTGCTTTTTGCTGATTTGCAGCTTTTAACTTTTATACTTTAAGGTGGTCCAAAGTATATTGCTCTCCCAGCTATATGCATCTTCCTCCACAGGCCAATCCCCATTGGAGCATAGAATCCCTTATTGTCAAAAGAGCTGGTCTTGCAATCCTGCTTCCACTCTGAAATGGCCTTTAAGAGGCTGTGTCAGTTTCCTTGACTGGTGCTTTCTTGTTCTATGTTTTCTTCAAGGGTGCAATTTATAAATGGCTGAAAACTGAAAATGGCTGTGTTTGTCAGATTAGGTACTTAGGTAGTCTTGTCTCTTTATTTTTTTTTATCTTGAGTTGATAAACATCATTGTTCATGTGAAATGTATTTATAGTGCCTACAAGTCTCCTTTGGATAGGGCGTAATGTAATGTAATGTAATGTAATGTAATGTAATGTAATGTAATGTAATGATTGTACTAGAGTCTTTTCCTTTCCAAACAGATTCGTTCCAGCGGTGTTTTGCTCACCCCCTCCCAGACCACGTCTAATTTGAGGGGAGCAGCCTCAAGAGTTTGCATCACTGTTTATTTCTTATAGGCCTTTATGCCAGTCAGTCGTTTTTGATCAGTGTGGCATGAAAAGTATAATTGAGGTGCATGGTTTTAGAAGTCACTTATGCTGTGCAAAAAAAAAAAAAAAAGTTCTCTTTCTCCATGAAGACAACTAGTGAAATTAAGATTTAAACTGTGAAAAGAGCTCATCTTTAACTTGCCATCTAGAGATGTATAACAGAAGGTGTGTAAAATAATATTTATATGTGTTACAAGTGAATTAGGTTACAATTGAGTAGGTTATTATCCATCTCTGTTCTGCGTTGGTTGACCCTCTACCGGATTCTGTTGGGTGCGGATGTGTGCTTTTGGCTTTCTGCTTAATTGTGAAATAATGAAGCTACTGTCAGGAGAACAAAGCTCTGCTTTGCAGCCTATGAGATGCTTCAGAAGGATCTGAGGGGAATAGGCACTTGGTGGAGTATCTAGCCCAAGGTCAATCTGTCGTATGCTGTGGTTAGGAGATAATGTTGCTTGTTTAGGCATGCAACTGCCAGAGGTTCACAGGGATTATGTTCATCTTGATCTTTCGCATAGCCTTTACTTTGGCACTATTTTTACTTCATTTTATTTACATAGTGCTTGGAGCAGTCATTAGGGGATTTGGAGCTTGGTGTCATCAGTGTGCTGCAGATACTAAGCTCTGTTTCTCTGTTATATCTGAGTCAGGTGTGCCTGGGCTAGTTCTGAATCAGTGTCTGGGCACAATGGTGGGTTGGATAAAGGTCAACAAACTGCAGTTGAATCCTGGCAATGCAGAGACCGTGGGGAGGATGGTTCCTGGTCCAGTAATCAAGCAAATTACTTGTTCTGGATGGGTTTGCACTCCCTCTGAAGGAAGAGATGTGTGGCTTGAGAGGGTGTTCAAGTCGCCGCAGTGGCTCGGAGCACCTTGTACAGTCATACCTCAGGTTAAAGTCGCTTCAGGTTGAGCGTTTTCAGGTTACGCTCCACGGTGACCTGGAAGTAACGGAACAGGTTACTTCCGGGTTTCACTGCTTGTGCATGCACAGATGCTCAAAATGACGTCATGTGCATGCGCGGAAGCGGCGAATCGCAACAGCGCAGACGCGGGTTGTGTTCTGCTCTGGATGTGAACGGGGCTCCGGAACGGATCCCGTTCGCATCCAAAGGTACCACTGTACTGCTGTGGCTGGTATAGCTCTTTCTTGATGGGATAACTTTGCTACAATGATCCAAGCATTGTAACCTCAAGATCTAGTAATTGTAATGGAGTCTGTATGGGGCGGCCCTTATGGGTGTTTGGAAGTTGCCGTTAGTGCAGAATGCAGTGGTTAAGTTGCAGAGTGGAGCTGCTGACTGAGGGCATATCACAAAAAATTGAAAAAATTGGCACTGGCTACCCATTTGCTACCAGCAGCCAGGCGTAAGCTTTGGATACTGACTTATAACCTGATCCAGAGGTTGGAAACCTTATTGAAGGATGAGCCGGTTGACGCTCAATCCGTTGGAGGATGGGCCGGAGCGTGTGCGCATGTGCTCTCTTCCGGGTTTGAGAAGTGCTTGTGCTTGTGCACACACGCTATTTCTGGTGCTCTGACCCAGAAGTGCACCGGAAACAGCGTATGCACACAGGCGCTGCTCTGACCTGGAAGAGTGCGCGTGCGCACACGCTATTTCTAGGGCACATCTGGGTCGGAGAAGCACCTGTGCACATGCGTACAGGCACCATCAACCTTGAAGTCGGTCCCTGCACCGTGCTAGTAAGAGCGGGTGGGGGCAGGAGCGGCAGGGGTCACCGTGGGCCGGTATCGGCCCATGGGCCTTAGGATGCCGACCCCTGATTCTGATCTGAAGTTGTGTAGGGTTTTGTCAGAGCAAACACCTTCTTCCATATAGACCACCTCCTGAAGCAACAGCCAAAAAAAATGGAGTGCACCAACAGTAATACATGTTCAACACACACTAAGAATCTACCTGTATATGGATGCTTTGGGTGGCTTTTGGCACAAACCATCTTTTAATAACATTTATACTGATTTTAATAGTGTTGTTTTATTGTTATTGTTATCATGTTCTAACAGGTTTTATTGTAAATCACTTTGAGATGTTTCCTCTCATACACACATACATGCTTTAATTAACAGAAATATATAAATTATTCTGTTAATTGAAAGCGTGTCACTGTGCAGAGTACTTACAGAGCAACAAGGAAAGACAGATCCTTGCCCCATGAGACTTAGAACTCATGGTAGTTGGAAGGAACTTGAGGTGATAAGGATAAGTAGTGGGATAATGTACAAGTATAAAGGCAATCAAAACCCATGACACACCATCCTGTGGGAATCTTTATTTTTGCAATAGCAGAATAATCTGGGAAAGGCTGGTGTCCCTCTGCCTTGGATGCTTTAGTTGAGATTCCTACGTTGCAGGCGGTTGGGCTAGATGGCCCTTGGGGTTCCTTCCAACTCCACAAGCTATTATTCTATGATCTAAAACTAGATTGAAAGCTCTTTAGCACTGAGACCTGCCTTTCCTTCCCCTGAGGCTTATATTTATGTAACTCATAACACACCACTTTGCTTAGCTTAGGCTATACAGTGGTACCTCGGGTTACATACACTTCAGGTTACATACTCTGCTAACCCAGAAATAGTACCTCGGGTTAAGAACTTTGCTTCAGGATGAGAACAGAAATCGTACGCTGGTGGCACGGCAGCAGCAGGAGGCCCCATTAGCTAAAGTGGTGCTTCAGGTTAAGAACAGTTTCAGGTTAAGAATGGACCTCCGGAACGAATTAAGTACTTAACCTGAGGTACTACTGTATAAGTAAGTTGAAACTTACTTTTTTCTTCTGCCAACTCCTTAACTACAAGGTGACAGCTCAGGCTCCTTCTGGAAGTCCTTGCAGCCACCTTATCTTGCAGGTATTATTAATATTATTTTATTTATTTTATCCCACCTTTCTGCAGCTCAAGGAAGCACACAGAAATAAAAACCAAAACAAATAAAACACAGAGAGCTAAAACCATATAGAATATAATAGTTTAAAAGTAATGAAACTATAATAGGCTATATAAGGGAACAAACAGATATATTAAAATACATGTAGTGAAAACGGTAAAGGTAAAGGGACTCCGGACCGTTAGGTCCAGTCGTGGACAACTCTGGGATTGCAGCGCTCATCTCGCTTTATTGGCCGAGGGAGCTGGCGTACAGCTTCTGGGTCATGTGGCCAGCATGACTAGGCCACTTCTGGTGAGCCAGAGGAGCACACTATTAAAAGCCTTTTCCTTAAAAGTAATCAGTTCCCCATAGTCTCCAGGAATAAAGTTGCCTTCACCTGCCAGTGCAAGGACATCAAGGAGGGAGCCAGTCTCCCTGGGAAGGGGGTTCTGAAGTCTGGGGGCAGCCACTGAAAAGGGGCCATGGAAGGTCATAGCCCAAATCCTCCTAGTGGACAAAGGGCAGAGTCCTTGCAACTACAAATTTTCGGTTTGGATGCCTACTTTAATTATAAGGCTGACTTACAGTTTAGGATAGTTGACCTACTTAGATGTGAAGCATGTAAAACATTTCAGCTCCCAGAGAGGGCTTGATTTGCGAGAGAGGGGGATGCATTTTGCCCTACAAACAACTGCTGAGCTGGGCGCAGTGGGCCAGGTTATGTAATTATTTTCAGGTGAATTTCCAAGCGGCAGCAGCTAGAGATGTGGTAGGTGGAGAAGGATCTCTGTGGCGGATGTGATGGCTTGGATTTTGCTATAGGCTCATATTTCTGGTCAAACAGTAGAAGAGCATGTGATCATGATCATGGAAGGACTTTGAGAACAGTCAATGGATCGTCATGCTCCCTTTGCAGATGCCAGCCATTTGCTCCACAATTTGTAGCACTGCTGAGAGCAGGTTGGGGTGTATGGACCCTTGCCATGAGAACAATGTGCTTGTACCTTGCCCTTTCCAGTATCCTGGCATACCTTGGAGAAGAACAAGAAAGTATGCGTTGTAGCCTTAGACAGAGCTGCTGTTCCATCACTCATGTCCCAGGCCCTTTCAGTGCGTGAAGACTCAATGAGGGATACAAGCAGTATACCTGAAGGAGCGTCTCCACCCCCATCGTTCAGCCCGGACGCTGAGGTCCAGCGCCGAGGGCCTTCTGGTGGTTCCCTCATTGCGAGAAGCAAAGCTACAGGGAACCAGGCAGAGGGCCTTCTCGGTAGTAGCGCCCGCCCTGTCGAACGCCCTCCCATCAGATGTCAAAGCGATAAACAACTACCTGACATTCAGAAGACATCTTAAGGCAGCCCTGTTCAGGGAAGTTTTTAATGATATTTTAGTGTATTTTTGGTTTCTATGGAAGCCGCCCAGAGTGGCTGGGGAAACCCAGCCAGATGGGCGGGGTACAAATAATAAATTATTATTATTATTATTTTCCTGGAAAACAAAATTGTACCTATGGTATGTCAGTACAGTGGTACCTCGGGTTAAGAACTTAATTCCTTCTGGAGGTCTGTTGTTAACCTGAAACTGTTCTTAACCTGAGGTACCACTTTAGTTAATGGGGCCTCCTGCTGCCGCTGCGCAATTTTTGTTCTCATCCTGAAGCAAAGTTCTTAACTCGAGGTACTATTTCTGGGTTAGCGAAGTCTGTAACCTGAAGCGTCTGTAACCCGAGGTACCACTGTATCTTTTATTCCCATCCCCCTTCCTTGGGCTAAAAGAAGACAGGTCAAATATACTAGAGCTCTGATCCTAACATATCCCCATAAGATTTGTGCTCCATTTCATTTCGGAGTTGCTATGGATCTACAGGGAGGTGGTGTTAATTTTTTTTGACATCATTGTGTGTCCCCAAATATAGGAAATAATATGTTTCATTTCAGTATTTCCTCCTCAGCTATTTTAGAAGGAAGATTTAATAGCATTTGAAATATGAATCGTGCATATCCATGTGGTAGTGAAGAGTTAGAAAGTGTCCTACATGAGTTAGTATTGTGCAGTTTTTATGAGGTTGAAAAAACTAGACTTTATTTGTCCTTTGATTGCTCCCTTCTTTGGAAAGCCTTTAGAGTTGTATATATATGGCGTTCTTGATCATGAATAAACGGTCATTATGTAAGTAAATTGGTTGGAAAGTTTGTGTTCAAAGCTGCTAAGTTTCACAAGCAACTTCTACAGAATTGTTAAGGTGGTTTCTTTAAATTTAATTAATGAAAAGCATAGTGTTTGAAGGGCTTTTCTGTATTTTGTGTCCCCTCCTCTCCCTTCCACGCTTGGTAGTATGCAATAAAATATTTGTGTGTTTTTTTAATTTGAATGTGGACTATGAATAAACCTGAGCACCCAAAGCCTGCCTTGGGTCTGTGTGTGGGAAGCCTTTGCTGGCATCTGCTTGCCACTCTGGGCCAAGGACACAAGGGGATGCTGCCAGGAGATCCATCTGTCATTAGTTCCACGTGTGAAGGCTGGGGCAGGCTTCCTGCCTTTGGGTGCTTCAAGTGTGGGCCATCCAGTGCCCCTGAAGCTCTGAGGCCACGAGGCAGCCGTTTGCAGCGCAGCTCCTTCTGAGTCTCTCCCCACTTCCATGAGGTAGATGCCAAAGATGGACGGTTCAGTTTGCCTATGACATGGAGCAAAAGGGGAGCAAAAGCCTTATGCCACCTTGGATTTTTTTCCTATCTTACGAGTTGTGTGCTGTGTGTGAAACAGGGAACATGGGGAGCTTCCAGTGCAACTCTGGCTTGAATAAAACTGCTAAATGTTGTCTGCCCAACCTACTTTGGAAGAGATCTTGGACGTTGTTGATAGAAGTCTGTATGACTCATGGCATTCTATGGGACACTGCCTTTGGCCCGTACCTTGATCTTGAGAAGTATATTAACGGGTAGTGGTAACAATGCCACAACCTGTGTGTTATCTGTGTTCAAGCTGTAACTGTGATTTCCTAACTAACGTATCACAGATGGCACGCTTGTTGATTTACAGGCCATCATAAGAAAGCGGGGGGGGGGGGGGAGAGACAGGTCCCATTCTTGATTACTCTAAATTTTGACAGAAGGGGAAGAAGGACACTGCTCATCAGGGACCCAGGTTCTCATTTGTGGTTGAGGCAGTGATTTGGGAAGGGAACTCAAAGAGAGAAGGAGACAGAGGGTGCCCATAAGAGACACCACTTGAGTTCACCCACAGTCCTATCAGGGCAATTTTATCTGAAGAGAATGTTGTTCTTGTGGGTGGGGTTTCTTACTTGATGGATGCAGCTGGGCGGCTGTCCAAGCAACTTTGGCTGTTAGTCTGGGATGTCTGTCTCAGGATGAGCTGGATTCCTGAATGTGTCTTCCTGTGCTTCTTCCCCCCCACTCCCCCCGAGCTCCATGTTGCTTCGTCAGTTTGTCACAACAGGGCCTTCCCACTCCTTGTTTCTGTGTGGTTTTCCTCAATAAACTCAGCTTAGAGTTTTCTCCTGAAGTAGCTCCCTTAATCTCAAGATGCCAGCCTTGCTTGAGAGCAGGGCTTTGGGGCTTGACTGTGCCATCTGTATTCTTCCAACTTTTCAGCAGAGATAATGATGAGCTCAAGCATGTAACTAGAGATGGAGCTCTGTGGTTACTTTTCTTCCTCTTCTAGAGTGCTTTTAGCATTAAAAGCTTCAAGAAAGGAAGAAAAAGGACTAAGATTTGGCTGCTCTCCTGATTCCTTTCCTGCTGAACTCTTGAGAGCCCACACTATTGGAAAGGATGTTCCACGGCTCTCAGTCCTCTAGCAATACAAGACTTTGACATCAGTTTCCTGAGTGAAAGCTTTCATCACCTCAAAGCTCTGCTCATGGTTAGTGTATTTAGATAATGCAACTGAATTATTTTCTTTGGGACCTTTTCATATTTTCTGTATAGAACAGGGTTTGTTTGTTTGTTTGTTTTAAAGTCTATGAAATTCTCTGTTGGATTTTGTTCTGCACAAAGAAGAATTGGGAGTAGCTGCCTTGGGACTGTTGCCATGAGGAAAAAAGGAGGGTAGTTTACACTGATAGAGAAAAATACAAAACTTAATATATTTTCTTTTTTTAACCAAACTAAGACTTTTTTTTCTAGATATAATAAAAACATAAAAAGTGGGAGGGGTGAAGAAAGAAAGATAGAAAAAAGAGTAGAAAAGAAGTGAAAAGAGAAAGAGAAAAATATGATTCAGAAAGTAAAGAACTTCCTATTCTTCATCTGTCTACTATATAAATACAATATTCACTTCATCCAATCCAATATAACACCCAACAAAGCTACTTTCTATAAACAAACATTATCTTAAATCCTCAAATCCAGGGGTCCTCAAACTTTTTAAACAGCGCCGCCGCCTTCCCTGGGCCTTATTCCCAATGGATGGAGGCACAGGATCACCGCTGCCCAATTCCCCATTACAAGCTCTGAAACGCGCTTGCAACGAGGGTAACCTCCGAGGGGCTTGCTCATGAGCAAACGAGGCGGGCGTTCGTCTGATCCGGCCGTGTCGCAGCACCCCTACCTTGGCAGCCGCCTCCTCCACTTGCGGGTCTCCTCGGAGGAGGAGGTGCCTTGCCGAAAGCCCCACAGAGCAGGCTTGTTCCCTGGGAAGGGAGGAGACAAAGGCGAGCCTCTTGCTTGCGCTGCCAGCCCGCCCTCCTTCTCGCTTCCCTTTCTTTGGGGATTGGGAAATGCACTACAAATAAAATATGTGCAGTGTACATAGAAATTTGTTCATATTTTTTTCAAACTATAGTCCGGCCCCCAACAGTGTCTGAGGGATAGTGAACTGGCCCCCTGTTTAAAAAGTTTGAGGACCCCTGATCTAACTCAATATTGTCTACTCTGACTGGCAGTGGCTCTTCAGGAGTTTCTCCTAGACCTCCCAGGAGATAGCAGGGATTAAATTTACATGTGAACATCAGATGCTGTACTGCTGAACTTTAGTCCTTTCCTTTACTGCTTTCTTGCACCAGTGCAGATGTGTCTTTGTTGTACACACTGCTGTGCACAGAGTAGGACTGTTTCGGTGGGTGGTGCTCACCTTGCAGGATATCTCACTAGAAAATCTTCTAGGAGAAATCTTTGGCTTGGTCTGTGTTGCTTTATGCTATCTGACAAGGTTGCAAGTCATGGTCCCATTGGTCATCTAGAGTTGGCTTTGCACTAGCTAAACTAAGAAGCCATCTTTCTTAACATTTGTGGCTTCATATTTGTCAGTAAAATTTGTGGAGGGTATCTCTCTGTGTGTGTGTGTGTGTGTCTGTGTGTGTATTTAACATCAAACTACTTTCTACACAGAAGAGTACATTCAGGAGTTAGATCCTCTGTCTGCTAGTTGTTAAAATTTGGATTGCATGCACCAGGTGGTTGGGACCTGACTCTTTTATTTGTTACTCTGTGACTTGCTACAAATATGGTGTGTAAATTATTGGGAGTTTATATAAATACTGTATTTATGCAAGTCTAATGCACCACAAAGCCTAGGGCTTGCCAATTGGAAGGTCGGCGCTTCGAATCCCCGTGATGGGGTGAGCTCCCCTTGCTCAGTCCCAGCTCCTGCAAACCTAGCAGTTTGAAAGCACGCCAAAAGTGCAAGTAGATTAATAGGTACTGCTCTGGCGGGAAGGTAAACGGCGTTTCCGTGCGCTGCTCTGGTTCGCCAGAAGCAGCTTAGTCATGCTGGCCACATGACCCAGAAGCTGTATGCAAACAAACGCCAGCTCCTTTGGCCAGTAAAGCGAAATGAGCGTCGCAACCCCAGAGTCGTCCGCGACTGGACTTAACTGTCAAGGGTCCTTTTTACCTTTTAATGCACCATTGAATCTAATGCACACCTGAGTTTTCAGAACCTTGAAACCAAAAAAGGTATTTGCAGGCAAATGTAAATGTGCCTTTGAATCTAATGCTCACCTTAATTTTTGCAACGTAATTTTGCCAAAAAAGGTGAGCATTAGATTCAAGTAAATACAGGAATCATTTTCTCCTGTTGTTTGAGTGTCATTTTTTTTTTTTTTTAGGGGTGGCTCCTTCCCCTCTCTGTTTTGTGTCTTCTCAATGCAGCACAGTTCCTGATCTGCCCAGATTCCGCAGGCAGCTTTCTGGGTGGACAGGGTGGGTCAGACACTCATTGCTAAAGCTCAGAGGGCTCATGAAACAGAGGACGAGAGGCCTGCCAGTGCCGGGGTAAAGCTGGTAATCCCAGAGGAATGTCTGTTGAAGTCACTGAGTGACGGGCAGGCAAATCATTGATGTGCCACACCAAGGGCTAATCAGCACTGCAAACCGAGACTGGTCAAACCAACTTTACAAAAGTCCACAAAAAGCATTTTGTAGCCTAATTGTCCACATATACCTGCGTGGGCCATTTGCGGCTTCTCAGGAACCTAAAACAAAGAAAGCATCCCCAGTTTGCAAAATCTTCCCTTTGCAGCCTCTCGAGTGCAATTCTTGCACACCATGAGTGAGCTGAACCATCTTGAGTAGCCTGAATTTCACAGTAATTTCCTTTTCACAGGGAATCTTGGGAACTGCATTACTGTGAGGATCTCTCATAACAGGTCTCTGCATTACAGGTCTCTATGCAGAGACTTTTCAGCACTTGCCTGAAAGGACAATTCCCAAGACCCTTTGGAAGAATGTCATTGCCATAGCTTGTAGGAAATGCTCCACTTCACCTGGTGCCTCTGCAGTAGCACTTGGGAAATAAGAAGTGAAGGCATTTCCTACAGGGAACCCTGTTGCCATCATGCAGTGATCAGGAGGGTCACCTGATAGGCCATAGTCCTCCCTTATGTTGGTGCTTCCAGCTGTTGAACATGTGGCAGCACTGTGCTAGCATTCTGTTTTTTTGTGACTTGCTGTCCCCTGTAGTTTGCAAGAAGGCTCCGCTAGACAAGGTTCTTCTTATAGAGAGCTAGAGATTATACCTCACTCTATGCTGTTGCCTCAGGTGTAGATGCAGCTGATAGGCACTGGCTGGGTGCCGGTCCTCTAATATTCTAGAACACTCCTCCCCACAAAAAACCACCCCTGTCTGGAGGGGGGAAAAGCAGGAATCAACTAGCTCTGCAGGGCAGCTTTTAATTCAGCTACTGATCCGGGGGCAGCAACAGCTCCTTCCAGGCAAGTAGCTTGTCAGATCCATCACTCAAGCAGTCTTGTGATACCCCCCCCCACCCCCACATATTTTTATTGTTGTTAGCCACCCTGAGCCCAGCTTCGGCTGGGGAGGGCGGGATATAAATAAAATATATTATTATTATTATTATTATTATTATTATTAGTTCAGCCAAGGGAGCTGTGTGGTGTCTCCTTTGGCCCAGCTGTTCATTAGCAAGTTGAACAAATTTCCAGGAGCTAGTACAGTGGTGCCCCGCAAGACGAATGCCTCGGAAGACGAAAAACTCGCAAGACGAAAGGGTTTTGCGGTTTTTGAGGTGCTTCGTAAGACGAATATCCCTATGGGCTTGCTTCGCAAGACGAAACGTCTTGCGAGTTTGTTTCCTTTTGAAGCGGGAACCGGGCTGGCAGGGAGCGAGCGAGGGAGCGACCTACCTTTTCCAGAGGGATCCTATTCTGGAGAGGGCACAGAGGAGGCAGGTGGGCTGGGATCCAGCGGATCTGGCTGGGTCTCTGCGCCGCCTCTGCCTCTGCCTCTCTCTCTCTCTCCCCCTCCCCACGTGGCTGCTCCATTTTGCCCTAACTGCGCGAAGGCAGGAGGAGGCGGGACAAAGGAGGAGGAGGCATCCACTGCGCTTGGGCCGCCGCGAAGGCGCCTTTGCGGGGGTGGGAAGAAGCTGGGAGCAGCTGCCGAGACTGTGGGGAGCCCGGCGGCGTGGCGCAAGGTAACGGGGGGAGCAAGGGAGAGTCCGCGCCGGGCGCTCGTGCGTCCGCCCTCGGTTCCTGGGCTCGAACTTCCTTTGGCACCTCGTGGAGAGAGAGGGAGAGGAGCGGGCTGGGGCTTTGATGTGGGACGCGGTTTGGCGGAGCGAAGACGCGGCAAGGCTTGGCGACAGAGGAAGGGGGGCTGTTTTCGTGGGGAGGTGGGAAGGGGGTGTCTTTGCCTCTTCCCGGCAACAGATCCTCCAGGCTGGGGAAACTCCTCCTGCTGGGGAGCGACCCGCTTTGTGCTTTGCCCGCTATCCCATTATAATACAGTACCAGGGTGCATCCGTGCTTCGCAAGACGAAAAAATCTGCAAGACGAAGAAACTCGCAGAACGGATTAATTTCGTCTTGCGAGGCACCACTGTATTTTGTCCCAAATCTAGTGTCTTTGAGAGTTGTTGCTGCTGCTGCTGCTGTTGTTGTTACTAAATTTATTACACGCCCTTCAGCAGGAACACCCACAAAAATTACAACAACTTAACATTCAGAATTAAACACAGTGATGACAAATTACAGTCACAGGAACAGAGTTGCATTTGATTTTCCCTTGAATATGAAGTAATCTCAGGTTTTGCTGCACTTCGTAGGTTGCAGCAAGCTGTGGGCTAAAATGGAAGTTATATTTAATGCATGAAGATTTGAAATTGCAGTGCTTGTGTAGCGGCAGCTAGATCTGTGAGAAGCCCAGCAGTCTGTGATGCAGATCTGGCATTGCAGGTATGATGTGTTTCTGGCTTCAGCCCATTACTGGAACAAACCACAGGGGATGGCGATGGTTGTCTGGTCCTGCCCATGAGCTTCCCTGAGGCAAGTGGCCTGCTATTCTGACAAGACAGGGCTCTGTGCTGGCTGGTGACCTAGCTTGGGGATACTTAGGTTTGTACAGGGTTGAATTTCTTGTGGTAAAGCTAAATTCTTGTTAACTTTTATTTGTTTAGCTTGCCATAGGCTTTTGCTTAGATGTGTATTCTCTTCTGATTTTTTTTTTCTATTTCCATTTTTCTAGGTGTTTTGTATTTTCAGTTATTTCAGGTGTAGCGTTGTGTAGAGAGAGGTAATGGAGGTTAAGAGCATAATATGGTTTTATCTGAATTTTGTTTTGAGGGTTACTAACTACAGAGTACTGAAATGGGAAGGAGAAGTTGTGAATTACTGAAATCTCTTTTGCTACATGTTGGACACTCGTGGAACTTCATCAGATATATATGCAGATTAAAAAATAAGAACTGCAAAACATTTGTGGTATTGGCCAGATGCCATTATTATCGAAGTATTCTGAACATTGGGTGGATATTGGCCACTGTCAGCTTACCCACACCCTTAACTTTTTTATTTTTTCTCTCTCCCCCAATCCTTTATTTCTTACAACTTTCCCATGTATTCAGCACATTTTAGCCTACATACGACTGGGCACCCTCTGCAAATCTTTCATGAAACTTTGATTTTGGCAGTGGGGAGTAAAGGTAAACTGTAGGCAGAGGTTTTGAAAGCACAATAGCTTTTATCGGAAGAAACCTGATTTTTGTAATACGCTTTTGACTCCACACACAAATAGTTTTAGGCAGCACAGAAACGTGACTAAGCGACAAGAAAGAGAAAATGGCTAATAGGAAGGAAGGAGCTGCAGGTGTATCAGTGTGGCCTCTTTATTGGGCAGTGTAAGCAAGGAGAGTGAGGTTGTTCTGGGGAAGCAAGTTGAGGAATTGCTGAAGATGTCACCTTGAATTCTTTCTGGTGTATCTCCATCCAGTTCAAGCACAAGTTCATATTATGGGGAGAAAGCAGAGGCATCATCAGAATGATATTGTTCATGGAGGAGGAAAAAGGCAGATGGAAGGAACACATTTTTTTGTGAAAAGGGAAGTGTGTGGGCAAAGTTGATCCATGTTCAGAAGGGAAGACTTGGCAAATAATGTGGCTACTGGCAGCACACTTCGGGGGGGGGGATCAAGCAAGAGGCTCTGAAGTTGAAATGAAGTACATTGTGGGATGTTGATTTTCCTTCCCAGGTAGGAAATTGTGCTAAAGACTCTGCAGAAAAGCTCTACTTCAGTAGATATATGAAGTGGCTTCATCCTAGATAGGAAGATTGATAACATGCAGGCAACTCTGAGGCAAACTTGATGGTGGGAAGGCTACCTGGAATTGAAGGGGCTGGGCCCAGTCACCCATTGGCACTCCTTGTGCATACACAGCATCTGAGATGTGAAGGCCTCAGAAAACATGGGGGGGGGGCCTTTGGGTGGAGGGACACCCCCCCTCCCATTGCCCCTGCCAAAGGCAATTTTCCTGAAGAATTAAAAAGGGTTTGTAAAATATTTCAAAATGATGAAAAGAATGTTTAAGACAAGCCACCCCAAAATGATTTCTGAAACTGTGTAGAGGGAAGACTTTTATGTAAGACTATCTACAGCAGGCATAGGCAAACTCAGCCCTCCAGATGTTTTGGGACTACAGTTCCCATCATCACTGACCACTGGTCCTGTTAGCTAGGGATCATGGGAGTTGTGTCTCTTGTGCTCTGGTATGATTTTGGGAGGGAGGGTGCAGCCAGAATATGTTGATTCTCCCCCCCCCCCCCCGCCGCTTGCTGAGAATGACTGAGATATGGACTTAAATGGGAGCAGGAACAAAAGACCCGACCAAAAAGAACAAACAGAGATATACAGGACTGTTAAATAAACCAGTCTCTCTTTTTTAAACATTTCTGCTATTGCTGTTTCAGTGGGTCATTCCCTAATGAGCCATGAGTGGTCTTGGAGCTGAGTTTGAATTATGGACATAAGATATGAAGCCTACATGCCATGTTGCATCACAGCCATTTTTGTGGCCTCTTGATGTCTCCTTCTACTATCCAGACGGGTGAGGCTTCTTAGACAGGCTTGCAACAAATATGTGGAATCTTTTCCCTTCCTTTCCTGCCTTACCCAAGAAGAAAGAAAAGTGTCACGTATTGCAATAGAAAATACTGGAAGCTGCTTTACCGTGGAAGGATGAACAAGCAGTATTAATGAGTTGATGTTCATCCTCTTGTAACATGGCAACCTGCACAGAATAAGTACATAGGCAAAGGCCCCCTTTCCTTTTGTCATCACAACCTGCTTCCTTCAGATCTTTTCTTTTCTTTTCTTTTCTTTTCTTTTACTTTTCTGCTTTCTTGAGCTCCTTTGCCCTGGCAGACTCATCTTCTGCATCCAGAAAGAAAACTTTCCCTTCCCCACTCTACTGGAGTGCTGGTTGTGTTTTTCCAGAGTGATGACCATATTGGCAGCCAAGGAGTAATTACTTTCCTTTACTTTTCAGACACTAAGTTTTTAAGGAGGGGAACAAATCCTATGTTAGAGAGAGGTCTTTTAAAAAGACAGCTAGCTGTGTCTCAGCCATGCAGCTGCAATGAAGGATATATTTCTAGTGCTGGAGCAGAGACCTCTCTCAGGTCATTACTCTGGGAGTGGAATTGCTTAGAGGTAGTCTGCACATACCTTTGAACATATCCTTCCAGCTAACGAATAGTCTGCCTCTTGCACCCCATATTGCTTAATCACAGTGGCTTCTCAGTGGTCACAACTCCTGGGTTGCCTGCTTAAATATGTTTAAGAGGTGGGATTTCCTGTTACGGGCAGAGGGAGCTGCACTTGGCACTTCATGACTTTATAATGTTTTACCTGAGGAATCTTTTAACCTCAGTCCTAGATTTGTGCTAGCTAGTGCTTAGGTGTGATTTGGCTTTTGTTTTCTCAGGTGTTTTTCATTTTACAGTTAGTTGAACAATCCTTTCTTCCAAGTGGCCAAGGTTTCCAGATGTAACTTTTAGAGGTGGCACAGAGATGTCTGGCTTCACGGTTAACAATGTCCAGTTGACAAGTGCTTGTCAAAATGGCTATTAACAGACCAAAGGTGCTAATTATGAGGCAGTAATCTTGTTTTTTGTCTGGTGAAGGGGGGTGGGTTTGTCCTTACACATCCATTGGATTTACTCCAGTCCTGATTCCCCAGCTAATAATAATAATAATAATAATAATAATAACAACAACAACAACAACCCCGCCCATCTGGCTGAGTTTTCCCAGCCACTCTGGGTGGCTTCCAACAGAATTATTAAAAACATGATAACACATCAAACATAAAAAACTTCCCTAAACAGGGCTGCCTTCAGATGCAACAAATTCATGAGCCATGGGTAGGGACCTCAATCAGTATTTCAAATGCTTTTGCTGCAGTATCCAAGTTCTAAGTAGTAAACAGGTCAAGTGCCTGGGATTTTTGTTTACTATGAGGAAATACTTTTTTTTTTTACTATGTGGAAATAACACCCCTCCTCCCTGGTTTATTTCCATAGAACCACATGCAATATAATTCAGAAAGTTGCTCACTAACTCACTATGCATTTGAACTCCTCTTAAGATAGTGTAGCCAAAATTTGCATGATGGTTCCTGAGATCAAACCACGTTTTTCTCCCTTTTTAATTAAGATTGCGGACTGAACCCTTAAAAACTGCAGAGTTTAACCATTGATTTCAAAACTGCACTGTTGTTTGTTTGTTTGTTTGTTTGTTTGTTTCTTAGCATTCCTAAGCAACACCATGCATAAGGCTGCTGGTTTACAATAATAAATTAAAAATCCACTTGTGTTGCTTTGTCACTACTAGTGGGATTTGGCTCCCTAAGTTGCGTACTGAGAGAGACGTATGAATGCATGTCTTCTTCTGCAATGGCTGCCCTTATTTTTTGAAAAACCATTAACTAGTCAAATAAGGCACTCTGTGGAGTGTGGTCAGTGCCAGGTAAGTTCCTAATTAAGATGGACCATCCATCCTGCATTCTGATGGACACTTCTGATTGCTTGGTTGTGATGCATGTGAGCAGGGGTGCTGATCATGTTTTCAAGTTGTTGATTTCACTGAGCAAATGTTCACCACGTAAGTCTTTTGTAGAGCAAAACAGACAGCCTTTTGAATAAATTTGCACCGCGCATTGCAGCACCCTTTTTATAAGCCTGTAAATCTAAAGATCAAGGTTGTAAGACTAAAGATTATCAGGGCAGTGAATCAACAGTAGTCGGGGGTTGCCTGGGAACACTCCTGCCCAGTGATCTTTGGTGAGGTATTCTGTGTGGTTTCTTGCCAGTCCCCTGGGCTGTCTGCTTTGCCAACGGCAAAGGGCAAAGTTCCTAGGGCGTGCCAGACCTTCTCTAGCCTGATTCCATTCTTCCTGTTCTTGTGTGTAGGATGCTCCCATGGGGACTTGTGCCCTGGGTGATTAAGGATCAAAGATCTAAGTGCAGGGTTGTATACAGAGGCACATGCAGAAGATAAAACTGCGAGCATTTTTTTTAAAAGCAAAGAATGTTGTGGGTCTGCAAAGGTGTCCTCCCCTTTCATGATCTCTGTGCAGTCATACATGCAGAGCAACTTCAGAAAAGTCTAGAATAATTTTTATTTCAATATTTTCCAATTAGGATCAAGTAAATTCATCAGTGGCAACAACTTATTCTGAAATTTATATGGAACAATAAAGAAAGCGAGATTAAAAGCAATAGTTTGAATATAACGCACAAAACTTAAACTTTATCTACTATATCTTTTGGGAAATCTATTCAAAAAGTATGGAAGGAAGATCCCCGCATGCAATTAATTCATAACTGCATATTAACATTCAATGAGCCCTTAACTGTGTTAAAGTTATTTCAGCTTATCCTGTTAAAATAGTCTTAAAGTACAATTAAAAGAAATGGGACTTGATAAGAGAAATGGAGAAACTTGGATGAGCTTAACAGCTTTCAGTTTTCTTTTGCAATAGGAGTCCATCGATTTTCAGGGCAGTTTCTCGTTAGCAGTATACTTTACTAAGAACACTGGAAGCATTGGGGCCGCCTGCCACTTGGTTTTCAGCTCGACAGTTTTAAAGTGACGTTCACCAGCCAATAATTCCTAGGTATTTTTCCTTTTATCCCCACTGAGCGATTTCATTTTTCTCTTTCAAGAAAAGAGATAGTCGTCGTCGTCGTCTTCTTCTTTTATTTTTACTCTGCCCACCTGGCTGGGTTGGTCCAGCCACTCTGGGCAGCTTCCAACTAGAGATGGGAAGTCATGGGGAAAAACCAGGGAAATTGGAAAAAAACGGCTTTGGAAGAAAATGGAATTTTTCCTCCCCCCCCCCCCCCAGGCCTTCCCATCTCTACTTCCAATACATACAAAAACATCGCTTTTTACTTTTTCTTATAATAGGTAAGATTAAATGTTTTTATAGAAAAATCTGATAATTTTTTTTAAAAAATGATATTTATTGGAAATTTTTTTTTAAATTACAAAAGAGAACAAAGTAGAAAAAGAAAAAAGAAAGAGCAAAGAAAAAAACAAACCACATCAAACAATACAATTTCAAAAAAACAAAAATACACCACAAACATTTAAAAACAAATCCATTATTCTCAAATCCTCAACTGTCATTACCTTCTTTCTTTGACCTCCTCCTCCTCCCTTTTTTTGTATCCTAGTTGTTAATTGTCGCAGCAAATCCTTTCCATATTTCATAATATTCTGTCATTACCTTAAACTATTTTAATCTTATCTTACTATAAAAAACCTTAAAACTTAAAACTTAAATCTTATTTTTACCAACTTCTCATAACCATAGTATTCTTACGTAATTCTTTACACATTTTTTACTAAAGCCAAGTAATTTCATTCCAACATTTTTCTAACATTCATCAATTTTATAAAACAATCCTAGTAGTAAAAAAGAAATAAAAACAACCCAATCTTCATCCAGCGTCCCTTCTTCCTGGTCCCGGGTTTTGTCAGTCCTTATTATCCCATCGATCTAGCGCATTAACCTGGTAACCTTGTATCCGAGGCCCTTAAGTCTCTTCCATGTCCCTTCCGCAGCTCTTCTTCATATTTATAACTGTATTTTCCCTTGTCTCCTGCTCGTTTCACTCGTGGGAACTCCAGCTTAACAATGTTTTTGACCCTTCTCGACAGATCAGCCCCTTTTCCATAATCCACACTAAACTCCATGTGGTATTTAAGAACATGTTTCAAAATCCCTCCAAAATTAGGAGCCCCCACAACCCCAAACATCTCACGGCCCATTGCCAGACTTGAAAAGTCCAAACATCCCTGCATAGGCGGGTCTATCCAGCCCCCCATTTCCAAACCAAACCAAACTTTTTCTTTCCAAATCTGGCTTTTTCCAAGTTCATTTGTCAAATCCAAAAGCTCATGTTCCTGTTGGGCCACAGCTCCCTCCATCTCTGGCGCCCAAGATTCAGCAACATCCTCTTCCCTCATCTGTTCTGTCAGGGCACACTCCTGATTTAATTCCTGGGTGGGCTCCATATATTTTCCCACTGCCTGTTCAAAATTTCCCACTGCCTGTTTAAAATTTCTGATCGAATCAGTCATCAAATCCGTCTTCTCATGTAACTGTTCCAGTAGGGCATTTGTTTTATAGAAAGCACACAACAGAGCTTCTGAATACATTGTCCCGCAAGGTCAGAAGTCTATTCCCACGATTGTAATCTGTAACAGCTGCAAGCTCCCCGGAGTTGGTTACAGTTTCACAGTCTCCCTCTAGGGGGAAAACTTTTATTTGTTCTTTCTTTTAAAGGCAAGTCTAGCAACAAAGTTTCCTTTTTCAGATATTTTGTCAATATTTGTTCTTTAAAAAGCGAAGCGGAACAATGGAATCAATGTTTCTCTTCTTATAGCTATCTGTCAAAAACGTTGTCTCTGGTCAATGAGCTTCAAAAAACGTCAGTCCTAACACCCCGCTCCAGGATCAGGACGGTGGAAAGTTACTTTACTTTACCCTCACTTCTGCAGGTTTAAACAGTCCGAAAAAATCCCCCCTCTTCTCCTGCTTCCGAAGGGGGTTCAACAATTTTAAGTGATGAAAGTTAATCTTTTACAGGCGATTTTCTGAGCTCTAGTTTGCCATGTCTTTGCTTTAATTTATCTACAAAGAAACGGAAGGCTGACTTCCTGTTTAGACCTTCCCGTTTCAGTGCCAAATTGAGGTAAACTTTTAAGTCCAATTTTCCTTTCTGCTCACAAGTCCTTATTTAAAGTCCAATTGTCTGAGTTTAGGTACTCACGGGTGATTATTTTAGAAGCCAAATTGTCCCAGGAAAAAGGCAGCGCTCTCCGGCAACGGCTGTGCGGCTTCGCTCCACGGAAGAAGCAGTTGACTCTCAGCACCACGCCACTTCCCCCTCTTCGCTTCGGAGCCCGTTAGTGGGTTCCTTTGCGGGTTGGGGGGGCGCTAAGGGTGCCTGCCGAGTCCCATGGTCACAGGCTTCATCCGCCTGTGATTTTTGAAAGGGTCCCCACTTCGCCATAGTGGAAAAGACCCGTTTCCCGTGGAGCTAGTCCCTCCAGATCAGAGGGAGTCCGCCATTGCCGATGGTGCCACCCCGGAAGTCCGAAAAATCTGATAATATTGCTCATGAGTTTCTAAGCAGTTTACTAGACATAACAAACTTCAGACAGTTTCTTTCATAATAGTATGACTCGAATAATAGGAAGCCTCTTCTCACAGAAAATGTTCTTCAAGAGTATCCCAAACACCCAGAGATCCTTAAGTACTGTTGTTGATCATCAAGGTTTGTAGAAGCAGCAGCTACACACAGTTACTTGCCTCTCATGTTTTGTTGCAGCAGAGTCTCTCGATCAGTGTCTCTCGTCATGTCTTTTGCAAAGTACAAACAGGTCACTGCTGCAACGGGAAGGCAAAATCTGGCGGCTCCCTTCTTTCTCTGCTGGGTGTGTGATCACAGGCTGTGCGATCCCTGGCTGCTGACTGAGTATTTAGCAGGAGAGGCTGGGGACTCTTCCCACCTCTGCCTCCGCTTGTCCAGCTGTCCAGCTGCTCCATAAAGGAACCAGTAGCAGCCAATGCTGCCAGGAGCTCGTGGAAGCACAGGAGATAGAGCAGTTAGGCAAGCGGCTCTCGTTCTGGTACACCACACTCCCACCCCACTTCCCATGGTGATGGAGAGTGACTTTTTCTATTGGAACATCGCCTGCTACAAATCCAGACCTTGGACTTGCCGTTATATTTAGTACCGTCTTTCCAGGGCTTCAGGCAGGGTTCTTTCCCAGCCCTTCCTAGAAGTGCCAGAGAGATCATATGAGTGACATTATTGTTTAGTAATGAAAGAAAATAATATACCGTATATACTCGAGTATAAGCCGACTTTTTCAGCACATTTTATATGCTGTAAAAGCCCCCCTTGGCTTATACGCAAGCGAGGGTCCCACCTGAGTACATTTCCAGCGGCAGAGGCTTTCGGGCTTCTTGTTCCTCCTCCGCCGCTGCCGCCACCAGCCTCTGCCTCTCGGCAGCACCCTAGGTAGGCAGGGGGACGGGAGGGGATGGGGGGGAGAGAGAGAAGCCCCCTCTGCCGTGTGCACATGCGCGCATGCACACATGCACTCCGGCCTACCAGGAGGTTTGTGGTGTGGAGAACCGGCTTATATTCAATAAGTTTTCCCAGTTTTTTGTGGTAAAATTAGGTGCCTCGGCTTATATTCAGGTCGGCTTATACTCGAGTATATACAGTATATTTAGTAACATAAATGTACACATTGTGTTTCACAGAGTACAAGAGGGCAGGCTTCTGTGGCAAACGGATGACACTTTAAAATGTACAGTAATTGTTAACATTTATTTCTATACCTCCTTCAGCAAGAAAGGCTCCCAGCAAAGGTTGTCACAAAAATACAGAATTCAAAAATTTAATACAAAAATTTTAAGTCAACAAAATCCTGTTTAACTGTTATGGTTTCAACAACACCATTAAGAAAGAGCTAGACAATTACCGTATTTTTCGCTCTATAAGACGTACCAGACCACAAGACGCACCTAATTTTTGGAGGAGGAAAACAAGAAAAAAAAATATTCTGAATCTCAGAAGCCAGAACAGCAAGTGGGATCACTGCGCAGTGAAAGCAGCAATCCCTCTTGCTGTTCTGGCTTCTGGGATAGCTGCACAGCCTGCATTCGCTCCATAAGACGCACACACATTTCCCCTTACTTTTTAGGAGGGAAAAAGTGAGTCTTATAGAGCAAAAAATATGGTACTTTCACATAAGCGAGAGACGTTCCTGCCATCTGGTTTCATCATCCTTATTAGAGCCTGTTGAAATTAAGTATGCTGTGCTGCATCAGTCTAGATTTCTAGATTTCTGTCACTTCCTCACCCTTCCTTGCTTCTTGGTCTTGTTGCTGATTCCTCAGTTCCAGCTGCCGTTTACCTTACAAAGTTGTGCAGTCAGCCAGTATCCTAAGAAGACGTCCTATGAGCGACAGCTCAAGTGGAGAGGTTACACAGCAGTTTGAGTAAAGCATGTGCGTTTGCATGTTCTCAGGATCTTCCTTTGCCTCTGAATGTTGTCTTCTTAAAAAGACCTGTTATTCACAGGAGGAGGAGCAACACTTTTCTCATGTGATGCATGGAGAGGACTCTCTGCAGAATGTCTCCAGATCCAGCTTGCCAGGGAGACTAAGGTCAGTGTGGTTTGTGTGAAAGGGGGGTACTGGAAAGTGTCTTGTGGGTTTGATGTTACTACAACAAATTCATTGGAAGCACACGTTCACTTCTGACGCACCATTGGATTTCAAATGCCGCTCCTTCCTTCCTTCCTTTCTTTCAGATATTTGCAACTGTGTTTTTGTGTTTTGTGTGATATAAATGTGTTTTTGTGATGGAAAGTGCATTGGGAATCAAGTGGAAATAGACAACAAAGAGGGCTGGGCTGGGACAATATGTTCAACTACAAGTGTGCCTTTGCAAATGAGAATGATTGTCTGAATCTGAGAAACTTGCATTTTCTACATGGAAATCATTTATGTGGGCAAAAGGTACCCACAAAAATATTTATTGGCAAAGATGACTCCAAATAAGAAACTCTTGATATTAAAAACATTGTTAGAATCCTGTCACCACCCGTCCATTTCCGTCCATATCCATGTCTGCTTGTTCACCTCCCATTTGTTGAACTGAGGGGCAGTAACACCTAATTTTATTGCTTTTTTATAGCATGTTCTTCCTCACGGGTTCTTTGTAATTCCCCTGGATGGCAACGAGAGCGATGGCAACGAAAGTTGAAGTCAGCTCTGTCCTGACATCCCTGACCAATCGAAGCGAGCTTGTGAATGAGGCAACACTTCAACACACCTTTGCCAGCAGTCTTTCTGATACAAGCAACAAGTCCAATGAACATCCAAGTTCTGTGTCCCCACAAATTTCAGAAGAAAGGAGCACATTTGGGAACCCTATGAGACCAGCAACAATGCCTCCAGCTACTTCAAGGCCACGATTAACTCCGAAGCCATTCTCAAGGGAGAAGTCTTGGGACACTTTTGCAGCGGTGAAAGCTCCTGTCCCCATAGCCAAACCTGGCAATGTCGCCCACAGACCCTTTGCATTTGCCAAAAACGTTGAAGACGATGTGGCAGATGCTAAGGGAATGCTTAGTGGAAGCATTCCTCCCTTGGTAGAGCAAAAATTAATCGAGAACAAAAGCACAAGTGAGTTAGTTGCAAATATGCCCTTTTATTCCAGTCCCCAGGCTAACACAGTAATCCTATTTGAAACCAGAAGTACTGAGGAAACAAGGATGAAGTTATCTTCTGAGAAAACATACAGCACTTTACGGGCGCAGGAGAGGCAGCTTCCCTCAGAATCAGAAATGTCCTACAGAAGACCTGAAGGTGCTGCCATTCACCGGCAATTTTCTGTTTCCTCAGAGTCCAAGCCTGTCTCCTGCAACCCTCACAGATCTCTCGAAAGGAAAGAGTCCTTTTCAGGTGCTACTGAGGAAAGGCCTAAAAATGTTGGAAAGCAGCAGAGCAACGCTAGTTTGGCTAGCGAGGAGCAGCCAAGGCCCAAACAGAGACCAGTGTCTGCCATTTTTCTGGAGTCCTTAAAGGATCAAAAGCAGTGTGGAACTGATGTTTCTGATGAAAAACCTAATCCTGAAAAGTCCTGGGTTAGGAAGCCTCGCCCACTATCCATGGATCTTACAGCAAAATTTGAAATCCGAGACTTTTCAATTCAAAGGAAATCTTGCCCATCTGAAAGCAAGGAGAGGAACCTCCTTACCAATGAGGGCAGCAGCAGACCATTTGAACTGAGGACCAAGAGTGAAGCAGAAGGGTTAAACAAAGTGGATTATTCCAAGTCACATTTGAAAAGTGCCACTCAGGTTGATGACTGCCTGGGTATTAAATGTAAAACTGCTGCTGAAATCAAGAAGCCCTCTTCAAATGAAGTTGGGTCCCTAGGCCGGAACACTCCAAAAGACTTGAATCAAGTCTCTGCAAAGGACAGAAAATACCTGTGGGAGATGAGACTTAAAAGCCAAGAGGAAGAAAATGGGAGAGAAACAGATATTGCAGCAACTTCAGGAAAAAACACAGAGCCACCCCGTAGCGAAAGGCTGTCTGGCAAAGAGAGAATGGCACCAAAGCACAAGGGAACTTGTGCCTTTAGTGAAATCTCTGCAAATGTTTCAGACACCAAAAACAAAAGCTTGAGGGAAGGCACTATAAAAAAAGTTGTGAATTTACCGGATGCATTTGAAAGCTGCGCACCTCCAGTGAATGCTGAATCCTTCCCAGAAAGTCCTGGGAAAGAAAACAAAATTATGAACATCCAGCAGAGGATCAGAGAACTGACTGCTGAAAATACAGAGACCAAGCCAGGAAACCTGCGCCAATCATTCCGCTCGCGGCCTCTTTCTGCAGACTTGACCAAACTGTAAGTTTTGGAAGAATTAGATGTAAACTCCATAAATTCAGATAAAATTTTCTTTTTAGAACATTTCCACTATTCTCATTCTCCTACTGCCTCAGTTGCTCTTGAAATCTTATCTGTCTGCACAAGCATTGGCATTTTGCCTTGCAAATCGATAGGGGCAGTTGCTGGTGTGGAAAGGAGTGTCAGTGATGCCCTTTGACAGCACACTGTTTCTTTAAAATGGTGTGTTCTGGTTGGGGGCTGTGATTCCCTGCAGGTTTTAGCACAGCCTCAAAGAAGCAGGATTACCCTTGATTTTTAAAATAATGATTTTTTTTAATAACGCAAAATTCATAATGTAAGGTAGGACCAAGCATTGATAGTTCTATCAAACTAACAAATGTATGTGAATGAGTCTAATAGGTTTATTTTTTTGTTAGCTGAATGGGCAATATTTTCAGTGTGTTCAGCTGTTTTAATGGGAGGGGTAGCAGATTGTACACCATCTCCATCTGCCAATGGGGCCAGTTGCTCCCTGCAGTTCACGGGGGTTGACACGGCTAACTCTCCCTCTTGCCCACTTGCTGCTCCCCCCTTCTGCTTGCCGGCCCTCTCACAGCAGTGGCATGGGTTCTCCCAGGTTTGCTCAGAGTGAGGTATTGTGGATGAGCTTGACCAGAGAGTGCCTGGACTACCACTGCTTTAAAACGCAAGTTAATTTCATTGCATTTGGAAGTGCAGAAAAGTGGCTTTGGCACAAGCACTCTTTCAGGCAGCCCTGCACATGGCACCGTCAATTGCTTCCTCAGACTGAAGCTGAGGCAACCTGTTGTCACTTTGTCAGGAGTGGCTCAGGGGAAGGACAAAGGTGCCCCCCCCCCCAGTCTGACTGCTTGTCATGGTGGGCGGGGGGGGGGTCAGGGTGCCGAGGAGGGAGGGAGGAGGTGGTTGCTGGGCCAGGCTCCAGTGGCTCATTGTCTTGTGCCTGCTCTGTTTAGATCCAGAGCTGGCCCTCATTAGGTCTGGGGCAAAGGGCAGACAGAATTAGATCCATTTACACATCATGGCCAGTAAGACAGGTCAGGGTTTTCTGGAGTGGATGCATTGTTATTAAATTTAATTTTTCCAGTGACCTTTATGAAAAGCTGCTTTGGAATTTTTGGAAGTTTGCTAAATTAATATGCTGTTTACCTGTAATGTACTGATGTACCTGTATTGGAGCAAATGGCTAGTAATTTTGTTACTCAGGTTAGATCATTACTTTTTAACTCAGTGGAATCTTTGCAAACAGGTTTTCCAACCCTGTGACTTCTGGTGACACGAAGCCTGAGCGACAGTCTGAATCAAACATGAAGCCTGTTAGTCAAACGCCAGATATTCAGGAGGTAAGAGAGCATTGTAGGGTTTGGTTCTTCTAAATGTAAGCCTGTTTTGACATTGTGTCAGGCTCTGCTTGTGCATATGCCTGATCAAGAAGTGGACCTTGTGCATTTTAAGAATGACCTAATCCTAAGGTGCTTAGCTTGCTAATTCCTTTGCCGAACTAGGCAGCAAAGAAAAATCCTTAATTTAGGGGTGTTTGGCTCATGTGTATGGTTGTTTCTAAGCATAAGATAGCAAAATGCCTCAGTAAGCTTAATAGCCTTTTATGAAAGAGTTCCCTGCCTCTCTTCTTTCTCCTGTGAATAGTGCTAGTTTGTTTTAATCATTATGCCATCAATTAACTCTCTCTAAACATTTCATTCCATTTGTCATAATGATACTTGGATATGGACAGAAGTTTCACTGTTAGACTTGTTGTTTCTCAGTTTGTGTCAAGGCATATTTTTATATCTTTAAAAAAGATGTTCAGTTTGCTTTTAAATCTCAGTCAATTCAAGTTTGCCATGCTTTAGTAAATTTTCTTGAGGTCCCAGATAGGCTGGTGATGTACTCTCCTAGCTCAGTCTAGCTCGGTCTCACTATGGAGAAAAATAACAGTTTAATAGAGTTGTTGAATATTTTATTAAAGCACCTCTTTAATTTTATTAAAGCACTAGCTTCAGTACATTAATTTCAGTGGGTCTACTCTAAGCAGAACTTAGCTGGATACTGCCCATTGGTCCTGCAGGGCTCAGCAGAAATTGGCTCAGGCTTGAATCCTTCAGGATGAAACCATGCACCATCCAAATCAGAGGAGAATACTGGTTATATTTGGGGGAAATAGTCCAATTTTACTGCATGCAATTTTTGCTATAGTTTTACAGTCCAAAAACCATTTGCAGGAAAGATCCTGTTCCTGTTGTTGTTATTGAAATGTTACAAACTTCTTAAGAAAAGCCCAAAACTTGTGAGTTGGTATAAAATTCTGGGATGTTACAAGGTTGTTCTTATGATTTATTTATTTTTAATGCTACAGGAGTGGCATATGTGTAAGATGTCATTTAGAAATGCTCTAAAATATCTTTTTCTAATGTTATATTGTTTCAGGATGAGGCACATTTCCTGCATGCAACAGATTCTAGAGAAGCCCATTCGGCTGGAACTCCCTGGAAGCTACAGCAGCCTTTAAAAATCCCACACAGAGATGGGCACCTTGAGAGAGATCGTAGTTTTGCCATAGAGAGTCAAAATGTCACTCTGCAGGGTGAAAGTCCTGCTTTGGTCACAGATCATGACCTGAAAACACATTCCAAGCCTTCTATAGAAAATGTGTGCATTAAAACTGTCAGAGCAACCATGTTTGAGCACAATGTGCAGAGGCACCACATAGCTGCTGGTCACTTTGAAGCTGAGTCTACATTGCAGGCAATGAATGAGCTTGTTGAGGGGCAGCTAGGATTTGGCAAGGAGTCATGGCTAGAAAAAGCTCGGGAGGCTAAAATGAACCCAAATAAAGTGTCCTCCAGGCAGGCTCATATATCAGCAGATGCTGGAAAACAAAGAAATGCAAACATTTCAAATGAAGACAAAGTTCCTCAGGCATCAGAGATATACACTGCAAAAGACAAGTATGAAAAACCCACTGCAAAGCATGTGGAGGACTCATTAATGTACCAAAGGATAGAACCAAGATATGAAATTCTCCAGACAGTTGGCAAAAGGGTGCAAAGCGAGGCAATTGCAGTTGTGCCTGAGGATAAGGCTGTAACCCTACGCAGCAGAAGATTTTTGAAAGAGAGGAGAAAAACGGATGGGAGTGCTGTGGATGCTTCTTGGACCCGTAGCTCCGACATTAAGGGTGATGGCTGGAAAGATGACTCTTTCCTTTTCAAAGCAAGAGACGCAGAGGAAATTTCAACAAAGGTAACTGCTCTGAAAGAAGTTAGTGCCTCCCAAAGCCAACATGTTTCCCACAAGCAAGGAGCTGAGTTGGATAAAAATCTGACTGGACAGCAGCATGCAACTGTGACAGCTTCATACTTCGCTAATAGAGAGAAGGATTTGGGGAAAACAGATGACACAGTCTCTAAGCTATCTTCAGGGACAGAAAAAAGAAAAAGTGATGCTGTTCTTGCTGGTAAGATGGAGAGTTCCAAAATGCTGAAATGCTTCCCAGAGAGTTTTGAAGCAGGTCCAGACAGGACAGATGGCTGTGAAGCCAGAGCAAATGGTGGTCAGAACATTTCTTCACCCATTACCAGTAAGCAGGAGAGCCAGACTTCTCTGTGTGGGATGACCCATTACCAGTGGCAAAAGCACAGCAGCAAGTGTCCTCACCCAGAGGCAGACCCTACAATATCTTACGAGCAGAAAGAACAATCTAAAGCATTTGGATTAATGACATGCTCAATGGCATACAGTGCCCAAGAAGAACGGAATGTTTTGGAGCACAAAGCTGAAGTACACCAGCATCAACAGCTCAGTGGAGAAGAGATGGTCAGGAGAAGTGGCCGTCATGTTTCTGGTCCAAAAGCTTCAGAAAGATGGCGAAGGAAGACCTTGCCTCATGATACTGCCCAGTTTGAGGAAGCTGGGCTGCTGGCTCAGGAGAGTGGCAAAGCCCTGAGCAGACGGGACTCCTTGCAACTTCATGACAAATTGATTGCAAAGAGAAACCCAAAACCCAGGTGTGGAGCAGAGCCACAGGATGGGAGTTTAGTCACTCCCAGCAGTCCAGACAATGATCTTAAGAATCAGCTCTCTCCTTCAGAGCCGAAGGCAACATATTTTGCTATTACTTACCAGATCCCTGATGAAAACGCAAATATCTCTGGAAAGCTACTTGATCCTCTCAGAAGCAAACACATTTCTTCACTAGCCAAAGATGCTTCAGTTACTCCCAATACTAGTACTTCCAGAAGATCCTATCCCCCAAATTACCAGTATAGTAAAAGATTTACAGATGCACATGTCTCTCTGGACAGGCATCTTAAAAAGAACTGGATTGAAGGGGGAGAAGGTAGTGCCTCAGATCTTCCAAAGAAAGGAACATTTAAACATACACTAACTGAGACCAGAGATGGGAACTCGATGGCTCCGGAGAAGCAACTAGAGGATGCTAAAGCGAGGGTTATAGAAGTAGATCCCCTGCATCTAGCAGGGCCAGAGTCTCTCTTCTATTTCAGACCTCTTCATTGGGACAGTGAGCATTTAGGGCAAAAGAAGTGTAGCAACCACAGCCACAGTATGGCCAAAGGTAAGGCCTCTGATTATTACAGGTCGAAAGTTCTTGACATTGATGCACTGATGGCCCAATATGAAGGAGATTCTAAGAAGGACTCTGTGGCTCTGGGCAAGAAAGAGGGTGGTCTTCCTGAAGATAGCAGCTCATTTCCTTGGGAGAGATTGGCACATAAAAGGAATTCTCCAGGAAGCACTAGGCAGGATATTTACGCCACAGAATTCTGCATAAGAGAGAGAGAGCTGTTGAGGAACTGTGGCCAGCAGCTGAATCCCTCCAAGGCCATAGATGTGAATTTCAGCCCTCCTTTCCAGGCAAGGGCAGTTGCAGAAAAACCAAAGTATTCACCTGCAGCAGATCCAGTCAGCACTAGGAAAAAAACATTCATTGTTGATGATGATCAAGGAGAGGACCTCGTGTTAAGGCACCAAAGTGCAAAATATGCTTATTACAATTCACAGGTCTCCAGTCTTGTCAGTACGGATGTGGAACTGGAGAAAAGCTTTGTCCTTCATCCCCCACAGGTACTCAGTGACGGTGCCTTGGGGAAGGATGTGAGCCTGAAGCAACTGTCAGCTGTGCATTCAGAGGGCAACTGGAGCACCAGTGTTGACGTGAGTGGGGCTGATAAGAAGCAAGCTGGTGCAGGTGGAAGTTCTCTGGAGAATGACGGTTCTGCAGTCAAGAGCAGAGCCAAATGGAGTCGCGCTACATCTGGTTTGGCCTGTGACCTACCAGACTTAAAGCGTTCGTACTCTGAAAAGAGTCGCCAGTCCAGAGCAAGGGGCAGTTTACCCTCTGGGCCAGAAACAAGAGGAAGACAAGACCAAAACGGAGTATGTCAAAGCTTCCCACCAGAATCTATGGACAGCCAGCTGAACCAACAAAGGACATCTCAACGGGACTCTTTCCTCCTTGAAAGGACAAAGGTACATTACAGAACCAGTCACTGAGTATAGCTTGTATTCTGCAGGGCAGCCTTCTGCAACTGGAACCATTCAGATGCTGCTAGACTCCAACTCCCATCATCCCCAGCCGGGGTGGCCATGGTGATGGGAATTGTAGCCCAGCAACATCTGGAAGGCATTAGGATGGGGAAGGCTACTGAAAGGAATGAGCAAAGGGTGAGGGGAATGACCATTCTAGGTCTTTTTGTTCTCATGTCATCTATGATGCCCCACAAGGTTTGTCTGCCCCATCTGCACAGCACATACAGCTGACCCTTGGGTGCACCACTGGCAAGCTGTATTAGCTGTGCAGATGGGCAGACAAACCCACACCTTCTGCCACTTCTCTGCAGTGGCAGATATAAAAACTTTGCAAGGACTCATGGCATTAAAGCAAGGTCTTGATTTTGGTGAGTTCAGTTCTCTTTTAAATTTCTTTCTCTAAAAGGATGTTGACAAAGAATGGACCAAGCAGGACCGTGATGGCTCAGGAGCAAGAAATTCTCCCTACCTTCCTCTACAGCAGAGGAGCCACAGTTTTTACAAAGACAAAAGGACTGACCACTGGGCAGCGGTAGGTTCTCCTCTTCTGTGATTTTTTTTTCCAGGCCTGCAAATCTAGTTGCATAAATGTGGTGCACTGAAGGTCTCAGAGCTTCACTGCCCACAGAATGGTTTACACACTTTGCTATGAGTGCAGATGTGCTTTTCCCCCTGCCTTGCTCTTTTCCGTAGCCTTGCTCAACCAAGGTTTCCTGGTCTAGAGTGGGCCAGTGACTTGCCTAAATCACATTGCGCCAGTCCTTTCTCTGTGGGGCTGCTGAGGGAGCAATGAGTCTCCCCTAGATCGCTGGATTGCCTCTAAAAGGGGCTACTTAGTGATCTGGTGATATATCACGATGTTGAAAATCAGATATTGCCCAGCCCTATTGTTGACTCAGCGTGATTGGTTGGGATGGAGGAGAGTATGGCATAAGTTTAGAATAGGTGATCAAGCTCAACAAAGTGGATAGCGAGGGAGACATGAGCAAGTGAAACAAGGTGTTCTTTGCTCTGCTGATAAAAGCATACTTTAGTCTTGAGCCATCTGGTAGACAAATTTGCTTGGTACTTTTCCCTTCTATTCATAGATGTAGAGAATATCCGCACCCCACCCCAAACATTGTGAAATATGCAATTCATTTTGAACCTTTCTCTTAAAAAAAAAAAAATTATAAGCACAGAATAGGTTTTAGTTTGAAAATATCTAAAAAGTAAAGCCAGATTTCAAAAAACCAAAAGGCAATCGGAAGTTTTCTGCTGGCTACTTTGAATTATCACTATCTAGAAACCCTCTTGAGAGTTGGAATACTGAACCTAAGAAACAGCCATGCAGTTAGTCTTTTACTCAAAGGCAAGACTTAGTGAGCCTGCTGTCATCTTAAAGGCTACTGCAGCAGCTCCTCATTTGTGGAATGCCCATGGGAGACTCACCTGGCTCATTCATTGGCTACCTTTAGGCACCAGGCAAAAACGTTTCTCTTCAACCAGGCCTTGGGCTGATTAACATTCTGTAGCTTTTTAAATGTGTTTGTGGAAGTGAGATTATTGGTTTGTTTTTGTCTTTGTTATATATTTTATATTTTCATTTTGTATTTTTCTGTTGTGAACTGCCCTAGGATCTTTGGAGGAAGGGCAGTAAATAAATGTAATAGTAAATAAATAAAGCTTTTGTGAGTTGTTGTAACTACCTATAATTGGATGTATGAGGTGAAATTAAGAGGCAAGTATTTGAAAATAATTGCCAGAATGCCTGCAATCAATGCCATTCCTTCTCCATTACCTTATGAAATTGACCATGGTGCAGAACTCATTTGAAACAGGCCTGTCCCAGAAAAGGGGCTAAAGCATATTAAATGTTGTGGCTGGGAATGATATCTCACTGTGTGAGGCACAAGTGTTGCTTCATATTCCTTCCAGCCTCTCCCTTTCAGAATTAATGTGTTTTGTTTTTGAATTTTGAATTCTGAGGTGCCAGTGCATAAACAGAAGAGGTGGAAGTTGGTGTTATTTGGTGCTGCTGTTGATCAGCATTGATGAAAGGACAGGAACAGTGTCTGATGGGTTATGGGACGCTGGTGACAGTAGTAAACTGCCAGTTAAGTGCTTATCCTTGAGGAGGAAGCTTTTCAGAGTTGTGCCTGCAAATAGGAAACTCAAAAGTGTGCTTTAAATCAAAGATTTGCTGATCACCTGGGTGTTCAACTCCACCATGTGGTGACTGAAAGGATTGCTTTGTTTAGAAAATGTATGCTTTTTTCAGCAGCTGCTAGCAACGGAGTACTAAGACTGGGGAAGTTGTGCTAACTTTGGCAGGTGGGGGACTCTTGTCATGTCCATGTTGTGATGTCCGTGCATGGGCAAGAGATTGGGGAGTGCTTTCTAGGATCCAGTCTCGGGGAGGGGGGGATGCCTGTAAACTTTATTGGGCATTATTGTTGTCCTGCAAGGTTGCCCTGAAACATGCCCAGCATCCCTTGGAGCTTCATGTTAACAGGGGAAGACCGGAAACAGTGGTTGTCTGATAACTTGTCTGTGACTATCAGCCTTCTTGTGGCAGAGCTCTGATGTGCCTTGGTGGAATCCTGGTTTGAAAAACTAGGAGACAATATAAAATCTGGCTCACTGTCTTCTGAGTGAATCAATCTCTCGTCTGGTAGTGAGATTCTTACTAATGGGAAGCCAAGGTATGTTTGCATTGTGTCTGCAGAGATGCCTGCATTGGGTTGTGCTTGGTGTGTGTCAGTCCTAAATGGTGCCACCACATTGGCGTTTCAACATTTTATCCATTCATTCTGGGCAAGGTACCCATTTTTGTTCCCTTTAAAGCCTTATCGCTCAAGTGTGTGTGTGTGTGTGTGTGTGTGTGTTAAAAGAACCCACCTTTTTAAACAACAGGTTGAGCCAAACCCTTGAAACGTCACCCAATTTCAATCGTTAAAAAATATTCTTAATAACAATATGAAATTCCATCTCCTTACATTAAGGGGTAATGACAAGGGGGTGGATTTGGGGTTTTGCTTTCATCATAATGTTGCACTGTTGCTGAAAAGGGAAATCATGAGATTATGATGATTTTTATATGTTCTGAAAAGGGAACAAGAGTATCTGTGGGAGAGAGGTGAATACTGGAAACTGTCCTCCCCACTGCCCAATGTTGGTCTCCAGCTTCCCTAATCTCTGACCATTGGCCATGTTGTCTGCAGCTGACAAAATCCAGAGGGGCACAGACAATGCACGGGGCATTGTGTGTGTCCCCCCCCCATTTCACTTAAAAGTCTCTTGGTTTTCATTTGTGTGCTCCAACCTTTAAGCAGAGGCTTGACAACCATATGTCAGGAGTGCTCTGATGGTGTTTCCTGCTTGGCAGGGGATTGGACTCGATGGCCCTTGTGGTCTCTTCCAACTCTATGATTCTATGATTTTATGATTCTATGAACCTGTGCCCTCAGATGGTGTGAGCTCTCTCCTATTCTTGCTTCAGTACACAAAGTGCACGATTGTCTTTTCCCTATGAACCCAGCACTGCACACTGGGATTGGCTGATGGTAGTAGATGACTTTAATCATAACAGGGCTTAATCTTTGTGGGAGTCCAGATTTTATCACGCTAATCCCAGCCCTGGAAAGGGCTAATCTGTGTCAGCTGGTTGCACCTGAAAAACAGGATAGGCAATTCTGCCTTTTGCAATGACACCCCCCCCCCAAGTCTTACCTGCAAACTCTTGCTTCCACACAGCCCTCCCCACATCCACTGCTGTCAGATGAAGTCCTCCTGGGCGGGGGGTGGGGGCGGCTCCTGCTCAGCTGTTGTTGTAAGAACTGCTGCTTACCTTGTGCCCAAGGTTCTGGGTGCTGACTTACAGCACTTATATTTAGGTAAGCAGGGGAGGCTGCCGGTAGTCCTGGATTACCTAGCAGGCAGACGAGCATTTGCTTAGGGCACGAGCAAAGCAGGGGCACCCCCAAAAAATGTGATTTATTTTTTTAAAAAAAGAACTTAACATTTGATATTTAAGAAAAAGTGTTGAAGTCATCATTATCATGGGGAAAATGAGAACTTTGTAAAACTTCCTTACACTGCATTGCACACTCTTTCCCCCCTTTCGCGTTCTCTTTTTATTACTCATCTGCACCTACATGAACCAGGGTTGTGTCTTACTAATGTAGATTGAAATAATAAGAGGAAATCAGATCATCTCATGCGTTTATTTTATGGTTTAGTATTGCTTTTATTTTGAGTTACATATTTGGGGGCAGAATCTTTCCAGTGCTTAGGGCCTCTCAAGGTCTTCATCTGGCCCTGGCTGCTCTTGCAAGTTTACTCAGAAGTAAGCCCCATTGAGTAGGGCAAGGCTCCCAGGGTTAAGCAGGTTGCAGTCTGTGACTCAAAGAAGTGTGGGCAGCAGCATCTTGACCTCTCTTTCGCCTCTGCCTCTTCTCATACACCTGAGATCTTGAGAGGTGGCAAAGCTGTTCTCCTCCTCCTTCTCGCAGCCTTTGCTTAGGAAGCTGCATGTAGAGGAACACAGAGCAGCTGATGAATAATTTGTAGGGTTTACTGCTGGTTCTTAGTTTGCAAGTGCTGCTGGTCATCAGAGGAGCGCAGGACTATTCCATGCTCTAGAATAGTTTTATCCCCTTCTTTAATTTGAAAAGTGTTTTTATGCTAAGCCTGTTCCTCTCCCCCACCCCCTTTTGTGGTCTGCAGCTCAGGGGAAATGAGGTCAGTCAGCCACAAAGCAAGGGCTGCTCCTTTTGCCATATACTGCAGCCTGTATCCGCTCAACAGGCCTTTTTCAGAAAAAGAAGTTTTGGTCAGAAGTATAATTGGAAATTGAAATTGCAGCTGCACTCTTGCTGGTGATCTACTAGCACTTGTTGGTTAAGGTAAATAGGCTTGGAAGTGGCTTTAGCACCAGCACCCCCACCTGTTAAAGGGACAGACGGTGCACAGATCCTTTCCTCCTATTGAGCAGCTCTCTGAATTATTCATGGTGCCTTTAATTGGGTTGATATACTTATGACTTTCTACTAAAGAGCAAAACAAACGGAGGTGGGGGAGCACACTTTCTTTCCATCTTCTGGTGAGAATGGAGTATTACTACTGCCCAAACTTGCTGAAGTCCTTACGGTCTCTGTGGGTGAGTAGAACATCTGCCTCTTGCTCATATTCTCAGTATTGGGGTGTACTTGCTTTCCCGTTAAGTATATCTGTCCATGGCTTTGAGACCTGTCTGTCAGGAGGGAGGGAGGGAGGGCAATTGGTGTCTCTTGGTTAGGAGGGGAAGCAGGAGGGGAAGGTCATTTGAAAAGAGAGACCTGAAAATAATTTAATCATGGTAGGATAATAAAAGATGACAGCATAGATCTGTGGTTTGTATATGGGACTGGGATCCTAACTCCTTTCGGTGAGACAAGCACCAAACAAAGCAGTCATGCTGACTGGGGCTGATGGCATCTGTCAAAAACATTGGGAGGGTAGTGGTTTGGCCACCATAGTCCATGCATTAATTACATCAAGAATGGATCACTGCAATGGGCTCTGTGTGTGGCTTCCCTTGTGCTTGATTGGGAAGCTGCCATTAGTGCAGCACAATTGCTGGCAGCCGTGAAACCTTGTCCGCATATCACACCTGTGCTCAGAGATCGGCAGTGGCTGCCAAGTTCAAGGTGTTACTATTAGCATAGAAAGGCCTTAATGACTTGGGGACACATTACCCCAAAGATGGCCCCTCGTTCGCTTCCATCTGCGGAACGGGCGCTGTTACAGGTACATCATACATGTCCCACATTTGCAAGAAATTGATATTTTAGTCTGGGAGTGCCCACACTTTGGAACTCCCTGCCAGGGGTCTTCACTGTCCTCTTTCACCAAACCTGTCCTGATATGTGATTTAATCTGGTTTTAACTTATAACTGATTTTAATTATTTACCTAGCTGTTTTTACTGATAATCTTATTGTTTTATTCTTTTTGTAAAGCGCTTTGAGGTTTTTTTTTAACAATCAAGTGGCATATAAATTTTATGAAATAAATAAAAATAAACAGTAGGGCTTATCAGAGCTTGCAGGGCAGCGGCGCGCGCCTAGTGGCGCGCGCAGTTTGATCCACCTTTTAGATTTAGGGAAGCTAGAGATGCTCCTGGCTGCTTTCTCTGTGGCTCTGTCTGCCTGGCAAGGAAGCAGGTGGTTGGAATGAAGAGGAAGAAGGGCAGGAGCAGCTGGTGATCATGGGGCTAAGGCCGTAGACTCATTGTGGGAGGGGATCCCATGGAAGGGGTGTGACTTAGGCAAGGGCCCTTGCTGGCTCCGAGTTCATGAATGTCAGCCAATCATCTTCCTAACACCATATTTTCCTGTTAGGGATACATGTTACCTTTACACACCTTGCATTGAACACTGGTGCTAGTGTTTGTATGAAAGGGTGTACATTTGTTGATTTGTACATCTCAACTGTCATGCACACAGGAACACAGGTGAAACACTTGCTGAGTGCTATGGCAAAACAACATTGTTAGTAGTTTGATTTCTGTTTCCCATTATCTGGGAAACCATGTGTCTCTTTGCCTCCTTCTAGCGATTGGGTGACTGGAGGTAGTAAGTTGCACCCAGGTTACAAATTAAAGGGAGAAAACTTTTCCTTTAGCGTTGTCTGAAGGGTATCTTGTGTGCTGAAAAATAGGAAGGAAACCAAACCAGAGACAGTGGTCAAATGACCTGGATGAATTTTCTAATCATTATGTCAAACTTGCCTCCTCAGCCCCTTCACGCCTTGGCCTTCCTGCTTTTCATTGTGCCTCTAGCATAGTGGTTCCCATTTGGAGGGGGCACTGCCCCCTCAGTTCCACAAACTCATCCCCAGTGCCCCCTGCCCTACCCTATAAAAATAGAGCAGTAGAGCTTAAAATGCAAAGTGAGGAAGGCATTTTGCTGGGCTGTAGGTTGGTCAGTTGTAAATAAGTGGTTGATGTGCTTGTTGGGGGGGCCCTGCCACATAGCGCCCTCTAGGTGATTCCCCAGGGGCTGTACTGCTCCCTTTCAGAAGCCCTGCACTAGCACATACTTTGTTCTGGAAGCCTGCATGGCTCATGAAGTTTGGAAGCTCACCTAGGATCTCTTTGGTTCCCAGCACCTTGTGTGTTTGTTTTTTTTAATAAGATATTTATTAGGATTTTAAAAAAATATTACAATGAAAAATGAAAAAGAAAAAAAATACAAAATAAAAATGATTAAAAACACTCAAATTTTCCATTGCTTATTTTTCCTTAGCTTGTTTCCCGGACCTCCTCATACCTCCCTTTTTGTATTCCAGTTCAGTTTGTTGGTTCAGCAAATCCTTACCCTCTTTATTTATCCTAATCTTTGGTCTTAAAATAGTAACGTTAGATTTTTACCTCTTAACAACCCCTTTTTCATATTCCCTTAAAGCATTACAGCTAGAAACCACTTAATTTCTATCCAACATCGTTCTAACATTCATTAATTTTACAATATTTCTGTAGATAATCTTTGAACTTCTTCCAGTCTTCTTCCACCGACTCTTCTCCCTGGTCTCGGATTCTGCCAGTCATTTCTGCCAATTCCATATAGTCCATCAGCTTCATCTGCCATTCTTCCAGAGTGGGTAAATCTTGTGTCTTCCAATACTTTGCAATGAGTATTCTTGCTGCTGTTGTGGCATACATAAAAAGGGTTCTATCCTTCTTTGGCACCAATTGACCGACTATGCCCAGGAGAAAGGCCTCTGGTTTCTTCAGGAAGGTATATTTAAATACCTTTTTCAATTCATTATAAATCTTAACATCTGGAAAGCGATCTCCCCTCCGGATTGCAGGAGAGGAGGGGGGAAAGGTTTGAACTGTATTTATCTGCAAAAAAAGGGGGAAAGGAAGCTAAAATCCACCGCCTAAAACCTGGGAACGGACTGCCCCGAGATAAGGAATGCCGCTCTGTGGAAAGCCTATCAGTAAGCAGAGGACTTTTGACAGCTAACTCTGCAAAAGAGATACAGTGTTTCTGAACTTCTCCTGGTTTTAAAGTAACTGATTAAGTGCAACTGAAACTGTTGTTTTTATGTGAATTGGGGGACTTATAAGGACTATTTTCTTTTTTAAAAGTTGCAAGCTTTGGCTGTTACTGTGTCCCCCTAGAGGAGGCTTGACATTGCTACAGTAACAACTGGGCTAGAGGAATTTTCCATTCCAAAACAAATTTCCAGCTGTGGGATCGGCCTTGAATTCTCATGAGAGTGTTATGGCAGATGGAAGAGGAAAGTTAGAGTTGGCGCAGGAAAAAACTACTAGGTCTGGCAGACCCTATCGGACAGATACTGTGTTGCAGCGAAGGGCTTCAACATCTGGACCATCTGGAATACCAGGGGCTGCACCTCCACAGGTTAAACCAAACGTTATGTCATCCGAAGACGTTTTGGCACAGGCACTTGGAAAAATTAATGAATCTTTGGAAAATTTAGCTAAACAAGTAGCTGAAACAAATAAACAAGTAGCTGAAGCATCAGTTAAAATTGACCAGAATACTACAAGCATCAATAATTTGGGACAGAAGGTGAATACCAACACAGAGTCGATTGAAAAATTACTACAGGAATCTGCTTCGACCCGAAAGATAGCTGAAGAAGCAAAAGATATAGCAACTGCTACTCAAGAGAAGATACCACCGGTATATAAGCAACTGGAGGACCACGGTTTGACATTGTCTATGATTGAATTGAAAGAGAAATAAAGAAATTTAAGAATCAGGGCTGTACCAGAATGTGAGAAAGACAATTTGGCTGATTTTCTTACGCAGGAATTCACAGATTTCTGGCAACAGGATTTGGGGAAGGAAGAATTTATGATAGTGAGTGCATTTAGACTTGGAAGAGGAGGAAGGAGGAACAAGGTGAGAGACTGCTTGATTACCCTTCGAACAAAAGAGGAGAGAGACAAAATCTTGAATCTGCATTACCAAAAGACTTTGGAAATTTACGACTCAAGTGTGGAGATATTCAAGGACATTCCAAAACACCTTTTGGATTTAAGGCTCAACTACGGAGATTTGGTTGCCCTGCTGAGAAGAAACAGAATCATCTTCAGGTGGGAATTCCCTCAAGGCCTGTCCTTCAAATATAAAGGAAGAAAGATAAAAATAACATCAGTCAATGACAAAGATAGGTTTCTGAAGGATCACGGAGAAGATCTACAGAAAGAAGTGGAATCCGGAGAAGAGCCAAAAGCACTGGAAAAAGGAATACTAGACATAGCAAACTTATCTTTTGGATTGCATGGTCCAGAGAAAGAGACACCACTGACAGAACAAGAACAGACACTTGGCGCAGTTGGAGGTAAAGCGAAGTAACCCCATCATGGCTCTGCAACTGTTAAGTTGGAATTGTAATGGTTTGAATTCTCCTTGGAAGAGAAAAAGTGTTTTTCATTTACTAAAAAAGGAACAATTGGACTTGATTTGTCTACAAGAAACACATGTAACAAGGTTACACAGGAAACTACTGATTAATAAGAGATTGGGACAGGAGTTTATCTCATCTGACCAAGTTAAAAAAAGAGGAGTTGTGATATATGCAAAGGAGAGACTATTACCGAAATTAATTTTTAAAGATGACCAAGGAAGATTTTTGGCAATTGAAATTCAAGTTCAGGGAGAGAAATTTTTGACGGTAGGAATTTATGCACCGAATGAGGGGAAATCTGAATTCTTTAAAAAGTTGCATGAGACCTTATTGGATTATTTGGATTACAATCTGATCTTGATGGGGGATATGAATGGAGTAGTATCTACAAACATGGATAAGGCACAAAGACAGGTAGTTACCAAGGATGGTAGACTACCGAAAACATTTTTTGAGATGATAGACAATTTTGATTTAGTGGACACTTGGAGAACAAAGAACCCCTTGGGAAGAGAGGGAACCTTCTTTTCTGAAGCTAAGATGACATGTACTAGAATTGACCAAATATGGGTAACTAGAGGAATGGCACCAAAGATAAAGAAAGTGGAAATCTGCCCAAAAACCTGCTCCAACCATAATGCGGTAAGGATGGAGTTGAAACTAACATCAACTGGCTCCTTCAGATGGAGGATGAATGACACCTTATTTAGAGATGAAGAAGTGTATAAAAAGGCCCAAAAAACCTTGAGAGACTATTTTGAAATAAATATGAATACTAATGTAGAAAAAAGAGTAATCTGGGACGCAAGTAAAGCTGTCATGAGAGGGTTTCTGATACAACAAAACGCAATAAAGAAGAGAAGCCAAAATGAGAAGAAAGATAAAATTTTGGGGAAAATAAAAGAAAGTGAAAAGAAATTGAGAGCAAAACCAAAGTCGCAGGAGATTTTGAGAGAAATAAAGTTATATCAAGTACAATATATGGAAATGATGAATCAGGAAATAGAATGGAAAATTAAACAAATGAGACAAAAAACATTTGAATCAGCTAACAAATGTGGGAAATTGCTGGCCTGGCAAATGAACCTTGTGTGTTTTAGTCATCATGCAGGCTTGCTAGTGGGGGGCTTGTTGCTCACCACTTCTTCAGTTCTGTTGCCGCCCCAAACTGAACTAAAAGGAGATCCTTGCAGCAGGCTGAGGCCAGTGAGAAGTGTCTCTTCTTTACTACAGCGATCACAGTGTTGTTTTGGATTGTGCTGCTCCTGCTCCTGCTTCTTGTCAGCTGACTTTCACCAGGGATGGTGTACAATGTTGGCAGGATTCAGGATTAAAATTAACATAAACTGTGCCGGTAACAGGATGTTAGCGCCTGCAGTCATGGCCTTTATGGTAACCCATGTTCCTTGGCTGCTGGTACTATACGTGCATTGCTGAATTCAATAGTGCCACTGTATTCTGCTCTGGTCAGACCTCACCTGGAGTACTGTGTCCAGTTCTGGGCACCACAGTTCAAGAAGGACACTGACAAACTGGAACGTGTCCAGAGGAGGGCAACCAAAATGGTCAAAGGCCTGGAAACGATGCCTTATGAGGAACGGCTAAGGGAGCTGGGCATGCTTAGCCTGGAGAAGAGGAGGTTAAGGGGTGATATGATAGCCATGTTCAAATATATAAAAGGATGTCACATAGAGGAGGGAGAAAGGTTGTTTTCTGCTGCTCCAGAGAAGTGGAGGAAACACCATCAGAGCACTCCTGACATATGGTTGTCAAGCCTCTGCTTAAAGACCTCCAAAGAAGGAGACTCCACCACACTCCTTGGCAGCAAATTCCACTGTCGAACAGCTCTTACTGTCAGGAAGTTCTTCCTAATGTTGAGGTGGAATCTTCTTTCTTGTAGTTTGGATCCATTGCTCCGTGTCCGCTTCTCTGGAGCAGCAGAAAACAACCTTTCTCCCTCCTCTATGTGACATCCTTTTATATATTTGAACATGGCTATCATATCACCCCTTAACCTCCTCTTCTCCAGGCTAAACATGCCCAGCTGCTGTCGCCGTTCCTCATAAGGCATCGTTTCCAGGCCTTTGACCATTTTGGTTGCCCTCCTCTGGCCACGTTCCAGTTTGTCAATGTCCTTCTTGAACTGTGGTGCCCAGAACTGGACACAGTACTCCAGGTGAGGTCTGACCAGAGCAGAATACAGTGGCACTATTACTTCCCTTGATCTAGATGCTATACTCCTATTGATGCAGCCCAGAATTGCATTGGCTTTTTTAGCTGCCGCGTCACACTGTTGGCTCATGTCAAGTTTGTGGTCAACCAAGACTCCTAGATCCTTTTCACATGTACTGCTCTCAAGCCAGGTGTCACCCATCTTGTATTTGTGCCTCTCATTTTTTTGCCCAAGTGCAATACTTTACATTTCTCCCTGTTAAAATTCATCTTGTTTGTTTTGGCCCAGTTCTCTAATCTGTCAAGGTCGTTTTGAAGTGTGATCCTGTCCTCTGGGGTGTTAGCCACCCTCCCAATTTGGTGTCATCTGCAAATTTGATCAGGATGCCCTTGAGTCCATCATCCAAGTCGTTGATAAAGATGTTGAATAAGACCGGGCCCAAGACAGAACCCTGTGGCACCCCACTAGTCACTCTTCTCCAGGATGAAGAGGAACCATTGATGAGCACCCTTTGGGTTCGGTCAGTCAGCCAGTTACAAATCCACTGAGTGGTAGCATAGTCAAGACCACATTTTACCAGCTTCTTTACAAGAATATCATGAGGCACCTTGTCAAATGCCTTGCTGAAATCAAGGTAGGCTACATCCACTGCGTTCCCTTCATCTACCAGGCTTGTAATTCTGTCACAAAACGAGATCAGGTTAGTCTGACGTGACTTATTTTTCAGAAATCCATGCTGACTATTGGTGATCACAGCATTCCTTTCTAGGTGCTCACAGACTGTTTGCTTAATGATCTGCTCCAGAATCTTCCCTGGTATTGATGTCAGACTGACTGGGCGGTAATTATTTGGGTCCCCTCTTTTCCCCTTTTTGAAAATAGGGACAACATTTGCCCTCCTCCAGTCTGCCGGGACTTCGCCCGTTCTCCAGGAATTCTCAAAGATGACTGCCAGTGGTTCTGAGATCACATCTGCCAGTTCTTTTAATACTCTTGGATGCAGTTCATCTGGCCCTGGAGACTTGAATACATCTAAACTAGCCAAGTATTCTTGTACTATCTCCTTAGTTATTCTGGGCTGTGTTTCCTTTGCTGAATCATTTGCTCCAAATTCTTCAGGTCGGGCATTGTTTTCTTTATCGGGGAAGACTGAGGCAAAGAAGGCATTGAGGAGTTCAGCCCTTTCTGTGTCCCCTGTTTGCATTTCACCATCTTCTCCTCTGAGTGACCCCACTGTTTCTTTGTTCTTCGTTTTGCTACTGACATACCCATAAAAGCCTTTTTTGTTGCTTTTAACCTCTCTAGCAAGCCTGAGTTCATTCTGTGCTTTAGCTTTTCTGACTTTGTGTCTACACGTGCTGGCTATTTGTTTGAATTCCTCTTTGGTGGTTTCCCCCTTTTCCATTTTTGTACACATCCTTTTTAAATCTTAACTCAGTTAAAAGTTCTTTAGATAGCCACCCTGGCTTCTTTAGGCACCTTCCATGTTTCTGTCTCATTGGTATTGCCTGACGTTGTGCTTTTAGTATCTCCCTCTTAACAAACTCCCAGCCATCATGAACTCCCTTTCTTTTTAGTATTACTGTCCATGGGATCTCACCCAGTACTTCCCTAAGTTTTATGAAGTCAGCTTTCTTAAAGTCAAGAAATTGAGTCCTAGTATGCTTGGCTGCTCCTTTCCGCTGTATAGTAAACTTCAGAAGAGCATGATCACTCGCGCCTAATGATCCTTCCACTTCTACCCCACTAACCAGGTCATCAACATTGGTTAGGACCAGATCTAAAATGGCTGTTCCTCTTGTTGCTTCTCCCACTTTCTGGACAATGAAGTTGTCTGCAAGGCCAGTGAGGAATCTGTTTGACCTTATGCTCTTGGCTGAGTTTGACATCCAACAAATATCCGGGTAATTGAAGTCCCCCATTACTAAGAAAGCAAATCGTTTCCATAAATGTTTTTTGAAATGAGCACACAAAAATTCTTGTAACCCTTTCTAAAGACTGGGCAAGCTAAGCAGGAGCAGACGCTGCTGGAGAGCTCAGTGTCCTAAGAGGACATTCTCCTGAGTGTGTGGTCTTGGTTTGGGGCTGAATATTGACTTAGGAGTTTGTGTGCATGAAGAGAGAATTTTATGAACTGGAGCTTTCTGTTGCACAACTCTGAGCAAAATGTCGGCACCTTCTCTCTAGAGCACTAGGCAGAAGAATGTTTCGGTAAGTGTATGTATGTTTTTTGCTCTTATTTTAAAAGAAATGTGGTTGCAGTCGGTGGACAGGCCTGAACAATATTCTAATAAAATAACTTTTGATAGGAAGTAGACTTTTTCACCATATCACTGTAGTCTTTTTGCAAAATGTCCTCATGATTTAACCACAGGAGGGCGCTATTACACTGTAGTCACCTCGACCCAGAATTTGCAAGAATTTGCCAATTCTTTAGTTTTGTAGTGGTACACACTTGGGTTGATGGAAACCTCTGGATTTCACTAGCTCTGCCTGCCAACCTTAAAACTTTCTCCTTGGTCTTGCTAGTTTGAACCATCCCAATTTAGATGTGGCCATTGACACATGCTTTTTTATTTTTTATTTTTAATAATTTTTATTAAGGTTTTAAACAAAGAAAAAAGAAAAACAACACACACACAAAAAAAATACAAAACTTAACAATAAAAACAGAACATAACAATTAAAAACAAACTCTCTTTTCCATTCCAATTTTAAATTACTTATTTTCTGGACTTCCTCATACCTCCTTTTTTTGTATTCCAATCCACATTATTTGTCCAGCAGTTTCTTTTCCACTTTTTTAATCCCAATCTTTAATTTGCTAAAATGTTAAAATATATAACTTCAACTTTTTTAAACCTAATCCTTACTCTTAATGTCATATAGCTTTAAATTTTTCCCTTTTATTATCAAATTTCCATTTCTTTAAACATCTTTAATCTTAACCTTTAATCTTAATCTATCCTTAACTTTAACCTGTACAGCTGGAAACCACTTATTTTCAATCCAACATCACTCTAACATTCCTTAATTTTGCAGTGTTTCTGAAGATAGTCTTTGAATTTCTTCCAGTCTTCCTCCATCGACTCTTCTCCCTGGTCACGGATTCTGCCAGTCATTTCCGCCAATTCCATATACTCCATAAGTTTCATCTGCCATTCCTCCAGTGTGGGAAGTTCTTGTGTCTTCCAATACTTTGCGATGAGTATTCTTGCTGCTGTTGTTGCATACATAAAGAAAGTTCTATCCTTTTTTAACACCATTTGGCCCACTATGCCCAGGAGAAAGGCCTCTGGTTTCTTGGGGAAGGTATACTTAAATACCTTTTTTAATTCATTATATATCATTTCCCAGAAAACCTTAATCTTTGGGCACGTCCACCAAAGGTGAAAAAATGTACCTTCAGTTTCTTTACATTTCCAACATTTGTTATCGGGCAAGTGATAAATTTTCGCAAGCTTGACTGGGGTTATGTACCACCTGTATATCATTTTCATAATATTCTCTCTTAAGGCATTACATGCCGTAAATTTCATACCTGTGGTCCATAACTGTTCCCAGTCAGCAAACATAATGTTATGTCCAACGTCCTGTGCCCATTTAATCATAGCCGATTTTACCGTTTCATCCTGAGTATTCCATTTCAGCAGCAAGTTATACATTCTTGACAGATTCTTAGTTTTGGGTTCTAACAATTCTGTTTCTAATTTGGATCTTTCCACCTGGAAGCCAATTTTCCTGTCCAATTTAAATGCCTCCATTATCTGATAATAATGAAGCCAGTCTCGCACTTTGTTTTTTAGTTTTTCAAAACTCTGCAATTTCAGTCTATCTCCGTCTTGTTCCAAAATTTCCCAATATTTCGGCCATTTGACCTCCATATTGACCTTTTTTCAAGGCTTTCGCTTCCATTGGTGACAGCCACCTTGGGGTTTTATTTTCTATTGACACATGCTTTTTTAATCTCCTGTTTGGATTACTGTAACACTCTATGCGGGGCTGCCCTTGAAAAATGTAAGCAGCCCCACATACCTGGCTGCCGCCAGATTGTTGATTAGGGTTGGTTATAGGGAGCAGGTGACTCCCTTGCTAGAACAGCTCCACAGGCCGCCAGTCTGTTTCCTGGCACAAGTCAAACTGTGCTGGCTATCACCTACAGGGCTTAGGTCCAAGCTATCTGAATGGCAGTATTCTTCCGTATGAACCTGCCTGGGCTCTGAGATCTTTGGGAGGGGCCCTTCTCTTGGCCCCGCCCCCCTCACAGACACGCTTTGTGGGGACGCGGGAGAGAGCCTTCTCGGTGGTGGCTGCTTCCAGACAGTTTTGGAACTCTCTCCCTGGAGATGCTAGACAGGCTTCCTCCCTTCTGTCATTCCACCAGCAGATGAAGACTTTCTTGTTCCAACAAGACTGGCTGCTTTTAATGAAAGGGTTGGTGCCATGCTGGTTTTATTGTAATTATTGGTATGTTTTAAACAGATTTTCTATATGTATATAGTTTTAATTCTACCAGTGTTTAATTGTATTTTAATGATTGATTTTTTTCTTTGTAGTGGTTCTTACTTTTATCTGTAAGCCATCTTGAGTCCTGTCAGAGGAAAAGGTGGGATAACAACAACAACAACAACAACAACAATAATATACCAAAATAAACTGGCATATTTTATAACTTGTGCCCCCCCCAACTTGTGTTCCCCAGCAACCTGCCCTTCTGATCTGAGGTCCTCACGATTCCTTCACCAATTCCCATGCCACCTCCCTGTTCATAGAAGGCCACTGTCTTCCCATTCCCCATTCTGCTGTGTACAATCCCACTGGGCTTGTGAGGACTGCAGAGCTACAAATAAAAGAGCTGTGCTGGATCAGACTAAATGCCCAGCTAGTTCAGTCTTCCCCAACCTTGTGCCCTCCAGATGTTTTGGACCTCAATCTCCATCAGCCACAGCTCTCCATGGCCATCGATGAAGGCTGCTCTATAACAGGTAAAGGTAAAGGGACCCCTGACCATTAGGTCCAGTCATGCCTGACTCTGGGGTTGCGGCGCTCATCTCGCTTTATTGGCCGAGGGAGTCGGTGTACAGCTTCCAGGTCATGTGGCCAGCATGACTTCTGGCGAACCAGAGCAGCGCACGAAAATGCCGTTTACCTTCCTGCCGGAGCGGTACCTATTTATCTACTTGCACTTTGACATACTTTCGAACTGCTAGGTTGGCAGGAGCAGGGACCTAGCAACGGGAGCTCACCCCGTCGCGGGGATTCGAACCGCCGACCTTCTGATCGGCAAGTCCTAGGCTCTGCGGTTTAGACCACAGCGTCACCCGCATCCCTGTTATATTATATATCCCCTCAAAATTTCCACTTTCAATTGGTCTTCTACTTCTGATAACAGCTCTTTATAAGTTGCCCACTCACCTTTTGCATTAAATTTTCAAAGATAATGCTTCCAAGATGTTTTCTGTTCCAATAAATTTTTATATTTCTCCCACACAGAATAAATTTTCTCACAAAGTGGTTTAGGAAACCTTTATGCACTTTTGTCTTTTCATACCATAGATATGCATGCTAACCAAATCTATTATCAAGACCTTCCAAGTCTAAAATATCCACATTCTTTAGAACAATCCACTCCCAAAGCCAGCAAAGATGGGACACCTCATAGTATAATCTCAAGTCTGGCATGGGAAAGCCACCTCTTTCCTTAGTATCTGTTAACAATTTATGATTTATCATTGGTTTCTTCCTCTGCCTGATAAATTTGGAGATAGCCTTCTGCCATTGTTTAAATTATCCTACTCCACTGATTACTGGAATTGTCAGGAATAGAAATAACATTCTTAGCAATACATTGATTTTTATTACTGATATCCTTCCCCACAAACTTCATCCTCCCCCATACCTCCAAATTTCTCTTTATTTCTTTCCAAGTGGTTATATAGTTGTCTTTAAAAATGTTTATATTCCTTGCTTTTTTCTATTAAAACAGTTCTGTTTTTTGTTGTAGGTCCTTTTTGTGTTGTTCTATCATATTTTTAACCAACATTTTTGCTTCCTTTTTATTTAACTTGAAACCTGCTACTTGGCCAAACTCCAGAATTCTGTCCAAGACCCTTGGTATACTTACCATCAGGTCTTCTACTGTTATCACAATGTCATCTGCGAATGCTTTGCACCCAACTGTAATACCTTTTATTCCATCATCTGATCTTATACATCTTGCCAGGGTTTCTAAAATTAATATAAACAATAATGGGGACAGGGGACATCCCTGTCTTGTCCCTTTAGCTATTTTACATTTTTCTCTTATCACGTTATTCACTATTAGCAAAGCCTATTACTCTGAGTAAATTGCTTCTATTCCCCTCTGGAATGACTCTCCAAAGTTCATCATCTCTATTGTTTTTTTCCATAAACATCCATGACACATTGTCAAAGGCCTTCTCTGCATCTATAAACATTAATGTGGATCATTCCTGACCTCCAGATATAACATCAATTATATTCCTTATGCTATCCTTCATTTGACAGCCAGAAAGCCTGCTTGATTTTGATGAATCAAATCTTTGAACAACGTTTTCATATGATTGCCATTATATTGGCAAATAGTTTGTAATCATTATGTAGCAGAGAAATTGGCCTATAATTTTTTACGGATAGTAAGTCTGTGTCTTACTTTGGGATTAAAGTGATATATGCCTTTTTCCAAGACTCTGGTTCAAAATTTTATTCATTACTTCTTTTAAGGGTTATATCAGAAAATCTTGTAATTTCTTATAATATTTTGCTGAGAGTCCGTCTGGTCCTGGTGATTTGCCTATTTTTGTCTGGTTGATTACTTGTTGGAATTCCACCATCGTTATTGGTGCATTTAAATAATTAATTTTCTGAAGTGGAATTTGTGGCAATTTATTCTGCATCAAATATTTCTCGATTTCACCTTTATTTTCTTTACCGGATCAATATAGTTCTGTATAGTATTTTATGAATTGTCTTCTTATGTCTTTCAAATTATCTATTATTTTCCCATCTATTTTCAATTTGTTAATTGTTTTCATTCCCTGTCTTTTCTTTAACTGCCATGCCAACAGTTTCCCAGGTTTGTTAGCGAATTCAAAAAAATTCTGCCTTAGTGTTTTTATCTTTCTTTCAATTCACTAACATTGAAAATTGTGTTTGTAACATTTTTATATTTTGCTTAATTGCATCTTTACCAGGTTTTTAAATCAATTTTTCTATTATCTCTTTCTTTGTTTCTCCTCTTTATCCTCAGGAGTTGGTTCCCCTTTATCTTCCACTGTGTGTGTGTGTGTGTGTGTGTGTGTGTGTGTATATATATATATAAAATATTTACATATATTACTGTGGATGCTCAGGTTGCAAATGTGATCTGCGGGTTGCGATTTGGCGCTTATGTTGGAATCCAGTTGGAATTTCCTTCAGAATTATTATATTAAGTTCATCTGTTTGAAGTCTCTTTTGATAATTCATCTGTAGTATTCCATCTTTTGCCATACGTTAGTTGAAGGTCACCTGGCAGTCCCCTGGCAATATCTTTGCCTTTGCAAAGCTTAATTTTATCCTGAAGGCTTTGTTGATTGGTTGGACTACTTCTTCTTGTATCTCCATCCAGATGACTAATTCCTGTATTATTTTTTTCTCTTATGTTTTCCTCAGTCTCCTCCGGTATCCCACGAAAACACAAAGTTAAATCTTTATGTTGCATTTACAGAACTGCAATCGAGTCCCAGGCGGCCTCCTGCATCCTCATCAGCTCGGCTGATTCTTCCCTCATTTTATCATGTTCCCTTTTCAATTTTCCCCCTTCTGTTTGTGTTTTTTTCTGTTGTTTCCTCAAGGCCTTTTGTATTTCCCCCCCATCCCCTGCACTGATTTTTTCCCAATCCTGTCATTTGGGTTGAAAATTCTTTGGTTGAAAACTCGCTTTTTTTGGGGGGGGTGCACAACGTCCTTGTACTTTCCCCGAGCCCCCCTCACCGATTGAGCCTTTCTCCCGAGATCAAAGCTCGTGCTCTGTCACCATTTACAGGAACCCGGAAGTCCCCCACTCTGCACTCTCAGGTTGTTTGAATTACACCATGGCAAGTCATGGGATGTGGGTGCTCATACTCTGCCTCTCCTTACAGTGGGACAAGGAATTCTTAGTGACTGAAGTAGGGCGGGATGAACCTCCCACATCCTTGCTGGGCCTCTTCTTTGAGTTTGTTGGCAGTTATATCAGACGGATTTATATAGTGAACTTACATCCTGCCACTCAGTAAACATTCTTCACAAGATAGAAAACACAAGTGTATGCTTGGTTGAACATCAGTTTAGAAATACATAATTTAAAACAACCATTGAGACAGTTTTAGTTTTACTTAATGCAAAGGGGGTGAGTTTCTGTTCTGCTCAATCTCTGTGAACTTATCACCTGGACCCTGCACTATAGAATTAAAATAAAAGCTGCATTCCACAGTTCAGCAACATGCTCACCTGAGTGTGTGTCTGGCAGTACTTGTACACCCAACAACGTGAAAAGGAAAGAGCCAGTAGTAGGGCACCAGGAAGCTTGTCTACTGCGGCACAGATACTTCCATTGGATCTGACTTGCTTGTTTCTAATGTTAGCAGCCTCTTCCTGCAACAAAAAGGAAATGTGCCCCTTTGCCTCAGCATTATCCAGTTCCCAGCTGAGGTGTGTATGTGTTTTGCTTCACTCTTTCCCTGCCTACCAGGGAGGTAAGGAAGCTGTTTCACTGGCATTGCTGCTCAGTTTTGGTCTGAAGGAGAGGAAGCCCTGTCTTGGTGCTCCCGAGTAGAGAGCTGGCCTCAGCTGGTGTCCTCCTCTGCACTGGCTTTTTGTGGCCCATGTGGGTTTCTGTTGCATGTGGGATACACACACACACACACACACTTTTTATTAACTTATTATTACAGCACACACACACCACTTAGAAAACAAACTACAAAAGAAAACACATGATAAACATATATCCATAAATCTGCAAGTATCTGCACATGGACTTTATCTAATCTTTAGTTCTTATTCTATTCTAATAGACTTCCTTCTCAGTGTGGGTCTGATTTTAAACTTGATAAACTGTTTCTTTTTCATTTCGTCTTTTCTACCATTCTCCATATGTTGTATTTGTAAACCATATTTTGTTTTGCAAAAATTATTCGAAGCAAGTCCAGGTTTTAATTTGAGGGCACTGTTTTTTAAAATAATCTCTGTACTTTCCCCACTCTTTTTGAAATTGCATCCGTCATTTTTGCCAACTCAAGGCAATCAACTAATCTCTCTTGCCACTCTTTTTTTGTTGTTACTGTTTCGTGTTTCCAGTTTTTTGCAGTTAACATTCTTGCTGTGGATGTTGTGTAAAGGAATATTCTCTTATTTTCATTTGCCATGTCTGAATCTACTATGCCCAATAGAAATGCTTCTGTTTCTTTTTTTACAAAAGTTTGTTTAAATATTTTTTTCAACTCCTCATATACCGTGTCCCAGAAGCTCTTAATTTTGTTACAGATCCACCACGTATGAAGTAACGACCCCTCTGATTGATTATATCTCCAGCACATTTTAGATTTTGTTTTATACATTTTGGATATTTTGGTAGGTCTTATTTGTTGTTGTTGTTTAGTCGTTTAGTCGTGTCCGACTCTTCGCGACCCCATGGACCAGAGCACGCCAGGCACTTCTGTCTTCCACTGCCTCCCGCAGTTTAGTCAAACTCATGCTGGTAGCTTCGAGAACACTATCCAACCATCTCGTCCTCTGTCATCCCCTTCTCCTTGTGTCCTCCATCTTTCCCAACATCAGGGTCTTTTCCAGTGAGTCTTCTCTTCTCATGAGGTGGCCAAAGTATTGGAGTCTCAGCTTCAGGATCTGTCCTTCCAGTGAGCACTCAGGGCTCATTTCCTTCAGAATGGATAGGTTTGATCTTCGTGCAGTCCATGGGACTCTCAAGCTCTCCTCCAGCACCAGGTAGGTGTTATATACCACCTATAAAACATCTTGAGAAAGTTTTCCTTTATCAAGTCGCAAGCCGTGAATCTCCGGTCCTTATTCCATAATTTGTCCCAGGCCAATAATTGAATATTTTTGCCTAGGTCCATTGCCCAGTTAATCATTACTTCCTTTACTTGCTCATCTTTAGCCTCCCATTATAAAATAATTCCATACATTCTAGAAATTACTTTTTTCTTGTTTTGCATTAGTTCGTTGTCTAGTGTTGACTCTTCTCTTGCAAAACCTTTTTTTATTATCTATTCTAAACACCTCATTCAACTGATGGTATTGAATCCATCCTGTTAAGTGATATTTTATATATTTTTTCAGTTTCAGTTTATTACCTTCTTCATCTAAGAGATCCTTATATGTGGCCCATAGCGTTTCCATGCTCTTCCTTTTGCCTGCTATAGCCTCCAGAGGGGAGTGCCACCAAGGGGTTTAGGGTTCTAGTAATTCTTTGTGCTTCACCCATACTCTATATAAAGGCTTTCTTATGATATGACTGAGGAATCCTTTTCAGAGCTTGCAGGGCAGCAGCTGAAGAAGGTGCAAAAAGGGTTTTCTTGGATGTGTGTTTCTTTGTGGCTAATTAGCTGCTCTCCCTGTGCAAAAGTCAGAGGGGGCAGGGTTTCTGTTGAGGCAGGTGATTAGCTGTGGGAGGAGCTTATCAGAGCTTGCAGGGCAGCAGCTGAAGAAGGAGCAAAAAGTTTGATCCATCTTTTAGATTTAGGGGAGCTAGTCTCAAACGTTGGTTGGGGGAGACCTAGGTTTTTTTTGGGGGGGGAGTTATTTGTCCTGTCTTCACGCTTTTTATGATGGAGGACCGCTGTAGCCACCCCCAACGACACGTTCTCAAGATGGAGGGGGAGGGAACAGCTGCAGTTGCCTGCGGTTCCAGCGCAAAGTTTGCCATCTTGCCAAAGGTTGCAGGCAGCTTTACCTGCAGCAATTGCATGTTGATTGCCCTCTTAAAAGACAAAGTCCAGCAACTGGAGGAACGTGTAGCTACGCTCCAAAGAATTAGAGAGCTGGAGCTCTTCTTGGAAGCCACAGAGCACACCGTCTCCACCAAGGAGGAGACAGGGGACTCCCCTGAGAAGGAGGCTAGTTCACCAACACAGGAGCCAGATATATGGAGAAACGTGACTCAAAGAAGTAGGAGGCCCAGGGTTCGCTCTGATTGTTTAGAAATACACAATCGCTTTGAGGTCCTCTCCTCTAGCATGGAAGACGAAGAGCAGACTCCATTTGAGGATCTCTCTCTCATTACAGTCGATCAGGTATATGAAGACGAGCAGCAAAGTCAGTCCTCAGGGAATGTGCAGGCGACCTTGGAACGGACAGCTCACGGAAGAACCCCGACCAAACCTAAGAGGAGGCATGTAGTGGTGATAGGGGATTCCCTACTGAGGGGAACAGAAGCAGTGATCTGTGGGCCTGACAAGATGTCTTGGGAAGTGTGCTGTCTCCCTGGGGCTAAGATCCAAGATGTAACTGAACGACTGCAAGGAATCATAAAACCCACTGACAAATACCCCCTCCTCTTGGTTCATGTGGGAACCAATGACACTGCAAGCAATAGCCTCCAGAAGATCAAAAGAGACTACGAGGCTCTGGGCAGGAAATTGAAGCAATTAAATGCACAAATTGTCATCTCATCTGTCCTCCCAGTTGAACGACGTGGCCCAGGGAGAGAGGGAAAAATAGTGGAAGTGAACAGCTGGCTTTGCAAATGGTGTAAACAAGAACGGTTTGGATTCTTAGATCACGGACTGCAGTTTCTTGAAGATGGACTTCTGGCAAGCGATGGGCTACACCTCACAATGGTTGGGAGGAATGTTTTTGCCAAAAATCTCAGAAACCTCATCAGGAGGGCTTTAAACTGACTAATGTGGGGGGAGGGAGACAGTGCTCCTGAAGGTAGGAGTCTATCAATTGATGAAGATGATCATCCAAATGTCATAGACCAAATGGAGCAAACAGCACGCAGACCTAGTGGTGGGAGGAAAAAATCCTTAAATAAGAGTCACGGGGGAATGCTTAATGGACTTCAATGTCTGTACACTAATGCACAAAGCATGGGAAATAAACAAGATGAGCTTGAGCTCTTGGTACAGCAAACTAAATATGACATAATAGGCATCACTGAAACCTGGTGGGATAAGTCCCACGATTGGAATGTAATAATGGGGGGATACAATCTATTTCAGAGAAACAGACCAGACAAGAAAGGAGGAGGAGTGGCGTTATATGTCAGGGATGTGTATACCTGTGAAGAGATCCAAGATTTAGAACCTCAAAGCCAAAGTGAGAGCATTGGGGTCAAAATTAAGGGAGAGAAGAAGAACAGTGACCTCATTGTGGGAGTTTACTATAGATCCCCAAGCCAAACGGAGGACATAGATGATGCCTTCCTGGAACAGATGGCCAAGCATGCAAAAGGAAGGGAGATAGTAGAAATGGGGGACTTCAATTACCCGGATATTTGGTGGATGTCAAACTCAGCCAAGAGCATAAGGTCAAACAGATTCCTCACTGGCCTTGCAGACAACTTCATTGTCCAGAAAGTGGGAGAAGCAACAAGAGGAACAGCCATTTTAGATCTGGTCCTAACCAATGTTGATGACCTGGTTAGTGGGGTAGAAGTGGAAGGATCATTAGGCGCAAGTGATCATGCTCTTCTGAAGTTTACTATACAGCGGAAAGGAGCAGCCAAGCATACTAGGACTCAATTTCTTGACTTTAAGCCGACTTCATAAAACTTAGGGAAGTGCTAGGTGAGATCCCATGGACAGTGATACTAAAAGGAAAGGGAGTTCATGATGGCTGGGAGTTTGTTAAGAGGGAGATAGTAAAAGCACAACTTCAGGCAATACCAATGAGACGGAAACATGGAAGGTGCCTAAAGAAGCCAGGGTGACTATCTAAAGAACTTTTAACTGAGTTAAGATTAAAAAAGGATGTGTACAAAAAATGGAAAAGGGGGGAAACCACCAAAGAGGAATTCAAACAAATAGCCAGCATGTGTAGACACAAAGTCAGAAAAGCTAAAGCACAGAATGAACTCAGGCTTGCTAGAGAGGTTAAAAGCAACAAAAAAGGCTTTTATGGGTATGTTCGTAGCAAAAGGAAGAACAAAGAAACAGTGGGGTCACTCAGAGGAGAAGATGGTGAAATGCAAACAGGGGACACAGAAAGGGCTGAACTCCTCAATGCCTTCTTTGCCTCAGTCTTCTCTGATAAAGAAAACAATGCCCGACCTGAAGAATTTGGAGCAAATGATTCAGCAGAGGAAACACAGCCCAGAATATCTAAGGAGATAGTACAAGAATACTTGGCTAGTTTAGATGTATTCAAGTCTCCAGGGCCAGATGAACTGCATCCAAGAGTAATAAAAGAACTGGCAGATGTGATCTCAGAACCACTGGCAGTCATCTTTGAGAATTCCTGGAGAACAGGCGAAGTCCCGGCAGACTGGAGGAGGGCAAATGTTGTCCCTATTTTCAAAAAGGGGAAAGAGAGGACCCAAATAATTACCGCCCAGTCAGTCTGACATCAATACCAGGGAAGATTCTGGAGCAGATCATTAAGCAAACAGTCTGTGAGTACCTAGAAAGGAATGCTGTGATCACCAATAGTCAGCATGGATTTCTGAAAAATAAGTCATGTCAGACTAACCTGATCCCGTTTTTGACATAATTACAAGCCTGGTAGATGAAGGGAACGCAGTGGATGTAGCCTACCTTGATTTCAGCAAGGCATTTGACAAGGTGGCCCATGATATTCTTGTAAAGAAGCTGGTAAAATGCGGTCTTGACTATGCTACCACTCAGTGGATTTGTAACTGGCTGACTGACCGAACCCAAAGGGTGCTCATCAATGGTTCCTCTTCATCCTGGAGAAGAGTGACTAGTGGGGTGCCACAGGGTTCTGTCTTGGGCCCGGTCTTATTCAACATCTTTATCAACGACTTGGATGATGGACTCAAGGGCATCCTGATGAAATTTGCAGATGACACCAAACTGGGAGGGGTGGCTAACACCCCAGAGGACAGGATCACACTTCAAAATGACCTTGACAGATTAGAGAACTGGGCCAAAACAAACAAGATGAATTTTAACAGGGAGAAATGTAAAGTATTGCACTTGGGCAAAAAAAGGAGAGGCACAAATACAAGATGGGTGACACCTGGCTTGAGAGCAGTACATGTGAAAAGGATCTAGGAATCTTGGTTGACCACAAACTTGACATGAGCCAACAGTGTGACGCGGCAGCTAAAAAAGCCAATGCAATTCTGGGCCGCATCAATAGGAGTATAGCATCTAGATCAAGGGAAGTAATAGTGCCACTGTATTCTGCTCTGGTCAGACCTCACCTGGAGTACTGTGTCCAGTTCTGGGCACCACAGTTCAAGAAGGACATTGACAAACTGGAACGTGGCCAGAGGAGGGCAACCAAAATGGTCAAAGGCCTGGAAACGATGCCTTATGAGGAACGGCTAAGGGAGCTGGGCATGTTTAGCCTGGAGAAGAGGAGGTTAAGGGGTGATATGATAGCCATGTTCAAATATATAAAAGGATGTCACATAGAGGAGGGAGAAAGGTTGTTTTCTGCTGCTCCAGAGAAGCGGACACGGAGCAATGGATCCAAACTACAAGAAAGAAGATTCCACCTAAACATTAGGAAGAACTTCCTGACAGTAAGAGCTGTTCGACAGTGGAATTTGCTGCCAAGGAGTGTGGTGGAGTCTCCTTCTTTGGAGGTCTTTAAGCAGAGGCTTGACAATCATATGTCAGGAGTGCTCTGATGGTGTTTCCTGCTTGGCAGGGGGTTGGACTCGATGGCCCTTGTGGTCTCTTCCAACTCTATGATTCTATGATTCATATCCTAAGTATGCATGCCACCCATAGGGATTGTCAAACCCTTCTAAGTCCAGTAAATCTATATTCTGTTTTATATATAATTATGGTATTATTCCCCCCCCCAAAAAACTGGTGTGATGAGTCATCATTGCCAAAACAAGATGACACCTGATTGGCTCTCTAAACACTCCTTTTTCTGGTTATTTGGCTATGATTCTTGATAGAATACAGATAATTGAACAAACCTTGTTGCATTACATTCTTCATTTAATTATCTTTCCAATGATATATGATTTTATGGTATTACTCCAAAAGAAAGTGGTGTTATGAGCCATGAAACCTTGGAAATACACTTTCTCCAAAAGGTTTCCACAATTTTGGCCACTAGTGTAGTTTGTTTTTAAAACACCCATTTGGTGTGAGGGTTCATAAAATAGAACTAGCAGACCTCTCCTGGCCAGCTTGTTTTCAGTTTTCCTTGGAAATGAGCTCTGATCAAGGTGGCCTTTTGGAAAAACTGAAATTTTTTTTCTCTCTCTCTCTCTGTGTCTCTACACACACCATATTTTTGCTACATAAGACACACCTGACCATAAGACGCACCTAGTTTTTAGAGGAGGAAAACAAAACAAAAAAAATATTCTGAACGAAACAGTGAATGTATGATTTTTGTGGTTCATGCTGTGGCCACAGACATGTGATTTCATGGTGAGTTTGGGGTAGCCCAATGCAAAAATCCTGAGGATCCATGTGGATCCGTGCTTTGTAACCACATTTTTGTGCCATTGTGGCCCCACACAACAGTGGGTGCGTGATTTTTTTTTTTTTGTGCCGGCTGTAGCCATGGACATGCTATGAGATCTGATGGTGAATTTGGGAAGACCCAAAGCAAAAATCCTGAGGATCCATGGCCTTTTACCTCCCCCCTCCTAGGCAGCCTCTGCTAGCGTCCCTTATCTCTCTCCCAATCCCACCAATCAGCTGCTTCCTTTCAACACTCCCTTCCCTCTTGTTTGCCTTAGTGTCTTTTCCTTAGCTGTAGCAGTTTTTTGCTCCTCCTTTTCTTCTAATTTCTCTCCTCATTGATTTAGTCTTCCTTGTCTCCTCTCCTTGCAAGTTTGCTGCCTTTACCTCCCCCCTCCCAGGCAGCCTCCTTTCTTGCTAGCATCCCTTATCTCGCTTGCGATCGCTTGCGATCAGTGGCTTTGTTTCAACACCCACTTCCCTCTTTCCAAAAAAATAAATAAATACATGATCTGCTTTTTGCCCCTGGGCAATTTGGCTCCAGGGACCACACATTCGCTCCATAAAACGCACAGACATTTCCCCTTACTTTTTAGGAAGAAAAAAGTGCGTCTTGTGGAGTGAAAAATATGGTATATTAATTTCTTGCATGTTTAGGGCTATATCCATTGCTAGTCATGCTCAGAGGAGACCCACTGAAATTAATGGACATGATTAATGTAATTTCAGTAGACCTACTCTGAGTAGAACTTAGTTGGATACGTTCTTCATAAGTAGAAGGAAGCCACTGTAATGAACAGCCATGTGCAAATGATGATACCTTGTACAATGTTTTTTAAATTGTGGCCAGCTGAAGCACATGTTGGAATAATGGAATACAGGCACATTGTCCAGGTGCTCTCTCCTTCTTTGCCCCCCCAAACGCACATACACACAGTTGATGGTTCCCAGGTGCTCATCTCACAAAATGGCTCTTGCCACTCAGCTGTCATGGTGGCTGGGGGAAAGAGCCTGGTTTCTGGATGAGCTCCTGATTGACTCAGGGCTCTTCCCTCGCAGGGCGTGCATTCTTAATGCTATTCAGGCAGCTCCCCTAGTGCTGCTGTGCACCTCCTTGAGGTTCTCCACACCATCCCTTCACCTGGAACGCATCTGCACACATAATGTTCCATGCCAGTGTGGGATTGCCAGCTGGTGGGAGGAACAACCAAACTGCAGTTGGGAATGTCTTCCTAAAATGGTATTTATGCTGTTGGTTTAAATATTAACTGAGGCAGTTTCTAGCTCAGTTTGCTGAAGAGATTTCAGGCCAGCTGCTGTGCAGAGTCCTTTAACCCTGCTGATGACCTTGCCACCTTTTTTCTGTTCTGCTTCCTGGCCTCTTCTGAGTAAGTTCAGCTAGCAAATGGCTTCAGTCAATGGTTTCAGAGCAGACTGCAGACTGCTACTGAGATGGGAAAATGGATCTCTGGCTTTTCTTGCTTCAGCCCAGCTGCTTGAGCTGATGAGGGTTTTTTTGCTTTTGTTCCTTTAGAAGGGTGGCTAACTGGGAGATATGCTGGAGGTTTACAAAATGAAGCACAGGGTGGAGAAAGTGGGCAGAAAACCTTTGCTCCCCCTTGTATATTACTGGAACTCGGGAGGGGGCAGGGTGTCACTCAGTGAAACTGATTGACAGTGGATTCAGGACAGGCAAAATAAGTGACTTCTTCACAGTATTTGCTGCCACTAAGTATGGCAATGGCCATACTTTAAAAAGAGGATTAGACAGATATTCTGAGGACCTAAGTCTGTTGATGGATATTACACAGGAGTATAACTGAATGGAACCTCCAGGGCCAGATGAAGTATTCTTTGGAATGCCAGTTGTGTGAAGATGGGGCAAACTGAAGGAGGCAGGCTGCTTTGATGTTTTATGCCTCCTTGGGAAAGGCTGCAGGGATGGAGGGTGCCTTGTAAGTAGAGTAAGTCTCTCGATTTTCACAGTGGAACTGTTGTTTCCAATACAGGTCATTTATTTCAGTAATCTGATTTCAGATCCCTGAATCAACTTTTAATAATGGTTTTTCACTCTGCCTTTGGGGGCAGTGTTGTAAACAGCAAAATATAGGAGGCACTGTGTGACTCTTGTTGACATAGAAGGAGATGAGAACTTCCAAACACCTGTTCTCTTGGGATGATGATCAGTGCAAACCCCTGACTATTTTTAAACTGTCTCTGACAAAGCCAGCTGGCTCGAATGAAGTAATATTTCTAATGAACATTCACCATGATGGCTGTGGAATGCATGTTCGCTGCAGCCTTACAAGGGAAAGCCCAAGAAGGGGCCACAAAATGCCCTGAAACCTGGAGTCATACAGCCAAATAAAGGGGTGTGATAAAGGCGCACCTCAGCGGCTGTCTTGGATTTTGCCAAGACTTCCATCCCAAATTGAGCTGGAGATGGAGCATGTCCTAGCACACATTCCAACACAAACACAACAGTTTTCGGAAATGAAAAGGAGGGGAAAGGTGCTCCTTATGCATTCCTAATTATCTCTAGAAGGGTAGCCCTGCTAGTCTGTTGCAACAAAAGTAACAGTGTCTTATTGAACTTCAAGGACCAATAAGTTTATTATGGGATGGACCAGAGTCCACTTCATCATATGCATGAGGTCTTTCCCTACCTTAGTGGGTCAGGAGTGGGGATAGGGCCAGGCATACACACAAATGTACAGACACACATGCACCTCTGGTTGGAAGGGGAGAGGAAGTGTACTGTAAGTTGTGTAGTCAGAGGCAAGTGTATACCAACCAACAGGATTATAGCTTAAATGCATGTAAAATGGTTACATTGACTATTCACATAGCAGTGGGGGTGAGGATACAAACATCCTGGAATGGGTCAGCTGATTTGACACCTGTAGTATCTTGAATCACATAACAGAATGTTACCTCTTTGCCCCTACTAGAACACCTATGTCGCCCATCTATGTGAGGGTAGTTGGTCACCCATTGCTTCAACATTTCCTCTTTTGGGTGCCTCGTCAATGTCCTTCATGTCAAGATTTTTTGAGCATTTTTATCAAGGGGACAATGGCACATCTCCAGTACTAAATTACTCTTGGGGCCTGGCATTGTCACCCACAACAATTCTGTGGAAGAGTCTGCCTGGTTTTGGATTTCTAGCCAGGTGGATTCGGTACCCTCTTTGGCGTACAAAATAATATAATTTGTGTGTGTGTGGAGAGGGGCTATTGTGTGGATGTTTTTATTTTTTATTAATGTATTTAGTGATTTTATATATTGGTTTTATTCTGTGAACCGCCCTGAGACCCCTGGGTATAGTGTGGTATATAAATTCAATCAGTCAGTCAGTCAATAAATAAATAAATAAATAAATACCAGTATGTTTTTCCTTATCCTTCCTGTAGAGCTTATATCCAGCGATAACCGTGTTTCACTGGTTCTCTCCATTCCACCTAGAATATATTTTAAAAATGTGCAAGGCTTGTGTCCCATCATACATCAGTATCCTAAGTGCTACTTAAAAATGTCGCTTAGTATTTTTATTACAAAAATAACACAGATCAAGTAAAGCATAAAAAATTGGACTCATACATTGCACATATTTACCCCAGTTGTACAACAGGTTTTCAGCTTATTTTGGAGCAATGTACAGTGGTACCTCGGTTTAAGAACAGCCCTGTTTATCAACTATTCAGTATACGATCTCCGCAAAACCGGAAGCAGTGTTCCAGTTTGAGAACTTTACCTCGGTCTACGAACGGAAGCCGAACAGTGGAAGGGCACCAGCGGCAGGAGGCTTCATCAGGGAAAGCATGCCTCGGTTTAAGAAGGGTGGCTATCTAAAGAACTTTTAACTGAGTTAAGATTAAAAAAGGATGTGTACAAAAAATGGAAAAGGGGGGAAACCACCAAAGAGGAATTCAAACAAATAGCCAGCATGTGTAGACACAAAGTCAGAAAAGCTAAAGCACAGAATGAACTCAGGCTTGCTAGAGAGGTTAAAAGCAACAAAAAGGCTTTTATGGGTATGTTTGTAGCAAAAGGAAGAACAAAGAAACAGTGGGGTCACTCAGAGGAGAAGATGGTGAAATGCAAACAGGGGACACAGAAAGGGCTGAACTCCTCAATGCCTTCTTTGCCTCAGTCTTCTCTGATAAAGAAAACAATGCCCGACCTGAAGAATTTGGAGCAAATGATTCAGCAGAGGAAACACAGCCCAGAATATCTAAGGAGATAGTACAAGAATACTTGGCTAGTTTAGATGTATTCAAGTCTCCAGGGCCAGATGAACTGCATCCAAGAGTAATAAAAGAACTGGCAGATGTGATCTCAGAACCACTGGCAGTCATCTTTGAGAATTCCTGGAGAACAGGCGAAGTCCCGGCAGACTGGAGGAGGGCAAATGTTGTCCCTATTTTCAAAAAGGGGAAAGAGAGGACCCAAATAATTACCGCCCAGTCAGTCTGACATCAATACCAGGGAAGATTCTGGAGCAGATCATTAAGCAAACAGTCTGTGAGTACCTAGAAAGGAATGCTGTGATCACCAATAGTCAGCATGGATTTCTGAAAAATAAGTCATGTCAGACTAACCTGATCTCGTTTTTTTTGACAGAATTACAAGCCTGGTAGATGAAGGGAACGCAGTGGATGTAGCCTACCTTGATTTCAGCAAGGCATTTGACAAGGTGGCCCATGATATTCTTGTAAAGAAGCTGGTAAAATGCGGTCTTGACTATGCTACCACTCAGTGGATTTGTAACTGGCTGACTGACCGAACCCAAAGGGTGCTCATCAATGGTTCTTCTTCATCCTGGAGAAGAGTGACTAGTAGGGTGCCACAGGGTTCTGTCTTGGGCCCGGTCTTATTCAACATCTTTATCAACGACTTGGATGATGGACTCAAGGGCATCGTGATGAAATTTGCAGATGACACCAAACTGGGAGGGGTGGCTAACACCCCAGAGGACAGGATCACACTTCAAAACGACCTTGACAGATTAGAGAACTGGGCCAAAACAAACAAGATGAATTTTAACAGGGAGAAATGTAAAGTATTGCACTTGGGCAAAAAAAGGAGAGGCACAAATACAAGATGGGTGACACCTGGCTTGAGAGCAGTACATGTGAAAAGGATCTAGGAATCTTGGTTGACCACAAACTTGACATGAGCCAACAGTGTGACGCGGCAGCTAAAAAGCCAATGCAATTCTGGGCTGCATCAATAGGAGTATAGCATCTAGATCAAGAGAAGTAATAGTGCCACTGTATTCTGCTCTGGTCAGACCTCACCTGGAGTACTGTGTCCAGTTCTGGGCACCACAGTTCAAGAAGGACACTGACAAACTGGAACGTGTCCAGAGGAGGGCACCCAAAATGGTCAAAGGCCTGGAAACGATGCCTTATGAGGAACGGCTAAGGGAGCTGGGCATGTTTAGCCTGGAGAAGAGGAGGTTAAGGGGTGATATGATAGCCATGTTCAAATATATAAAGGATGTCACATAGAGGAGGGAGAAAGGTTGTTTTCTGCTGCTCCAGAGAAGCGGACACGGAGCAATGGATCCAAACTACAAGAAAGAAGATTCCACCTAAACATTAGGAAGAACTTCCTGACAGTAAGAGCTGTTCGACAGTGGAATTTGCTGCCAAGGAGTGTGGTGGAGTCTCCTTCTTTGGAGGTCTTTAAGCAGAGGCTTGACAACCATATGTCAGGAGTGCTCTGATGGTGTTTCCTGCTTGGCAGGGGGTTGGGCTCGATGGCCCTTGTGGTCTCTTCTAACTCTATAATTCTATGATTAAGGGCTTTAGTTTAAGAACAGACTTCCGGAATGGATTAAGTTTGTAAACCGAGGTACCACTGTATAAGAGGCATTGGGTTTGATGTTATCTCTAATTTTGTCATTCAAAAAATTCATAAATAAAGCCTGCCTTTCAGTAAGTTTCTTCTCTTAAAACATATATATTTATGACATGTAAATGTGACTGTGATGTGTAGTGAAGAGAACGGCCACTTGCCTGGGGAGGGGAGGCCTTGGAACGTTTGTTTCTGACTTCCTTGAAATGAAGATGTTGCAGACATGCTGCCTTCCATTCTGGCTGATGTTTCTCTTTGCTTTTAATGCAGCAATAAATTGTCCCATTTGAGAGAGTGATGAATATGAGCTTGTCATGGATGTTTTAGTTGAGATTCCTGCATTGCAGGGGGTTGGACTACACGGCATTGTGGATACCTACCAATATTACAAATCTATGATTCAAGAGTGAAAAATGTTAATAATAATAATGATAATAAATTTTATTTATATCCCGCTCTCCCCAGCTGAAGCCGGGCTCAGAGCGGCTAATAACAGTAAAACGATAAAACATTCTAAAATCATTTCATTATAAAATTAATTCCAATCAAATTAATGGCAGCCATTGGGCTAGAAGTTCTGTGAGGATTGCCAAAGGAGGGAGTCAGGCTGTGCCCTGGCCAAAGGCCTGGTGGAACAGCTCTGTCTTGCAGGCCCTGTGGAAAGATGTCAAGTCCCGCTGGGCCCTAGGCTCTTGTGACAGAGCGTTCTACCAGATCAGAGCTACAGCCGAAAAAGCCCTGGCTCTGGTTGAGGCCAGCCTAACCTCTCTGTGGCCTGGAACCTTCAAGATGTTTTTGTTTGAAGACCGTAAGTCCCTCTGTGGGACATACCAGGAGAGACGGTCCCGTAGGTACGAGGGTCTTAGGCCGTATAGGGCTTTGAAGGTTAAAACCAGCACTTTAAACCTGATCCTGTACTCCACCGGGAGCCAGTGCAGCTGGTATAGCACCGGGTGAATGTGATCTTGTAGCGAGGACCCCGTAAGGAGTCTCACCGCGGCATTCTGCACCCGCTGGAGTTTCTGGGTCAGTCTCAAGGGCAGCCCCACGTAGAGCGAGTTACAATAATCCAGTGTGGAGGTGACCGCATGGATCACAGTGGCTAGGTCAGGGCGAGAGAGGTAAGGAGCCAACTGCTTAGCTTGGCGGAGATGAAAAAATGCCACCTTTGTTATAGCTGCAATCTGTGCCTCCATGGAAAGGGAGGTGTCGAAGATTACACCCAATCTCTTAACGGACGGCGCTGGCACTAATTGCGCCCCCGCAAGAGATGGGAGTTGCCCCCCCAAGCCCATATCGTCCCGACCCAGCCAAAGGACCTCTGTCTTCGAAGGATTTAACTTCAACCGGCTCCCACGTAACCATCCAGCCACAGCTTCCAAACAGCCACAGCTTCCTTGGTGTGTGGAGTGCCGTAGGGTGCAATACTCTCCCTGATGCTTTTCTCGCAGGGTGGCAGTTTTGTTGCCTATAGACCTGGCATTGCACAGCACCAGTGACGGAGGTGAGTAATCCTTGCTCACCCTACCCTCGTCCCTCGGGATGGGGCGCAGATTGGAAGGGGTACAAGCATATCCATATCTCGATCCCCTTCGCCTATAACATCTGCCCCCCCCCCCCGGCACAGAAAACTCCCATTCCCTCTCCTTAACTGCAGAGACCTCTGGAGACAGGTGGGGTAATTTGTTGCCCACTCTGCTGAGCTGGTTGGTGATGACAAATAATGACTGCCTATAAGGCCAACACAAAATATTTGCACCGCTGGATGAAACATTTGCATGACCTAGTATACCGAATGCCCATAAAATAAGTGCCTTATGTGCCACACATCATGTTCTTACATTTTGGTCATGCATCCTCTTTGCTGCCAAATTAAAATAATTTTAGGATCATTGTCCTCAAGGCCCATTAAGAAGGCAGTCCCAAGTGCTATAGTATCCCACCTGCTGAGGTTGCTGCTTCTCCTCTAAATTAGGATTGAGCTGCAAATATCTCGTTCTTTGCAGGGGGCAGTTGCTGTTTCTGTTTTCCTTCTACAGGCTCCCATTTCCTGCTGCTGGAACACCACTGTTTGCAGATGTTCCCCTTACATTATTGTGCATATTTCACTTAAGAATAAAACTGAATTTTCTGCTGCTTGCTTCTCTTTATGGCTAATAACCTCCTGTCGACACCCACCCCCAATCTGACACACTCTTTCAGATTTTTGCTTAGAATGTATTGCTTACAAGGATATATTGTATGAAATGCTCAATGCGTTTAAAATGAGAGAGCTCAGGGTGTGTTGCTCTCATGAAGAAAATAATGGAATGATGACTGCTACAAAAAGGTTCATCAGCCTGATAGTTCCTGATAGTTACAGCTTTGAACAAGTGGCAGAAAGCTTCACGCCTCCTCCTCTTTCTGGGGGGGGGGGGACGGACCAGATATCCTTTTGGGAATGCTGCAGGAATGGAGGTGCCTAATAGGTTGCAAATGGATAATGATCAAAGCAGGTTTGTAACTTCAGTGACATGGTTGCTCCTTTGGTGGGAGTTTTTGAAGAGCAAAAAAGAGAACACTTGCTGACTTCTGCTTTTAACTATGGATCTCTATGATGACTCATCGTGAAAAAGAGGCCATGGAGTCCTGGAAAAAGAGGACACATGGCAACCCTAGTTTTGTATAGAATGAGACCATCTTGATTGATTTTGATATTTTTTTGTACTGAGGGTGCAGAACTAAACTCTGCTACCTACAAGGTTCTCCAAAGCTGATTTAAAGCTTTGCACCCCAAGCCTTCCCCCTCAAACATTTCATTTAAGACGGTAAGAAGAGCCTTCTGGATCAGATCAACCGCCCATCTTGTCCAGCATCCTGTTCTCACAGTGCTAACCAGATGCTTGCAGGAAACCCACAAGCAGGATCTACATACAAGAGCAGCCCTCTCCCCATAGAAGCATTTCTGCTTCCAACTGTGGAGGCTAGTGACCAAAGATAGCCCCCTCCTCTGCGAACTTGTCTGATCCTCTTTCAAAGCCATCTAAGTGTGTGGCCGTCACTGCCTCCTGTGGGATGGAGTTCCATAGTTCAACTATCCTCCTCTTGTGATGTTGCCCTCCTTTATGCTTCCAGAAGAGCCTACATAACCTAAGATAACATTGGAACATGAGAGGACCCTTGGAACAAGCCTTCTTGCCCTGTTAGTGCAGGATGAAGAATTTGTGATCCTCCAGTTGCTGTTGGACTCCCCGCTCTCATCCACCCCAGCCAGCGTGGCCCATGGTCTGTCATGGATGGAGTCTCATTCTCCCTGGAGGAGCAGCTGCGCAGTTTGGAGGTGCTCCCGGATTCAGCTCTGTCACTTGACAGAGGCGCAGGTGTCCTTGGTGGCTAGGAGTGCCATTTGCCAGCTTCAGCTACTGCCATTCCTTGGTCAAAAGGGTAGTGTAACTACCCTTGTCTGTGGACTGGAGACCTTATGGTCAGATTACTGCAATGTGCTCCTCTATGTGGGGCTTGTCCAGAGACTGCAGATGCAGCAGAATGCAGTGGCTCGGTTGCTGGTGGAGACTCACAACCTTCAACAAAGCACCTTATTTGTAGGACTTGCTCTAGCTGTCAACTGCTATTGGCAAAGTTCAAGATTTTGGCCCTATACAGCTCAGGGGAAGGTTTCTCGAAGGAGCATCATATCTTTCATATAACCATTAGGTCGCTGTGGTCTGCGGGAGAGTTCCAAAGAGCTCAGAGGAAGGCTTCTCCTGTGGCTGCTGCTTTCACAAAACAATTGAGTGCCTTTTTGTTCTGACAAGTTTTCCTAGCTGAATGAATTGATTTCGGCCATAGGTTTTTTCTTTGTATAGTTTTTAAAATTAATTTGCTGTTTTTAACTGTTTTCTTATGTTTTGTGGAACACCTTGAGACATATTTGTGAAAGGTGGTGGTGTTAACAACAACAACAACAACAACAACAACAACAACAACAGAAGATCTGGCCAGAATGCTGCTCATGAACAGAGTGTATTCAGAAACCCACCTTGAACGGGACGCAAACTTATTAATTCAAATAATAGGTGTTTCAAGGAGTTAGCTATTCATCAGGAGGCAGTTCCTTAGGTTAATATAACAAAAAGGAGTTTCTCATTCCTACAATAGTAACTGGTGGTTCTATTCAAGAAACAATCTGGGGTTTTTATGACTTAGAAGCATCTATTAGTTTCTGATTTGAGCTGCTGCCCTTTTGGTGTGTCCAGTCGATGTTCCCTGAAGGAACCACTGTGACTTAACATACTAAGTAAACTTCAACTGACAGTGCAGACACTGAATAACTTTGTTTATTTCTGGAATCTTTTCATATAATTTATGTTCGGCTAACCTTGATTGACTAGCATTTTGTCTTCACAGCTATTTTTTAATGGGGATACGTTTTTTGCTTTGCTCTTTTCCATACTAAGTTTGTAGTAGCTTACAAGCTCCAGATGAAACTAGGGGAGAACATCAGATGACCAAACAAACAAACAATTGCTCCCAGTCAACAGAAGGGGGGGTTTGCTTTGTAGACTCTGGGTGACCAGTTTTAGTCCTCCGCTGGCTGTTGCTGCTGAAGGGAGGCTTTCCAAGAAGCCCAGGTGGCTTCTCTCCTGGTGTGCAGGCAAGGGTTAACAATTGCCCAGGTTCCACGTGATGAGATGCAAACTGAATCATTCCAAGGGATCTCCGCCTGCCCAGTCACCAGGCAGATGCTGTTCCCCTTGGTTGCCATGACAACCCGGGCTGTACTCTAATCAAGCCCAGCCCCTGCAGCGGTTATATCTCATTCATTGTTTTCCTTCCTGTTGCAGAGGAGGGGAGAGGAGGAACCGGGTGCCTCTAAGTGGGGAGGAGGCCACCGCCTGGAGTCCCTTCTGCCTCAAGCTGCTCTCAGAGTCTCCCTGAGCGAGATACCCCTCCACTTGCAGACACCCAGGTGGGCTTGCCCAGTGCTGCAGCAGCCAGCAGCATTTCTGGAGGGTGCCTTCTAGTGGCACAAAGGTGGAGAGGAGTGCTTTGAGGAAGCCTGCCTTTCTGCTGCCTCTTCTGGAACAGCCAGCAATCGCTCACTCTCAAGCTCTCAGTCTCTAGAACATCCCGCCCCACGGAAGCCCCTTCCTGAGCCAGAGAGCCATGCAAAAGACTTTCCGGAGGCTGTGAGTCAGGCAAGCAGGGTCTCAAAGGCAGCATGCTTCACATCGTTCTCCCCATCTTGGAACTGACGGGGCTCTAGAAATTAAGGCAAGTGCTGGTCGTGGTGATGCCGGAGATTAAAACGGACCTCTGACAGGGTGGGGGCTTCTGTGGCCATCACTGGGACCTACCTTTGAAGGACTGGCTTTCTAGGGAGATGGGAAGAGCCCATCTCATGAATGGGTCAAAGGCCACCTTTGGAACTTCATTCTCTGTGCTGCTGCCTCAGAAGCTCACCAGGCCAGAGGGGGAAGGAAGGGGAGAAGAGCTGCTTTTCTAGGATTCTCAACTCGAAAACTGCTGAACTGGCCTGTGGAAAGGAGTTCCCTGAGACTCTGTGGGAATGAGAAAGAAGACCAAATGCCATTCTGCTGCCAAAGCAAGCTCTAGATTTCTGTTCTTCATGTGCTTGATATATCAGATGCATTTTTACTGGGTGAATTTGGTTCAAAGAGGCATCCACAACTGAGGAAGAAAAATACTTGATTTTTAAACAACTTAGAAATTTACCAGCCTTATTCCATCCTCCCCCCCATCCCCCATGCTCCTTTCCCCCATTTTTCTTTTTGTAACTAGATTTTCAAGAGTGTTTAGTAGTTTCTGGCTCCCGGGCAGCTCTGGTTTCATTTTAGGGGGAAGTAAATTTCTCAGTCTGTCTCCCCCCCCCCCTGCAAGCCCATCCGCCTTTTTGGGTGTCTTGGAGCGATGGATTACCTTGGAGACAAGCTGACGGTGGCGCAGAACCACATGACCCACTGGGTGGGCTCCGTGCGAAGGTCCTTGCAAGAGGCGCTGAATTTAGTCACAACTGCAGTTGCCCATGAACGAACAAGTGGGGTGGGGGCAAGCAGAGCCCCTTTCAAGCGCACCTCCTCCTTCAGGCACTTTGCATCCCGGAGCAGAGAGTCCTTCCGCAGGTTTTCCATGCGCAGTCAGCAAAGGCTTTCCTCTCTGAGGAAGAGGCAAGCCAGCTCGGAGCAGCCTGACCTTGTAAGCACCCTTTTAAGCTGCCGGTGGATGATATGAACTGAGCCAGGATGGTTGCTGTTGCATTCTAGGCTGGTAACCCTGCTACAGTTTGTGTGCTTGCAAATGTATCTCTGTTTAGTTTTAAGAAGGAAAAAAGCCTCCTGCTGTTGATCATTTTAGCATTGTTGGGTGTTTCTTTCAGATCTTTTAGCCTTCATTGTCCCAAAGGTACTTGGGCAACAGGGCGATTGGTCTGTGGCTCATTTCTTCTTGAAATAACTCAAAGTCCTTGGATGCAGGCATGGAGCTAAAAAAGAAAGCACTCCTAGGGACAGTTGCTTGGAGCTTGGTCCTGAATAAATGTCTTCTCCTCTGTTCTGGAATGTTGCTTCCCTAATTCTAAACTTTAAAGGGGAGGCAAGGAAGGAACAGCTGGAAACACTCTGCAAATGCTCAAGGGTGCTTCCTCTTATGAGGACTTTGAACCGGAGCTTGGGAAATGGTATTTGGGGTGAAGCCTGACTCACCCTTCCTCCCATTAAGTCCCTGACTGACCTTGGGTCCAAGATCAACATGCTTCCTCGGCCACCCTTTCTGAGGCCCCTGTGGCAAAACACAAAAGAGCTGTGTTTGGCCTTTTTGTTCTCTCAGTTGATAACGTAACACCTGGGTGCCTGTCTGTGGTCGCGGGCTAAGTCCCTGCTGGGGAGCCATGTAAAAGGTTTCTTGTTCACTCATACTCAGCTTCCCTTAAAGTCTAACCAGGTCAATGGGGTGTGTGGGGGTGTGAGTGTGAACAGGACCATGTGGATTTGCAGTTGCATAGTGCACACACACAAGGGCTTCCTGAAGAAATCATTGTTTGCAGCCTTGTTCAGTTCCAGCATAATGCCAGGAAAGGCTGCTGTGATTCTAAACTTAGCCAATTCAGCCTTGAGAGGGAATTTACCTCCAACGTTGAGAATATGCTGCATGGACATTTCTTATTACTTTGAGGAAAGTGTAGATAGGAGGAAGTGTAAGTTTGTGAGTGCTCTGAATTTGCTGAAGCAAGAGTGGGCTGGGAGTATAATTTTAAAAATGGGTTCTTTGGTTTGTGTGGAATGCCAAGCTCTCTCTTGCCCATTGGCATCTTCAGGTTCTCCAATGTCCCAGGAAGGCTTCTCAGAAAGGCTCCCCAAATTTCAGACTGGGCAGGATAGGTCTTGCCTTTTCAACTCTCTGGCCGGTTCCTAGGGGGAATATTCTTCCAGCTGGCTGACTTCCCCCTGCTCCAGCTGGGCTTAGACAGGCCCAGCAGTTTCACCCTTCATGTTTCATTGCCTTGAACCCACCTTCTCCAGAAGGCCCTGTGGGATGTCCAGAAGGTTTATTCCATCCAGAAGTGAGGTGCCAGGGTCACAGCTACCACACTTGTTACCTCTAATGACACTGCTTCAGATTTTACATGTTGGTATCTACAACACAGCAGAAGGGTGGCTTCTGCAGCCTCATGCTAGAGTGTTTTGAGAGCGAAGAGTTAAACCTCCTCCATGGCCTGAGCTGTTCTTTGTTTACTCTTTGGCTGGGCCTGCCAGAGAAACTAAAAAGACATTATTGTGTAAGAGGTAGGCAAAGGCAGGTTGTTTGAATAACAAAGCTGGTTGCGGGAGGGGAATGTACCTTAAGTGGTGTTGATCAGAATTGTAGAGACACCTGGGTTGAATGACTTGTTTATGGCTGATCCAGGTTGCAGAGCAATTTGGTGCCAGAAATCTACTCCATCTGGGCGGTTGTTGGCATGGCACCAACAGTTATCAGAAGTAAATTTGATTAATTTCAGCAAATATCTGGTCATGCTGAAAAACTTTATCCAGAAGGTGAGGTCAAGCACATGGTCTCCACATTGAACCTGCCATGGTTGAGGCTTTTAATTTTCTCTGTGCCATATAATTCTTAACCTAAAGTTCCCAAGGGTTATGCCTCTTTTCTGTAAGGATATTGTCCTGTGTCAGCCCTGTTCAGAATGAACAAGAACTGCTTAAACATGTGTAGTTTTGCAACTGCACTAGTTATTGTTCCAGGGTTCTTTAGAGGAGGTCGTGAAAAATTGCACTGGTGCACAGCTGATAGAAGTTTGTAGTACAGAAATGAATGTGGTAAGGTACTTAGGAAGCTGCCCTGTACCAACCAAGACTCTTGGCACAGCTAGCCAAGACCACAAGGCAGATCCACACCATGCTTTCAAGTCACATCTAACATACATTTAAAGTGCATGACTACACCCCAAAGAATCCTGGGAGCTGTAGTTTGTTGTGATTACTGGGCATTGCAGCTCTATAAAGGGAAACTACAGCTCCCAGAATTCTTTGGTGGGTGACATGTACTTTAAAATGTGTGTTGGGTGTGGTTTAAATACATGGTGGGGATCTGCCCTCAGACTGGGGCTCCCATGAAGGGGAGCAGCCTTGGTTGTGATCTCCATGTAGCCTTGAACATGTACAAAAATGATGGCTTCTGCCAACGTGGGAGAGTCATGGCAGAACTAGTCTATACTGACTGGGGTTGGCTCCCCAGAATTTCAGGCAAAGTCTTTCTCAGCCCTCCTGGGAAGATGGCGGAGATTGAATTCCAAAAGGACAGACCAGACGCTTGGTAGCTTTAGGGCACAGACTCCTGCTTCTGATGGCTGGCTGTCATAGTGGTTGGCCACTCTCAACCCTGAAAAGCAGAGGCTGTAGCAGTAGAGTTTGGGGGCAGTGACTGCTTCACTTGTCAGCTGGATTTATGTCATTGTTTTCTTTTTGTCCCCCAGATCCTTTCTCCTCCTGTCTCCAGGAACTCCTGGTTCCTGACATGGTGTGACTTCCTGACTTGTTTTGGACCTGACCAGAGGCCACATTTTGACAAACAGGGAGAAAGTTTCTTTTGTAACCCCACCCCCATGGTTGCACTGAAGGGTTTTAAAGAAACAGGCCTTTATCACAAAACGAGTCTGTTTAGTCAAGAATCTGTCCCTTTGCTTCAGGTGATCCTGCCTATATTTCAAGGTTGGATCTCTGATCATAATTGGACTCTGGAGCTTCCTGACCTTAAGCAGGGCTCGTGGTCCTCACTTTGTTTTGGTGCTCATTGTGGCAAGCGCCTACAGATGGCTCCTCCGGAAGGAAGTTCACGTTGAGAGTCTAATTGGGTAAACAAACTATGGGAGCCTCACTTAAGGCACCAGCAGCAGCAGCGTTCTCCGAATCTGGCTTTAAGCTTCATCAAGGGGCAAGATGGATGTTGGCATTTTACCCCTTTACTCCTGGCCAAAGACATAAATGACCTACATTTGGGGATTACTTTTGGTCTGGACTTCCATGATTTTGCAGACTTGAGTACAGGGAAGGGCTGTCAGTGTCAGGCCCAGGCACTCCACTTCCTGTGTATTATTCCATGGCATACATCTTGTCTTTCTTTTGAGTCCCTGATTGGCAGCTAGGTCACTTAGTGGGCCAGGCTAGTGCAGAGCTCTTTTTACAATTATGTAAAATGAAAGCCCATAAAGCTGGTGGGAGGGTGCAAAGCACTGGTTGGTTTTTCTCTTCTGCTTTTTTGGCAAATTCACCAAAAATAAATGAAGTTTTGGAGCTATTTTAAAGGGAAATTGCCAAAAACGACACTGCCGACATGGGTTGTCACATGTTTGGCAACCCTGTCATACACAGTGACAACACAAATCAACTCAATTTAATAAACAAGGGGACTAGAACCGGCACCCAAGCAGTTCATATTTTTCCACTTGATAACCTCTTTAATAGGCTGTGGAATTTGCTTGCAGAAGAGGCTTGGCCTCTAAGAAAAAGGCTTCTTCTGTTTACTGTATTCTTCCCATCTCCAGTTTTCTGATGGTGCCTTCTTGAAACCACGTCTCGCCAAGTTAAAACGAAGTTGGTGTGTTAATAGGCAATATTCCTAGAGAACTTACCCTAACATAGAATCATAGAATCATAGAGTTGGAAGAGACCACAAGGGCCATCGAGTCCAACCCCCTGCCAAGCAGGAAACACCATCAGAGCACTCCTGCGCTTGGTTGTCAAGCGCAGTCAGAGACCTCGTTTGCTCTTGAAAATGGGTGGAAATCTATCCTTGTGCCCTGTACATGTGCACCTGCTTGTCTGCCAACATCTCCATACCCCATTGCGTCCACATCATGTTACTGATTTCTGCAGTGCAGGGGGTTGGACTAGATAGCCCTTGGGGTCCCTTCCAGCCCTACAATTCTATGATTCTATCTTTCCCTTGAAAATGGTTGCAGGAGTTGAACTGGGGTTTAGAATGTTTAGAATGTAGAATTGTTTCTGAATGTGTGTATCAAGTTTCAATCTGACACGTCAGAGTTAAGTGGAATAATTGTGCTAAACCAACCTGACAAATGGGACCCAAAATGATTTGAGTTAAACCACAGGGTTCCCTTTTATCTTTAGTAATCTTTAGTGTAGCACAAGATTGCAGCGTGGAGTGCTGCTGCTCAAGGTTCCAGCCAGCCAGGTCTTTCCCCAAAATACTCCATTCCACATACAGTGCTCCTCTCCCGCTCCCCCCACTACCAGGGGCACTCAGCGTGCTCCGCCCTCATTCGGCTGCTGGTGCAGGTGGCATCACTTTGGGGGCAGAAGAATCAGCCCGTGAAGGAGGAGCCTCTGGAATGTTTTTACTGCACTTCTGTTGCATTTGGGATGCATGTTTATATGTTGCAAGTCACTTTATTGAAAGGTAGTAGATCAAATAATAGCAATTTGCTGGTTGCCTGCCACATGAATGCTAGTTTTACCCTTCTCAGCTCAGCATTCCTCACTAGAACAATTTCTGGGTTTTTTGTTTATAAGTTGACAAAATTTAAAAGCAGATAAAAATTTTGTTTTCATCATTGTCCGATTTTCTGCTGATTTCTTGAGAGCTGCTCAGATTCTTTCTAAAGTATGTGCTACAATATTCTTGCAGGAAATGTAAAAATCAAATATTTTCTCTCATTGGAGAAAAGTTAGTTTTGTAGAAGAAAATTTAACATGAACCACTACAGCGTTAAAGGAGCTTTCCATGAGCCTCTAAATTAGGCTTCCTCAACCTCAGCCCTCCGGATGTTTTGAGACTACAATTCCCATCATCCCTGACCACTGGTCCTGCTAGCTAGGGATCATGGAAGTTGTAAGCCAAAAACATCTGGAGGGCCGAGGTTGAGGAAGCCTGCTATTGAGTCTTTTAAATGCAAACAAGACTAACGCTGGATTTTACATCAGGAACTATTTGGCAATCAACTCCTTGTTAGTTGATGACTCACAAGAGCCATTTCCAAATCAGCTTTGACTGCATTCTGGGTTGGTAATGTCACTTTCTAACTTGCACAAAGTGGAGCCATTTTTTGGGTTGGTGATTTTGGTAGTATATCCTCACTTTTCAGATGGGAGAACTGAGGTTTAGAGCAGTTAAGTGGAGGGCTGATCAGTACGTAAGGTGTGAATGTGAGACTCCTACCTGCCCCAAGAAGCATCTTATGCCTTTGGAAGGATGCAGAGGGAGTGTCACGGATTTTTTGAGGGGCTGGTAGGAAAGGTGCAGTGAAGCTGTGCTTACAGCTGGGAAATTAGTGCCAGGCAGGAAAATGGACTTGCCATTCATGGTGACCTTGGACAATTTGTTTTAGTCATGCTTTATCCTACATTCTCCTTTTAAACGACATTACCAGCCTTCATAACAATACATCATCCCCACCCCCTTTTTGGTTAAGGAACATTCTTGGAGATGTTAACTAATGTTTTACACCGTAGTGTAAACCCAGTCTGTGCCAAACAATGAGTGGCTAGTGTTTGACTGCCAAGGAATTTGGAGGAGAGAACTGTGTTTGTGTTCTCCAGAAAGGCCTTAGGGGCTGCTCTTTGGGCTGGCCTGAGGGAGTATGCGCAGCAACTGGCTGATATGTGCTTACGCTGGAACCCCATTTGTGGGAGACTTCCCCATTCCACTGGATCTCATGCCTAGCTGACACACACATAGCAGGTGAACTGGTAAAGACTTGCGGACCATACGGCATCAGACTGCAGGAAGAGATTTTCTCTTGGGAAAACCAGCATATCAGGAAGAAACCTAGTGTGGTACTTAAGTAAGTTTTACTCAGAGTAGAAACGTTGAAATGAATGGATGAGACTAAGTTTTACAGTTAGTGAAGCTTACTTGAATACCACTCCTAGACTAGAGGTCATCTTCCTGCTGCCTGTTCAGCCTGGTTTTGCATGCAAATCAGCTGCTGCCATCTTTATCTCAAATTCCAGCTGTTTCTTGCCAGGGCAGGCTAGACAAGAGAGGTCTGAAAAGGCCTGAGCGTCTCCAGGAAGTAGTGTGCAAGATCTTGGTATTAAAGTAAGCCATCTGTGGTCAGGGATAATCTGGGTCTTCCTCCAGCTGCAAGCTTTCAGACCCATATGTTAAGCCATCTGGTTACTTGCTTCTAAACATCAGCCCAGGGAATGCTTGTGTCAGGTTAGATAATAAAATTTCCAGTTTTAATTCCAGCTTCTCCATGCATTCAGAGAGCACACTCGCTTTTAATTTTACCAAATTGAACTGCCCTGTCCTCCCAGTTCCTGCTTCATCATTTCATAAAGCTTCCTCTGATCTTAAAGCAAACACCATCTCTTTGCAGGCCTGCCACCCGCTTGGTGAGGTGACCTTTACAAGCCTGAGGTTGGCAGTCTTGTACTGCAGAATCAGGTATGCAGACACCTTTGTTTCCATGTGAACCTTTGGAGCAGCACTTTGATTTTATTTTTTTAAAATAATATTTATTGATTTTCCAACCATTTAAACACAGTAGAACAGAAAAAAGAAAAAAGAAAAAGAAAAAGAAAAGCAAAGAAAAGAAAAAACATAAGATTAACAAAACAAGACGCAAACCATTTAAAACACAAAACAATTTCAATATCTTAACTTTCATTCCCTTATTTCCACGACCTCCTCACACCTCCCTTTTTGTATTCCACTTCTATTAATTGTTTCAGCAATTCCTTTCCATCTTCCTCTGTTTTCTATCCTATAATTATCTTAACATATTCTAATCTTATTTTTCCCTTTAATACTCTATTAGTCTATTTATACTTAATTCCTTATAGCATTTCTACTAAAGCCATATAACTTCATTCCAACATTTTTCTAACATTCATTATTTTTACAATATTTCTATAAATAGTCTTAAACCTTTTCCTTTTTTTAAAATGATATTTATTAAAGTTTCAAAGAGTACAAAAACAAAAAATAAAAATACAAGAAAATACAAAATACAGAAAAAAGAATAAAATTTTTAAAATATAACAAAAAGAAAAATAAAGAAAAACATACAAGATAAAAACAGTTAAAAACACGTTAACTTTCCATAGCATATCTTCCTTACCCTTATTTCCCTGGACCTCCTCATACCTCCCTTTTTTGTATTCCAGTTCAGTTTGTTAGTTCAGCAAATCCTTACCATTAAGCTTTTACCCATTTGTAAACCTTTTTTCGTATCTCTTAAAGCATTACAGCTGGAAACCACTTAGTTTCTATCCAACATAAACTTTTTCCAGTCTTCTTCCACCGTCTCTTCTCCCTGGTCTCGGATTTCTGCCAGTCTTTTCCGCCAATTCCATATAGTCCATCAACTTCATCTGCCATTCTTCCCGGATAGATAAATCTTGTGTCTTCCAGTACTTCACAATGAGTATTCTTGCTGCTATTGTTGCATACGTGAAAAGAGTTCTATCCTTCTTTAACACCAATTGGCCGACCATGCCCAGGAGAAAGGCCTCTAGTTTCTTCAAAAAGGTATATTTAAATACCTTTTTCATTTCATTATGAATCATCTCCCAAAGTGTCTTAATCCTTGGGCATGTTCACCAAAGGTGAACTCTAATCCTCAAATTCGTCTGTTTTTCTTTGAGTTCAGTCATAGCAAGCGTCAACTTATATTCATCAAGTTGCTTCTGTAGGGCTGGGGTTCTCTTGCTCTTTCTCTCCAGTTGTGTTTCTTTACATTCAGCAACAACAGCTTTTTCCCTGGCCACCTCCGCAGTTTGCCGTATCGAAATAGGTTCCTGTGTCAATTTCTGGGTAGTTTCTATATTAGTATTTATACTTTCTATATTTAAGTTAGTTTTAATGATTGAAACATCCACTTTCGCATTTATCATGTCCATTTTCCTGTGAAGCTGATCCAATGAATCATTTATCTTAAATAATGCCGCCACTAGAGCCTCTTCTGTCAACATTTCTCTTGGTTTTACATATACTGGTACAAAGGCTCAGAAAAAGCAGGGGGGCCTGATGGTGGACCTCTCCTGGATTGTTGCCAAGTCCTCCCAGACCTTAATGTTTTGTCGGCAGTTGACTGGTCTGTTTTTCCTCTTCCATTTACCATAACACTTAAAAGATCAAGGTCAGTCCCAGAGTCTCACGGTTTTTAACTTGCAGCTGGAAATTCCCCTAGTCCAGCTCTTGTAAAGCAACCGGTTTCAAAGGCTTCCACTAGGGGGAAACAGTTTCTATTTTTCAATAGTCAATAGTATCCTCTTTTAAACAATCCGAAAATTAGTTTCAAGTTAGTTTCAATTTTCAGTTACTTTTACTCCTTTTTAAAGCAGCCAAAAACAGTAGAAACAATGTATTTCTCTTGTTTAACTAGCTGTCAATGAACGTTCTAAACGCTGTCAATGAGCATTCCAAAGTAAGTCAGACCTACTAGCAGCCCATTTCCAGGGTCAGAGCGGCGGTGTTTTAGATCTCTTCGCTCTCTCCTGCAGGCATATTCAGTCCACAACTCCCCCCCCTCTTCTCCTGCCTCCAAAGGGGGGTTTTGTTCTTTACCGATGGAAATTTAATCTTTTACAAAAGACTTTCCAGGACTCCAGCTTGCAACTTCATTGCCTCAGTCTATTTACAAAAGGGGGAGGCGGACTTCCTGTTTTGAACCTCCCTGCTTCGATACCAAATTATACTTTTAGAAATCCAATTCTCCCTTTTCAGCTCTACTCACGGGTAATTACTTTAAGGTCAACTCGTCCACAGGAAAAAGTCAGCGCTCTCCGGCAACGGCTGTGCGGCTTCGCTCCGTGGAAGAAGCAGACGATTCGAAGCACCGCGCCACTCACCCCACGTCGCTCCGGAGACCCGAAAACGGGTTTCCCCGCGAGTAGGGGAGGCGCAGAAGGTGCCCGCCGAATCCCACGTTCACAGGCTTCTCCCGCCTGTGATTTTTACGGGTTTCCGCCTTCGCCTTCGCCATGGCGGCCAGACCCAATTTTTCCACGGGGCAAATTCCTCCCGGTCAGAGAAATTCCGCCATTGCCGATGGCGCCAACCCGGAGCAGCACTTTGATGCCATCGGGTGCCTCTGAACCTGTGAAAAGGGTGCACCAACCTGGTATTCATTGCAGATGAGGATTCTGCATCATTCTACTTCTGCCAGCCACCTGGTGATGGCTTCCTGAATACCTTGAAATGTCAACCTTCTCCATTTGCCATGAGGCCTGTCCCATCAGGTGCACTCCACTCCACCTCCTTGACTTCATACCATATGAATTTTAACCCTTCTTTTTCACCTGGCCCTTCCCCTTCTCGCTCAGATGGACTGCACTTTGAGTGCCCCACCAGCAGCATTTTGAACAAAAAAGGAGCCCTCTGGATCGGGCCAGCAGCCCATCCAGTCCACCATGCTGCTTTGACAGTAGCCAACCAGATGCCTCAGTGGAAACCCCATAAGCAGGGTATAAGCACAAGCATTCTCTCCCTCCTGTGGTTTCCTGCAACAGGAACATAGCCATCCTGGCTAGTATCCATTGAAAGCCCTCTCTTTCATGAATTTGTCAAGTCCTCTTTTAAAGCCATTTCCTGTGGGAGAGAGTTCCATAGTTTATGCGCTGTGTGAAGAAGGACTTTTCTGTCTGCGAAACTTAAGTGCAAGTGAGTGTGTGCTTTGCTGGCCTTACTGCTTTCTCTCCTTTGAGCCCTTTCAGTTTTGAGCTTTGTTGATAGGGTTGATTTCATTTCTCTATTATATCTCTTCTGATTTTATGTTTCATAGAATCATAGAATCATAGAATCATAGAGTTGGAAGAGGCCACAAGGGCCATCGAGTCCAACCCCCTGCCAAGCAGGAAACACCATCAGAGCACTCCTGACATATGGTTGTCAAGCCTTTGCTTAAAGACCTCCAAAGAAGGAGACTCCACCACACTCCTTGGCGGCAAATTCCACTGTCGAACAGCTCTTACTGTCAGGAAGTTCTTCCTAATGTTTAGGTGGAATCTTCTTTCTTGTAGTTTGGATCCATTGCTCCGTGTCCGCTTCTCTGGAGCAGCAGAAAACAACCTTTCTCCCTCCTCTATGTGACATCCTTTTATATATTTGAACATGGCTATCATATCACCCCTTAACCTCCTCTTCTCCAGGCTAAACATGCCCAGCTCCCTTAGCCGTTCCTCATAATGTTTGTGGCATCCAGTCTAAACCTTTTGCAAGATAGGCCACAAAATCATAAGGAATACCACCACTGCTGCATACAACAAGCAAAATGTTTGTTGATACTAAATGTTCATGGTTCCACAAAAGTGATGTTACTTGCAGGATGCTGTGGGACAGAAATACGTAACTTAGATTATTCAGGCAGCCTTCTGGTTGCATAGCAACCTTGGTATTATTAGCAGTGAGAGCATTCAGCTACATGGCACATGAGTAGGTGGGATGTTTAGTTAGGTGTTGAGAAAAATGAGCTCTGCTTGCATCTCCTGCACTGCTTTAATATAGCAGCAGGACTTGTTCTCCTAGTGCATGGAGATGAGAGAGACTGGCATGTTGCAAGCTGTCAGAGTTTTGCATCTCTTTGGCTTGTGTGTGTTCCCAAACCTGAAACTGTCCTAGTTTGCTAATGACCAAGTAAGTCTCAAGGATCACTAAGGTCTCATCTCCTGTTCATCCCTTTGTGGTTTTTAGCAATAGTCCATAACATTTGCTGTTCTGTCACATCCACCTACATACCACAAGAGCAGGCGTGCGTATGTTCTTGGTGATTGCACTCTATTGATGGGGAACTCTCTGAAATTCTGGTCACACTACAGAGGGGGTGGGGGTAAAACTGCTCCTGGATTGTACCATTGCAGGCTGCCATTAGTAGGAGAGGCAGCTGCATATCTGAGCTCTTCCCACTCTTCCCAAATAAACTCACTCTGCACAGCAAACCAGCTTATTAAGCAAAAGGTTGGAGATGTTTTCCACATGCAAAGTGGTGTGTGTGTCTGTGTCTGTCTATAGTACATCCCCTGCAGTCTGAAGTGGGACAGTCCAGGAATGTTTTGTCACCTCACTTGTGTAGACCAGGCTGGAGCCTGAGGGTTGGATCCAAGTAACTTCTGCTCAGAGTAGACTCACTAAAATTAATGGACCTGTTAGCCATGTTCATTAGTTTCAATGCATCTCCTCTTAGTAGGACTGGTGATTTGAGGTGGTGCTGCATTTGTGTTTTAATTATTGTAAACAAGCCTTGGGACCTGGGGGTGAAGGATGCGTAATAAATAGTAGTAATAATAATAACTTTAAATGAGCCTTGTTTAAATGAACTGTGCTACTATCAGAACTCTTTCTAGCATGTCCAAAATACACATGTAAGTCAGACTCTGTCATGTTTAACTGTTGTGGTTTCCAGCTAAAGAGTTCTAGCAGGGAGAAGTCTAGACACCTTCTTAAAATGACATTTGTAAGACTTTGTGGAGGGGGAACCCATGAAAAAAGTCAATATTCCTTGTCAATATCCCCTAGACCCAGTGATGTTTCTGTGTCCTCTGCTGGATTTCAGAGACAAGGGATATTCAACTGGATGGCTTAAGTTTGGAGTATCTGATGCTTCAGACATAGAGGATATTGGGAGTCCACACTTTAGGCAAAGGAAGGAGAGTGGCTCATTGGCAGAGCATGTGCTGTGCATGCAGAAGGATGCAGGCTCAATCCTCAGCTTCTCTGGATGGGGCTGACAAGGTCCCTTGCCTGGAGAACCACCCCCGGGCAGTACAAATAGAACAGGCTAGAGGCACCGAAGATCTGGCTTGGTATAAGAGAGCTTCCCATGTACCCACAATGGTGTCCCAGCACCCTGTCAGGGCTCCAAGGCACACCTTTTAGACTGCTTCCTTCTTGGCCCTTCCCCCCACCCTGCCTTTGAAATGTTGGCTACCCCAAGCCACTCATGTGCTGGGGTTCAGAGGGTTGGGCTGGTGGCTGCACTGGCTCCTTCTCCTCTCTGCCTCTGCAGAGGAGTCACCAGCTACAGAAAAATGCTGTGTCTTCATGCTGTGGGAAATCTTCCAGATAACTGCCATGGCTGGTGAGGTCAGCTGGGATAGGATCCTGCTCAGTTCTAGGAACTGTTTATCTGTTGCTGCAGCAGCAAACGTTAGGGGAGAGGAAGGTGTCTCTCACTCAGGAAATTGCTCTGCCTAACGCCATCTCCACATTGGACAGGGGTTCTTCACCAGGTCTAGAAGAAGGCATTGGGCCATGTTCAGATCCTTGTGGGCAAAGTTAACCTATCCAGTAGTGAGTATTTGGAAATGGTGCTTGGATTTTGTGTGTGTGTGTCTTGGTGTGCTTTCTGGGGAGCAATATGTGGATTTTGCCTTTACATTTCTGTGTGGTCAGTAAACTTTTTAAAGGAAATATGTGCCTGTTCTGTATCACTCAGTTTCCCACAGGCATCTGGTTAGCCACTGTGAGAACAGGAGGCTGGGCATGAGTACTCTGTTAGCCCTCTGCTCAGTTGGAGTGGAGATAGGAAACCTTGAGTAAAGTGACATTAAAATTGTCACCTAATTAAAATGTTGTGGTCAGTTTAATCACTTAAATATGTACATGTGTAAAAGCAATAGTTCTGTTTTATAGAATGCCCTTGGAGCAGCCTTTCCCCACCTAATGCCCTTCAGATGTTCTGGCCTGCAACCTGCATTAGCACCAGCCGGCATGGTTGTCTGGGAGTTGTAGTCCAAAACATTTGGAGGGCAGGAACCAAGATGGAGTAGGCTGACAACTTGGAGGCCTTTTTTACAATGCAAGGGGAAACAGGCCACGTCTGCCTGCTGTGCCATCCTTTCTTTTTAAAAATTCATTGCATCAAAAATAGATTTAAAGAACACATTGAGTAATTGAGGGCACATTTTTAGTCAGTGAAAGGGTTTTTAATCCATCTAGCTAAACATTGCAGCCATGGAACTGCAGGCACTCCTAAAGCTGTGCTGGTAGAAGGGGGTTGCTTGTTTTCCAGGCACAAGCTGCATGGGTTGACTGTGAAAGGAGGCTTGCAAGTAGCTAGTCACCAGGTTACCGGGGTTGCCTCTGGCAGTTCAAGCACTTTGCAAAAGTTGGTGGTTGTCTTACTTTAGGGTTGCAGGTGGCCCATAGCTTTTTAGGAAGGCTGGAGAAAGTTATCAGGGCAGGGGCGTACTTTTGTAGTTGCACTGAAGCCAAAAGTGTATCCCAGAGACTGCCTCTCTGTGCCCCATCTTGGTATATCTGATCTCCCTCTGAGAGAAATTCCAATCCATCCACTGACTTAGAAACTAGGATGTGTGTGGACAAACATTTGTGAGAGTGGCTGGATTTCCTTTTTCTGAAAATTCACCCCAACCTGAGCCTAGCTAAGAGGTGCATGAGGGTTGGTGTATTTTAGCTGATTGTTTGGTTGTGTGTCATGTTTTCAGTGGGATAGTGTGGAGAACAGAACTGTATTTAACTAAGCAGGCACCAAGGATTGCTTGCTGCACCTTGAATGCATCATGTGGATTCTGGTGAGTAGTTACATTGCAAGGCAGTGACATAGAAGACTGCTACAGGTCTAGAGGAGCTATTGCTCAGCAACTTGGCTATGGGCGGGGCACCTTGAACTCTTCATAGGACTGCTTCTGTATGGTGAGGAAATTTCCGTGTTCTTAGGTTGCCTTTGTGATGACTTTTGCTTGCAGTCGTTAAGAACTGCTGGCTTAAAGAGCAGCCTGAACATCAGACTCTTTCAGATAAGGGCAAATTGTGTTTTTACTACTTGGGGGGGGGGGGGCAGAGTGGCTGCAGCAACCTAGTCAGATGGGTGACACATAAATAATAAATTGTTATTGTTATATAAACCTTTTCAGCCGCCACAGTCCCAACTGCAGCATAGATATTCTGAAAAAGGGGTGTATGGGTGGGTGGGGGGTGTTTGTTTCTCACATATGTCACAGACTTGGGCTTTTTATTTTATTTTTTATTTTATTTTACAAAGTTTGTGATCAACCTGTGGAAGGAATTTGCAATCAAATGAACCAGCGGAAATGCAAAGGATAAGAGACAGACAGAGAGAGAGAGAGAGAGAGAGAGAGAGAGCGCCATTTTGCCACCAGAAGGTTCCAGCCTGTGTCTGTAGCAGTCCTCTCACTTTATGTGGACAACAAGGACCCACCAAGAAACAGCCTGTAGCAGAAGTGTGCAACTCAGCCTTGCATCTATGTGCCCCCCAACCACAAACTGGGGTGCAACTCTTTCAAATGTTTTGCCTGGAGGATTTTTTGGGGTGTCTCTTGACACTTCCCATCATTGGTAGAAGAATTTCCATAGCACATTTTGATGTCTAAAGATAGAATAGAATCATAGAATCATAGAATCATAGAATCATAGAGTTGGAAGAGACCACAAGGGCCATCGAGTCCAACCCCCTGCCAAGCAGGAAACACCATCAGAGCACTCCTGACATATGGTTGTCAAGCCTCTGCTTAAAGACCTCCAAAGAAGGAGACTCCACCACACTCCTTGGCAGCAAATTCCACTGTCGAACAGCTCTTACTGTCAGGAAGTTCTTCCTAATGTTTAGGTGGAATCTTCTTTCTTGTAGTTTGGATCCATTGCTCCGTGTCCGCTTCTCTGGAGCAGCAGAAAACAACCTTTCTCCCTCCTCTATGTGACATCCTTTTATATATTTGTACATGGCTATCATATCACCCCTTAACCTCCTCTTCTCCAGGCTAAACATGCCCAGCTCCCTTAGCCGTTCCTCATAAGGCATCGTTTCCAGGCCTTTGACCATTTTGGGTGCCCTCCTCTGGACACGTTCCAGTTTGTCAGTGTCCTTCTTGAACTGTGGTGCCCAGAACTGGACACAGTACTCCAGGTGAGGTCTGACCAGAGCAGAATACAGTGGCACTATTACTTCCCTTGATCTAGATGCTATACTCCTATTGATGCGGCCCAGAATTGCATTGGCTTTTTAGCTGCCGCGTCACACTGTTGGCTCATGTCAAGTTTGTGGTCAACCAAGACTCCTAGATCCTTTTCACATGTACTGCTCTCAAGCCAGGTGTCACCCATCTTGTATTTGTGCCTCTCATTTTTTTGCCCAAGTGCAATACTTTACATTTCTCCCTGTTAAAATTCATCTTGTTTGTTTTGGCCCAGTTCTCTAATCTGTTAAGGTCATTTTGAAGTGTGATCCTGTCCTCTGGGGTGTTAGCCACCCCTCCCAGTTTGGTGTCATCTGCAAATTTCATCAGGATGCCCTTGAGTCCATCATCCAAGTCGTTGATAAAGATGTTGAATAAGACCGGGCCCAGGACAGAACCCTGTGGCACCCCACTAGTCACTCTTCTCCAGGATGAAGAGGAACCATTGATGAGCACCCTTTGGGTTCGGTCAGTCAGCCAGTTACAAATCCACTGAGTGGTAGCATAGTCAAGACCGCATTTTACCAGCTTCTTTACAAGAATATCATGGGGCACCTTGTCAAATGCCTTTCTGAAATCAAGGTAGGCTACATCCACTGCGTTCCCTTCATCTACCAGGCTTGTAATTCTGTCAAAAAACGAGATCAGGTTAGTCTGACATGACTTATTTTTCAGAAATCCATGCTGACTATTGGTGATCACAGCATTCCTTTCTAGGTGCTCACAGACTGTTTGCTTAATGATCTGCAAGAAGCCCAGAATAAAATTTAAAATATTAACTGATGTAAAGGAAAGAGGGGGATTTGCCCTGCCAGACTTTAAACTTTATTATGAATCAGCAGCATTCTGCTGGTTGAAAGATTGGCTGCTTCTTGAGAACACAGACATTTTGCATTTAGAAGGTTTCAATAATGTTTTTGGGTGGCATGCATATTTGTGGTATGACAAGGTTAAAGCACATAAAGCATTTAAAAACCATATTGTCAGGAAAGCATTGTTTAATGTCTGGACAAGATATAAAGACTTACTTGAAAATAAAACCCCAAGGTGGTTGTCACCGATGGAGGCAAAGGCCCTGAAAAAGCTCAATATGGAGGCCAAGTGGCCGAAATATTGGGAAATCTTGGCGCAAGAAGGAGACAAATTGAAATTGCAGAGTTTTGAGAAACTAAAAGATAAAGTGCGAGACTGGCTTCGTTACTATCAAATAAGAGAGGCTTATAATTTAGACCAAAAAATTGGCTTCCAGGTGGAAAAATCAAAGTTGGAAACAGAAATGTTAGATCCTAAAACAAAGATACTTTCAAGAATGTATAACTTGCTGTTAAAATGGAATACTCAGGACGAGACGGTTAAATCTGCTATGATTAAATGGGCACAGGACGTTGGACATAACATTATGTTTGCTGACTGGGAACAGTTGTGGACCACAGGTATAAAATTTACGGCATGCAATGCCCTAAGAGAGAATATTATGAAAATGATATACAGGTGGTACATGACCCCAGTCAAGCTTGCAAAAATCTATCACTTACCCGATAATAAATGTTGGAAATGTAAAGAAACTGAAGGTACATTCTATCACCTTTGGTGGACGTGCCCAAAGATTAAGGCGTTCTGGGAGATGATCTATAATGAAATGAAAAAGGTATTTAAATTTACCTTCCTGAAGAAACCAGAGGCCTTCCTCTTGGGTATAGTCGGCCAATTGGTGCCAAAGAAGGATAGAAATTTCTTTATGTATGCTACAACAGCAGCAAGAATACTTATTGCAAAGTATTGGAAGACACAAGATTTACCCACCCTGGAAGAGTGGCAGATGAAGGTGATGGACTATATGGAATTGGCGGAAATGACTGGCAGAATCCGAGACCAGGGAGAAGAGTTGGTAGAAGAAGATTGGAAGAAATTTAAAGACTATTTGCAGAAATACTGTAAAATTAATGAATGTTAAAATGATGTTGGATTGAAAATAAGTGGTTTTGGTAATAAGGTTAAAAAGAATATGCAAATATAGATAGTCATATGGACGAAAATATATAGTTATAATAGGTTAGGACACAGAGTAAAGATAAATGAAAGAGGATAAGGATTTGCTGAAAGGATTTTGTAAACGGGAATACAAAAAGGGGAGGTGTGAGGAGGTCAAGGAAATAAGTAAATGAGCCTAAAGATATTGAAAAATGGATTTTTCTTTAATTTTTTTTTTTTAGCCATCTGTTTTTTGTATTTTGTATTTTTTTTTCTTCTAGGTTTTTTTTTCTTTTTTTGGTAATTTTTTGTATTTTTCTTGTTATCTTTTTTCTTTTTCTGTCTATGTTTTCTTTTTAGTTTGTTAAACCTATGTTTATTGTAAAATCCTAATAAACATTTTATAAAAAAAATAATAATAATGATCTGCTCCAGAATCTTCCCTGGTATTGATGTCAGACTGACTGGGCGGTAATTATTTGGGTCCTCTCTTTCCCCCTTTTTGAAAATAGGGACAACATTTGCCCTCCTCCAGTCTGCCGGGACTTCGCCTGTTCTCCAGGAATTCTCAAAGATGACTGGCAGTGGTTCTGAGATCACATCTGCCAGTTCTTTTAATACTCTTGGATGCAGTTCATCTGGCCCTGGAGACTTGAATACATCTAAACTAGCCAAGTATTCTTGTACTATCTCCTTAGATATTCTGGGCTGTGTTTCCTCTGCTGAATCATTTGCTCCAAATTCTTCAGGTCGGGCATTGTTTTCTTTATCGGAGAAGACTGAGGCAAAGAAGGCATTGAGGAGTTCAGCCCTTTCTGTGTCCCCTGTTTGCATTTCACCATCTTCTCCTCTGAGTGACCCCACTGTTTCTTTGTTCTTCCTTTTGCTACTGACATACCCATAAAAGCCTTTTTGTTGCTTTTAACCTCTCTAGCAAGCCTGAGTTCATTCTGTGCTTTAGCTTTTCTGACTTTGTGTCTACACGTGCTGGCTATTTGTTTGAATTCCTCTTTGGTGGTTCCCCCCCTTTTCCATTTTTTGTACACATCCTTTTTAAATCTTAACTCAGTTAAAAGTTCTTTAGATAGCCTTTCCGTCTCATTGGTATTGCCTGAAGTTGTGCTTTTACTATCTCCCTCTTAACAAACTCCCAGCCATCATGAACTCCCTTTCCTTTTAGTATTACTGTCCATGGGATCTCACCCAGCACTTCCCTAAGTTTTATGAAGTCAGCTTTCTTAAAGTCAAGAAATTGAGTCCTAGTATGCTTGGCTGCTCCTTTCCGCTGTATAGTAAACTTCAGAAGAGCATGATCACTCGCGCCGAATGATCCTTCCACTTCTACCCCACTAACCAGGTCATCAACATTGGTTAGGACCAGATCTAAAATGGCTGTTCCTCTTGTTGCTTCTCCCACTTTCTGGACAATGAAGTTGTCTACAAGACCAGTGAGGAATCTGTTTGACCTTATGCTCTTGGCTGAGTTTGACATCCAACAAATATTCGGGTAATTGAAGTCCCCCATTACTACTATCTCCCTTCATTTTGCATGCTTGGCCATCTGTTCCAGGAAGGCATCATCTATGTCCTCCGTTTGGCTTGGGGATCTAAAGTAAACTCCCACAGTGAGGTAACTGTTCTTCTTCTCTCCCTTAATTTTGACCCAAATGCTCTCACTTTGGCTTTGAGGTTCTAAATCTTGGATCTCTTCACAGGTATACACATCCCTGACATATAACGCCACTCCTCCTCCTTTCTTGTCTGGTCTGTTTCTCTGAAATAGATTGTATCCCTCCATTATTACATTCCAATCATGGGACTTATCCCACCAGGTTTCAGTGATGCCTATTATGTCATATTTAGTTTGCTGTACCAAGAGCTCAAGCTCGTCTTATTTATTTCCCATGCTTTGCGCATTAGTGTACAGACATTGAAGTCCATTAATCTTTCATGACACAGTCATGGGTTACACATTCAAGCTGTCCCTTTAGCAGACTTTACTCACAGGAGGAGTGTTAAAAATGTAGATTTTTCATTGTTCTCCATGTACACATTTACTGGGTTTTTAAAATTCCCATTGCTGATGGCGAGTGTGGTGAGTAACCAGGCTCCTGTCCAGCGGACTAGTTAGCGAGTTTCACCCGGAAGCTCCTGTAGGCTCACATGGCCTGCTCTGGCCAGCTGACTGCAGGGCCTTCTTTTGGTGGTGCGGCTCCCGACCTCACACCCTGCATGTTCCAGCAGGTATTTAATGTGTTGCATAAATAACATGTGGTGGCTGTATGCCTCAAGATATTCATTGAGCTGGAGGTTCTAAACTCTTTCCCCAAGACTGAGTCTAGAAACAAAAATGTTGTACCACAGAGTCTCCATTACCTTAGTAGAGCAGCTGTACTAATACACTGGAAACTTTCATATGGTTTGGGTCAAGTAGTTTAGAGCACTCCACAGTCTCTCACAATCCAAATCAGTTCTCTCTATTTCTTATTTTTCCAACCTTAAATTTAGTTCTCCACATTCTTGCAACAATTTCAACTTTTCTTTTAGAAGAAGCTCATGAAAGTTCATCAGCATTTCGGTGTGAATTTATCTGAATACATTCTGTATGCAATTGTGCCCAATATACACATTCATGAATACCAATTTCCCCGGCCTAACACAATGCAGTTCACTAATCTGTGCAGCTTTTATCTGCACTTTTGGACACATTACTTGACTAGGGAACTATACTGGAATTTTTTTTAAAGAAATGCACATTTCAAGGGATGGTTGTGATTTGAGTCACATTTGATTTGGAATATGGGAGTTTGGCCAGTTTGTCTTTAAATGCAGACTAAATAGAATTTCTCCCCCTCCCTAAATCCAGGGCTTTTCTCACAATAAGCCTTTTTTCCCTACTTGTGTTGCCCAGCCAGAAGCTCTTCTGAATTTTCCCTGTGGGTCAATGCAAAGTCACCCCGCTTTGGAGAGAGGAGAGCCCCAATCCATCAGGATGTTGGAGAGCCAGTGTGGTGTAGTGGTTAAGAGCGGTAGACTCCTAATCTGGGGAACCGGGTTCGCGTCTCCGCTCCTCCACATGCAGCTGCTGGGTGACCTTGGGCCAGTCACACTTCTTTGAAGTCTCTCAGCCCCACTCACCTCACAGAGTGTTTGTTGTGGGGGAGGAAGGGAAAGGAGAATGTTAGCCGCTTTGAGACTCCTTAAAGGGAGTGAAAGGCGGGATATCAAATCCAAACTCTTCTTCTGGCACAAGAACCCATAGATTATGGTCTGGTGAAGCTTACAGTGACTCAAACAAGAGGTTTGATTGTGCTTCTGAGTGGAAGGTGCCTTTCCAGTGAGCACAAGAATTTTTAAAGCAAATATTTAAAGGTCTTCTGTGGCTTCTGTTGGACAACAGCCCAGAGGACACCATGGCAAAGCTGTCCACTGGACAAGTTCTTAATCAAGTTCTTTTTTTTTTTATAATGATATTTATTGAGATTTCAAAAAGAATACAAAAATTACACAATAACAAAAAAGTAGAGAATACAAAAACTTACACAATAAAAAGAAAAAAGATAAAAAAGTCAAAGTAAAAATATAAAAAATGAAAAATACAGAAGAAAAATAGTAATAAAAAAGAAAAAAATATATATTAGACCTCCTCCTCCTCCCTTCCTTTGTATTCTAGTTGTTAATTATCCCAGCAAATCCTTTCCATCTTTCTATAATAGAATAAACCTTAAAATTTAAAATTTAGATCTTAACTTTACCAGCTTCTTGTGTTCATAATGTTCTTTTCTAATTCTTTATACATCTTTACTAAAGCCAGATAATTTCTTCCAACATTTTTCTATCATTCATTTTTCATCATTCTATCATTTAACAACTATATAAAACATTCTATTAGTTAGAAAACAAGTACACAAAAAAAACAAGTTCAATCTTTATCCAACGTCCCTTCCTCCTGGTTTCGGGATTTGTCAGTCCTTATTCCTCAATCTAACCCGGTGACCTTATGTCCGAGGCTCTCAGATCACTTCCATGGCCCTTCCACAGCTTTTCTTCATATTTGTGGCTGTAGTCACTTGCTTGTAGTAACTCCAACTTAATAGTGTTTTTAACCCTTCTCATCAGTTCAGATCCTTTTCCCTGTTCATCGCTGCAATCCATGTAGTATTTAAAAACATACTTCAAGGGCCCTCCGAAGTTGTGGGCCCCCACAATTCCAAACATGTCGCAGCCTGTTACTGTATTTAGGAAGTCCAGATATCCCAACATAGGGGGGTCTATCCAGCCCCCCATTTCCAAACCACGCCAAACTTTCCCTTCCCATATCTGGTTTTTTCCAAGTTCTATTATCAAATCCGAAGGATCAGGCTCCTGTTGAGACTGTTCTGTCAAACCACACTCCTGATTTAGTGCCACAAACCCCTGTTCTGTCAAAACACACTCCTGGTTTGAGTCCTGAATAGACTCCACATATATTCCCACAGTTTGATCAACGCCTTCCGCTGCCAGTCTGAGATTTCCAGTCGACTTGGCCATCTGGTTCACCTTATCATGTAGTTCTTCCAGTAAAATATTTGTTTCATTGAGCAGGCAAACCACAACTTCTGAAAACATTGTTGCACTCTCCCACTATTGTTTATATCAGCTGTCAAGTCCTTGGCATTAGTTACAGTTTCTAAGGCTCCCCCTAGGGAGAAGACTTATATTTGTTTCTGTTACATTTCCATGTTACTTAAAGTACTTTATCCATATATATTCCTTTAAAATGCGAAAGGGAACAATAGAGTCACCAAAAATTCTCTTATTTTTACTATCTGTCACACACAGATATCTTGATGGTTCGCGTCAGTCCTGACTTCCCCGCTCCAGGATCAGGACGAAAATAGCTTCCTTTTACCGCTTCAAATAGTCCAAAAAAATATCCCAATTTGAAATGTTGGAATCCACTCTTTTAAGAACAATTTTCGAAGCTCTAGTATAAGTTGTCTTTGCTTTGTTATGTTTACAAAAGAACGGAAGGGTGACTTCCTGTTTAGCCCTTACCGCTCCGTACCAAATTCAATCAATTTTTCTTTTTTTTTTATAGTCCAATTCTGTCCTTTTTACTAATCTTCATTTAATGTTCCAATTTGTTCAAATTCTGGGTACTCACGGATATTTGTTTTAAAGTCCGAATTGTCCAGGAAAAAAGGCAGCGCTCTCCGGCAACAGCTACGCGGCTTCACTCCACAAAAGAAGCAGACGACTCGATAGCACAGCGCCACTTCCCCGCTCTGTTCCGGAGCCCGTTGCCGGGTTCCTTTGCAGGTTGGGGGGGCGCAAACAGTGCCCGCCGAGTCCCAGGGTCACAGGCTTCACCCGCCTGTGGTTTGAAGGGTCCCCGCTGCGCCGAAGCGGTTTTAGACCCGATTTCTGTGGAGCGGTCTCCCTCTGAGTTAGAGGGATTCCGCCATTGCCGTTGGCGCCACCTCCGGAAGTCCCAAGTTCTTAATCAAGTTCTGCCTTGTCTCACCAGTAGCCACTTGGTCTGGTCTCAACTAAGACTATAACCTGGGTTCTGGGATCTGAGTAGATCCCCAGGGCTTAAACAGAGAGCCTCCTTGTTTGTGGCTGGGACTTGCCCTCCTGAGCTACCCCTGGCTGTACTTTCTCGCAGTTTCCTCAGGCACAGAAAGGAGTGTGTGTCTATGTTGTAAAGGTCCCTGCCATTAGCAGTGCACAAGTTGGAATCCTTTGGAGTGGCCACTCTTGGTGTGTGTTGTTAGCAAATCACTCCTCTGTTGCTAACATTGTGGCTGGTGTGTCACATGTCTGTGTTTACTTCCCTGAGCTGGGAAGGTTCTGAGGACGGAAGAGTGTGGCCAGCCAGCAGCTGAGCTTGAGGACCCTGGCAGTGCTTGAAGAGCCTCCTCCTGTGTTTACTTCCCTTCTAGAGGGATGCTGATGGCAGGACTGAGAGCAAATCAAATAACTTTTTTGGGTTTCAGAGGGCCTTGGCAAAGGAAGCACATAGTTCTTTTTTAATGAAAAGCGATTGTCATGATAGGCTGGGTGGAAGGGACCAGAATCATTTGGTGGCTGGAATGGAACTGCATAAAACAAAGGGCTTTTATTGGGCTGACCTAGCTTTATTCTGCTCTTTCGCTTTGCTGTCTCCATTAATTAACATGTACCATATTATTTTTCAATAGCTTTGCCCTTTGGTAGTGACCTAATCGTGGCACAGTTGCCAAGCGAGAGAGAGAGAGCAGGCCTGTGATGGGCATTCCGTAAACAAAAGGGGTTGGGCAAGATAAGAAGGACCTTGAACAGGTTAGCCCAGGGGTCAGCAAACCCTTTCAGCCATGGGCCGGTCCACTGTCCCTCAGACCTTTGGAGGGCCAGACTATATTTTTTGGGGGGGAAATGAACAAATTCCTATGCCCCACAAATAACACAGAGATGCATTTTAAATAAAAGCACACATTCTACTCATGTAGAAACACACAGATTGCCGGACCACCTGCGGGCCGGATTGAGAAGGCATAGACAAGAAGGTGCTGTTAGAATCTCAGTAAGTTAAAAAGTAGAGAAGTAAAAAAGGAAAAATTACTTCCCTGGGTGAAGTAATTTTCTTTTAATTGTCAAATAATTCTGTGTACATTGTGGCAGCCTTTGGCTATGTGCAATAAAACTGACTGAGACTGAGATTGAGAAGGCGATTAGGCCGGATCTGGCCCCCGGGCCTTAGTTTGCCTACCCATGGGTTAGCCAAACAGAAAAGAAAAATGTATAAAGTGAGAGAAAGGAACACTCAGTACCAGATTTTGGGGTGTTCACTGGTTTCTAAAATCAGCTTTGTCTAGGCAAGATGAGTCTATGCTCTGTTTCCTAAGAGGAAAATTTGGCACATTTTGTGAGAGAACCCTGCTATTTTTCTGTGAGTCCTTATAACTCTTTTCCCGCATGGTACAAGAAGGCTGACCCAGGAGCCCCACCCCCATTACTCTTCCTGGGAATCCCCTCTGTCACACAGCCGGCTTTCTAGTCAAGCATGCTCATAGCCCTCACACAGCAACAATACCTAGAGCAGTTTAAGTGACACCAGGTTTCAGCCTCCTTGAAAGTTGTCCTTTTAAAGGTGACTTCCCCATATTTTTGGCCCTTTGCTGTATTTATAAGAACAAGCAAGCAGCCATGGAACAAGGGTACACCTCTCAGTTTCTACAGATGATTCCCTATAGAAGGTGGGGGTGGGATGCTTGGAAAGCCCCTTGGGGAGGCCACACCCTGCTAAGTGCCAGGAGGAAACAGGCATCACGACCCTTTATTCGCCATCACTCCCTAGACCTGCTAGCTGTTCCTTGCCCTAGAAGGGGCTAATGCATGCTCTCCCCCCCCCCTTGTGTGTTGCAGGATCAGCTGAAGCAGTGCTTTGGCAGGCCAGCTGCAGAAGCCAAGGACACCGACACGCTTGTGCAAGAGACGGACAGTCAGTATGGCACCTGGAGCGACCAGCGGCACAGTGTGGACAGGTGAGGCTCCTGGGATGGCAACCCTGAGCAGCCAAGGTCCACGGATCCCTTTGTAAGGGAGAAGGGCCTGCTCCCACCTGGAGTCAGGATCCACTTGGGATCTACCTTTCTCATTCCCAGTCTCTTACAATGGATGGGAGCTGGGCAGTGGCTCTTTCTGATCCCTGCACTTTTGCAATAGGCTTGAACCTTGGAAACTGAGCCCTTGATCTGTTTTGTGTCCTTGGGCAGAGGTGCTTCCTCTAAGCTTCAGTTCCCCTTTTGCAAAAGGGACAGAGCGAAGGCTGTATATCACAGGGGGCTTGGTAAGCAAGAGCTGTACAGAATTGCAGAACTGAGAGGCTTTTGAGCTTCTGGACTTGATTTCAGTAAGGCTTTTGACAAAGTCCCCAATGATATTCTTGTGAAAATGCTGGTAAAATGTAACTGTTAGGTGGATTTGTAACTCGTTGGCTGACCAAACCCAAGCAGTATTAGTTAATGGTTCCTTGTCATCCTGGAAAAAAGTGACAAGTGGGGTACCACTGGGTTCTATCTGGGGCCCATTGTTGTTCAATGTCTTTATAAACGACTTGGATGAAAGAATTGAGGGGATGCTCATCAAATTTGCAGATGGCACCAAACTGGGAGGGGGAGCTAATGCCACAGAAGACAGATTCAAAATTCAAAATTACCTCAACAGATTGGAGAACTGGGCACAAGCTAACAAAATGAATTTTAATAGGGACTGTCTATATCTATATATCTATATTCAAGAAGGACACTGACAAACTGGAACGTGTCCAGAGGAGGGCAACCAAAATGGTCAAAGGCCTGGAAACGATGCCTTATGAGGAACGGCTAAGGGAGCTGGGCATGTTTAGCCTGGAGAAGAGGAGGTTAAGGGGTGATATGATAGCCATGTTCAAATATATAAAAGGATGTCACATAGAGGAGGGAGAAAGGTTGTTTTCTGCTGCTCCAGAGAAGCGGACACGGAGCAATGGATCCAAACTACAAGAAAGAAGATTCCACCTAAACATTAGGAAGAACTTCCTGACAGTAAGAGCTGTTCGACAGTGGAATTTGCTGCCAAGGAGTGTGGTGGAGTCTCCTTCTTTGGCGGTCTTTAAGCAGAGGCTTGACAACCATATGTCAGGAGTGCTCTGATGGTGTTTCCTGCTTGGCAGGGGGTTGGGCTCGATGGCCCTTGTGGTCTCTTCCAACTCTATGATTCTATGATTATATCTATAGTCCCTATTAAATATATATAGTCCCTATTAAATATATAAATGAATTTTAATAGGGACTCTCTCTCTCTCTCTCTCTCTATATATATATATATATGAACAAATTTTAACATAATCCCTACTGGTAAGATGGTCACAAAATAGATTTCCAATTACACCCCCACCCCACGATTTCCCCCAACTTCCCTTTCTGGTTTATAACGTATTCACTTCTCCTGCATGTTATCTTATTCCCTAATATAGTAAAGTTAAGATTATACTTCATTATTATGTTCTATTTGTTGATTGTAAGTGTTTACACAAACCCTACAAGTGAGTCCATTTCCTTATGTTGCTTCTGTATGTACATCATAAAAGGTTCTCAGTCTTTTTAAAGTCAATATTGTCCTTATCTTTAGGTCTTTCAGTCAACTTCACCATTTCAGCATATTCCATCAGTTTTTCTTGCCATTGTTATTTCATTGGCATTTCATCACCTTTCCACTTTTGAGCTAGTAAAATTTTAGCCACTGTTGTAGTATACATAAATAAATTTTTCTTGTCTTTTGGCAAATCTTGACCTAAAATGCCTAATAAGAAAGCTTCTGGTCTTTTAACAAAGGTTATCTTAAACATTCTTTTCATTTCATTATAAATCATGTACCAATAGTTTTTAATTATTTTACAATTCCACCACATGTGATAAAACGTTCCTTCTTTTTCTTTACATTTCCAACACTTATTGGAGCTTGTTCTATACATTTTGGCCATTTTCGCTGGTGTAATAAACCATCAGTACATCATTTTCATATAATTCTCTTTTAACAATACACAATCAGTAAATTTTAAAGTTACTTTCCATAACTTTCCACAGTCTTCCATTTGTATATTATGACCTATATTTTGTGCCCATTTAATCATTACCGATTTAACCTCTTCGTCTTTCGTCTCCCATTCTAACAATAAATTATACATTTTCTTTAAAAGTTTATTATTATCCTCTGTAATTTCTCTTTGGAATCTAGATATGGTATAACCAAATCCTTTCTTGTTATCTTCTTTAAAAACCTCATTTAGTTGGCAGTGTTGCAGCCAATCATGAACAAGTCTCTAATCTCCTCATAATCCAGTTTCCATATTTATCCTTTTGATTGATATTCCCTCTGTTGGGGCAACCTACCAGGGCATTTTTTGTTATAATAAATCTTTATATTTCCCCCATACTTTTATTAATGATTTCCTAATTATATGGTTACGGAAGCCTTTATGTACCTTCCCTTTACTGTACCATAAATACACATTGCCAGCCAAATCTATTATCATGTCCTTCCAGGTCTAATAAATCAGTATTTTCTAATTTGACCCAATCCCGGATCCAAGTAACACAGCTCGCTTCATAATACAATTTAAAATCTGGAAGGGAGAATCCGCCTCTATCTTTAATATCTGTTAATATTTTATGTTTTATTTTTGGTTTCTTCCCTTTCCAAATAAATTTAGAAATACCTTTTTGCCATATCTTGAAGCAGGCCGTGTTATTGTCTGGAATAAAAACAACATTTTTGGCAATGCGTTCATTTTAATTGCTGCAATTCTTCCTAATAATGATAGGTTCATTTTGCCCCATATTTCTAGATTCCTTTTTAACTCATTCCAACATTTTTCATAATTGTCTTTATAAATATTGATAATTCTAGTTGAGAGCCAGATCCCTAACTATTTCACTTTTTTATGGGTTTCTAGTTCTATGGTTTGAAATAATTCCTTTTTATCTGCTTCTGTTAAGTTTTTAATTAATAACTTGGTCTTACTTTTATTTAATTTAAATCCTGCTATTTGCCCAAACTCCTGAATTTTTCTATCAGCCTCAAAAGAGAATTTTTGGGATCTTCAACTGTGATTACCAGATCATCTGCATAGGCTTTCAATTTGTATGACTTTTTCCATACTTTAATTCCTTTAATATTTTAATCTGCCCTTATATTTCTCGCCAGGACTTCTAGGACCAAGATAAATAATAAAGGTGATAACGGGAATGTATTTTACATTCATCTGTTACCACCTGATTGACAATTAATTTCGCTTTTAGATTTGAATATATAGCTTGAATTCCTTTTCTGAACTCCCCCCCCCCCCCATAAATTCTCAAGAGACATTGTCAAAGGCTTTTTCAGCATCTATAAACATTAATGCTGCTTGTTTTTCATTTCTCACTTCCAGGTATTCTATAATATCTATAATGTTTCTTATATTGTCTTTCATTTGTCTGCCTGGAAGGAATCCTACCTGGTCATGATGTATATACTCCTTCATTACTATTTTCATTCTATTGGCCATTATATTAGCAAATAATTTATAATCATTATTTAATAATGAAATTGGTCTATAACTTTTTTTTGATGCCACATTGGCATCTTGTTTTGGAATCAAAGTTATATAAGCCTCTTTCCATGTCTCTGGGACTCTAATATTAAGATTTTATTCATTATTTCCTGTAATGGTATTACAGTTGATTATTTAATTTCTTATAATATTTTGCTGATAGTCCATTTGTTCCTGGCGATTTCCCTGTTTTTGCCTGCTTAATTGCATCTAATATTTCTTGCGTTGTTATCTGGGCATTTAGAATTTCTAATTTTTCTTCTTTAATTTTTGGTAAATTACTAGCTTTCAGATATTCATCTATATCCTTCCCCTTTTCACATCCTTTCCTATATACCGTATTTTTCGCTCCATTGGACGCACCGGACCATAGGACGAACCGGACCATAGGAGGGGGAGAACAGGGGAAAAAATTTTTTTCTTGTTCTCCCCCTCTAAAACCAGATGCGTTCAAGGTACATTCACCAGAGCTTGTGGGGCTGGCGGTGGGGGGAAGCGCTGCTTTCCCCCACCGCCAGCCTCAAAGATCCCTGAAGCCTTTGGAGCGCAGCGCCCCCGCTGCCCTGCAGAGGTTTGCGCGCAGCCATCCCCAAGCTAGAGCAGCGAGACGGAGCCCTCCGTCTCGCTGTTCTGGCTTGGGAACAGCCTTGCTAGCTTCTGCAGGACAGCGGGGTGAAGGCACCCCGCTGCCCTGCAGAGGTTTGCGCGCAGCTGTCCCCAAGCTAGAGCAGCGAGACGGAGCGCTCCGCAGTGCTCTGTCTTCCTGTTCTGGCTTTGGGCTTAGCAGCGCAGCCTGCATTCGCTCTATAGGACGCACACACATTTCCCCTTAATTTTTGGTGGGGAAAATGTGCGTCCTATAGAACGGAAAATACGGTAATTCTGTAAAATATTTAACAAAAGGCTTCCTAATTTCTTTGAATTGTCTATATTTTTTCCATTTTATTTTATTTTATTTATGCTATTTTTTTTGCTCGTTTTTCTTCAACTGCCATGCTAATAATTTCCCTGGTTTATTTGCATATTCAAAATACTTTTGTTTCATTCTTTTAATTTTCCACTCTATTTCTTGATTGATGATCATTGAATATTGTGTTTGTAATAATTTTATTACTTGCTTTGTGGATTCTTTGTTTGTTTTGCATATTAGTTCTTTTTCTTTTTTCAATAATGCCTCTAATATTTCTCTCTTCTTTTTCTCTCTATTTCCTCCTATACGTATTTTGTTGGATAAATAAGTCCCTCATAACCGCTTTACTAGCATCCCATACTATCTGTGCTTTCGTACCCTTATTTAGGTTTAGCTCAAAATAGTCTCCAAATACCTTTTGTGCTTTTTTAAAATTTTATTTTTAAATTGAATCTAATAAATCCTCATTTAATCTCCATCTAAAAGTGGATTGTATTTCATTTTGCATTTCTAAAAATAAAGGATTGTAGTCTGAGATTGTTCTTGGCATTATTTATATTTTCCTTACCTTCAGTTCTAATTCTTTAGACAGCTACATCGCATCTATCCTTGCACTGCTTTCATGCACTTTGAATGGAAAGTGAATTCCCTATCTAATAGATGTTTATTTCTCCAAATGTCTATCAAATTTTAATTGCCCACCATCTCACAGAAGGTTTTGGGGAGTCAGTCCTGTTCAGTATCCTTCTTCCTAATTGCTCTATCCATTTACAATGACACGACTCCATTCAGATTAGCCATCAATATCATTTTCTGATCTGCGAAATCCATTAAATCAGTCTCTAATTTCTTATAAAAGTCCGCTTTTTTATCAATAGGGGCATAGATTCCTATTAATAAAAATTGTTCGCCTTGCACCACGATCTGTACCACTATTACTCTTCCTTGGTCATCTTTAAAAATTTGTTTGGGCTCGAATTTTGATTTAATATAAAGGACCACTCCACTTTTTTTTATCTATCTGCTGTTATAAATTCCATTCCTAATTTTTTATTACTTAGGACTCTTTGGTATTTGCTTGCTATATGTGTTTCTTGAAGACAAACTATCTAAATTTTGTTTGAGAATTATATATTTTATTCCTTTTTGTTTTATTATTTAAGCTGTTTACGTTCCAACTTAATACCTTTAAATTTTCCATTTTGTTTTACTGTTTGTTTTTACCTACGACCTTGTCTAATATTCCCCTTTGTCTTGATTATATAAGTTATCTACATCCCCTCCTGTTGCTCCGCTTATTGGATCTCTGCCTGTACCTCCTGCTGGTCCCATTGGATCTTGACCTGTCCCTCCTACCAGGCCGAGAGGGCCTAGTACTGTATATGGGTTATCAAATTCAAAATCTCTGCCATGTTTTTGCCAGAATTCGTGTGCTTGATCTTCATTTGCCAATCTATATTTTTTGCTTTTGTATTTAAAGGAAATTCCTTCTGGGAATTCCCATCTGAATTTTATTTTAGCTTTAATCAAACCATTTGTTATATAATGGATTCTCTGGCGTCTTTGTCATAAAATCGGGGGGATTGCCTTGTAAATGGCCACCTCATTACTGTCAACCTGGAGACTGTTTTCATAATTTTTTGGAGAATAGCTCCCCTGACCCCAAGCAGTCTCCAGGTTGCTTTCTAGCTCTAGAAGTCTTCAAACGAAACCCGGAGCAACTTGATTCTTCCAGATACTCCTGACTTTCCCCCAACCAATCAGCAATTGTCTTGGCTATATATGTCAACAAATCTTGTTTCTCCCTCCTTCTCTGGCAAACCTCTTATTCTGAGAACATTGGATTTTTGCCTCATCTCAAGGAGGGCAAGCTGTAGCTGTAGCTGCCCGACAGACCTCTCAGGTAGCTCTTAATTACCTCTTGTTCTTCCTGCAATTCTTGGGTGACTTTTTCCGTTTTTTGAGTTTTGGTCTCCAAATTTTTAACGGTTATTTCCATGGCATCTGTCACCTTTTTGTATGCTTTTCCATCTCCCCCCTAATATCCTCCTTGACACTATCAAATTGTGTTTGCATTTGTGCCAGCATTTCCTTTTTAAAGTCTCCCAAAATGGAAACCATCTCAGATGCTATACTGCCCTCAGGAACTGAATCTCATCGACCTGAGAGGCCTTTACTTCTTTCTAGTTGGAGATGCCATCCCTTGCTTACTTACAATTTTATGTCTGTTTAAGAACAGACATTAAAAACACTGGCAAAACAATGGCTTCACAGTGTCACTCTTATCCAGGGGTCGGCAAGGTTTATCTCGCTTGGGCTGGTTCACTCCATGGGCCAGATCGTGCGCATGCATAAGCATGCGCAGCCATGATTTCCGGTGTCTGCTGCGCAGGTGAGATTTTCGGCGTCTGAGTATGCGCAGACGCGATTTTCGGCACCACAGAAGCGAGTCCCTGCGTTGCGCTGCACCGGTTTAGCACAGCGCGCGGGGGCTCGCCGAGCAGGCAGCTCAGTTCGGGGGCGGCTCGTGGGCTGGTTAAATGACCCCCATGGGCCGCTTGTGGCCCATGGGCCTTAGCTTGCCTACCCCTGCTCTTATTAGTTGTTCAAGGCCACCTCTCAGATTTTTGTTTCGGTTCTCAACCTAATAACAAGAGCAAACAGGATGGAAATGAAAAAAATCAAACTGTTCGCAGAGACATAGTATGTTCACCAATACAAAGAGTATGCATTTAGGAAATATGGACAATGTAACTTAAGGTTTATAGGAATTTAAAGATTAAACAATTTAAAGATTAAACCGTAGGCACAGTTAATAAAAAAAATTAAAAAAATGTAATGCTGCTCACGGCTGCTCAGTTCTTTTGATTAATTAATTATTATTATTATTATTATTATTATTATTTACTGAATTTATATACCGCCCTATACCCGGGTCTTTCAGTACTTCCAAATAGTTCCTGTCACACGTGGGTAATTGTAAATTGTAAATCCAAAATGTTTATACATCCAAAATAATTGTAAATCCAAATTAATATGATATTTTCCTTACACACTGGTCTTCACCATTCTTCATATTATTTCTCACAACGTATGCCCTCCAGCTAATTCCAGGCACTCTCCCGTCCTGAGGGTCCCTCCCAGAGTTGGGTGAGTGTTCACCTGCTTAGCTTTGGGTCTGATTTGTGGAGATCCAGGTGTTATTAATCCAAAATCCAGAAAGCTGGTGCTCTTTTGTCAAGCTCCAATTTAAAGGATATTATTCCAAATCAGGACTAATAGAGCACCTTCCAAGTTTAGTGTCAAAACCAATCCTGTTAAATTCCAAAAAAGAAAAAGAAAAATAGTTCATTTTTTTAAAAAAATATTTTTTATCAAGTTTTCCATTTTAACAATCCAATCAAATCACATTAAGTATTCCAAATTATACATATACATATCAAATAATCCAAATATTCTGCTGAGTTATTAATTTTTTATTGGGACTTCCCATGCTTCAAGTTCAGGGGGGCGGGGCTCTGATCATCTCATATCTCTACTGCTTTTGATAGTCATTTCTAATAGTTCCTTTAAATCTTCCTGTTGTTTTCCTTCTTTCATGGCCTCTGAGTTGTTTCCACAAGCGAGTTGAAGTAAAATGGTGTGTTTCTGTGTGAATTTTATGTGTATGATACCCCTCTGTCCTTTGCAGTATCTCCTCACATGGTGGTATTTCTGCCGAATCAATCCAAAAGTCTTTTCGCTGCTGGCAGCCGCCATCTTCTCTCAGTTCCGATGTAATCAGTTATAAGCCTCTGCTCATTAATTTTCCCAGACCGGTTGCATCAAACATTAGCCTTTCTAGGGGAGATTTACCAAATCGGACTTGAAGTACAAATACAGTAGCATATTAAAGGCTCACCTTCCCCTATGACTATTTATAATTTTGCAGCTCGGTCTTATTCCATCATGGTGGATTTCCAAATTAAAAATGTGTCATGAATCCTCCAACACAATCTAGGAAACCATCCAAAAAATTTTAACATCCTCCAGCGGCTAATGAGATCCTGCTTCTGTCTAATATCAACAGTTGGAGAATATTTTATCTTCTCCCAAGCAATTCAAAGATCAAAAGCTTTAATTATATAATATTGTTATTTCCACACAGTTTATAGTTTTAGAACCATATTTATATCAACAAATAGAAAACTTTTCAGTCTCGCTTGCTATAAATGATGTAAAGGGTTCTTCTGCGTTGTTGTTTTTTGCCAAGTATCATAATAAATCAGAATCAGAATACAATAGTAAAAAAGGCTTTCCCCCCTCTTTCCGTTCCGTTCAATGTACCATCTTATATGTTATCCTTTTTCCGTATCTCAGTGGCTGGCTTAATTGGCAGAATAATTTCCCCCTCCTCACTCGAAGCATGTCCAAAACTTAAATCCAGTTTTTCATCTTAAGAAATGGAACTTGGTGCGCTTGCAGAGACAGCGTCTGGGAGATCCAGACTCCCTCGGGGGCTTTCCATCCAGTGCCCTCACCCCCTCCTTCTTTATGGGCTGGTTTGTTGGGCATCCGCGGATGACACTGCATCTTCCCATACCCCAGGAAGATTTTGGGAGGCTGATTACTCCCATCTCAGCCTCTAATTACCCCGTGGGAGCCGGAGTGATGGTATTTTCAGCCATCTTCCGTGGCGCCTCAAGCGGAAGTCCAGAAAATATAGTTCTCACCATAGAAGCGTCCAATATTGTCCTTTAAGCACTTACAGATCCTTCCCTTGCAGTTGGCAGATTGCCAGAAAACGGAAGTTGACTTCCTCTTTAGTTTCTGTTTTGCCAAATTTTATTTTATTTGGATAAAATAACTTTTAAACTGCTTATTGTTCTTCAGCTTCAATTGTTGTTATGCAAATTTCCTGCTTGCTGCGGCAGCCTGTGACTTCAGCAGGCAGAGCTGCGATGAAGCCTGGAGTGCGCTCCACTGCACTCCCGCCCCCCCGCAAGGTTCTTGGGTGGGCGGTGGGAGCTTGGTGCTTCTGACGGACCACTCAACACTTCACTAACCTCAGTGAACCTTTGTGTGTGGGGGGGGTGCCTAGCCCTGGCACGCTCCACTCTTGTCTCTGCAAGCCTCAGAATGATCACTATTTACAGAGCGATCAGTTCCACGCTGCCATTCCGCTCGGCAGGAAACTGGAAGTGAGATGCGCAAATAAAAGATGGAAGGCACCTGGCTTACTAGCAGTACATATGAAAAGGATCTCGGGGTCTTGGTGGACCACAAGCTTAACATGAGTCAACAGGGTGGTGCAGCTGCAAAAAAAGCTAATGCTATTCTAGCCTGCATCAACAGAAATGTAGTGTCCTGATCAAGGGAAGTAATAGTACCACTCTATTCTGCTCTGGTCAGACCACCCCTGGAATACTGTATCCAGTTCTGGGTGCCACAATTTAATAAAAATGTTGAAAAGCTGGAACGTATGCAGAGGAGGGCAACCAAGATGATCAAGGGTCTGGAAATTAAGCCAAATGAGGAGCGCTTGAAGGAGTTGGGTATGTTTAGCCTGGAAAAGAGGGAACTGAGATATGATAGTCCTCTTCAAATATATGAAGGGCTGTCCGATGGAAGATGCAGCAAGCTTGTATTCTCCTACTCTGGAGGGTAAGACTTGAACCAATGGCTTCAAGTTACAAGAAAGGAATTCCGACTAAACATCCGGACGAACTTCTTACAGTAAGAGCTGTTCGATGGTGGAACAATCTCCCTCAGGAAGTGGTAGACTCTCCTTCCTTGGAGGTTTTTAAGCAGAGGTTGGATGGCCATCTGTCATGGATGCTTTAGCTGAGATTCCTGCATTGCAGGGGGTTAGACTAGATGACCCTGGGGTCCCTTTTAACTCCAGTTCTATTATTCTATACTCTGCACCTCCCATAGCACCATGGGTGTTTCTTCCCACTGCTATGAAGGGCCTTAAGCCCTTATCCTGTCATGCTCAACACTTTTAAAGTGTACTGTTTTTGTCCTTGAGCTCCCCTGACGTTCAGCTTTCCACTTTTTTCATCTTTTATGAAATTAATCTCTTGTATCACTCGGATGGTCAAGTGACTCCCTCCCCTTCTCCTCTTATTCATACCAAGGCTTTCTAGATCCACCCCAGGGCTAACTTTCCCCTTTGCCCCATCTGAGGGCTAATAATAATAATAATAATAATAATTTAGTTTCCCCAGCCACTCTGGGTAGCTTCCAACAAAGATTAAAAATACATTAAATGTCACACAGTAAAAACTTCCCTGAACAGGGCTGCCTTCAGATGTCTTCTAAATGTCAGGCAGTTGTTTTTCTCTTTGACATCTGGTGGGAGGGCATCCCACAGGGCGGGTGCCACTACCGAGAAGGCCTGGTTCCCTGTAACTTGGCTTCTCACAGCGAGGGAACCGGATCTGGTGCTGGATCTCAGTGTCCAGCCAGAACGATGGGGGTATACTGGACCGAGGCCGTTTAGGGCTTTAAAGGTCAGCACCAACACTTTGAATTGTGCTCGGAAACATACTGGGAGCCAGTGTAGGTCTTTCAAGACCGGTGTTATGTGGTCTCAGTGGCCGCTCCCAGTCACCAGTCTAGCTGCCGCATTCTGGATTAGTTGTAGTTTCTGGGTCACCTTCAAAAGTAGCCCCACATAGAGCACATTGCAGTAGTCCAAGCGGGAGATAACTAGAGCATGCACCACTCTGGCGAGACAGTCTGCGGGCAGGTAGGGACTCAGCCTGTGTACCAGATGGAGCTGGTAGACAGCTGCCCTGGACACAGAATTGACCTGTGCCTCCATGGACAGCTGTGAGTCCAAAATGACTCCCAGGCTGTGCAACTGTTTCTTCAGGGGTACAGCTACCTCTTTCAGGACCAGCGAGTCCTCCACACCTGCCCACCTCCTGTTCCCCCCAAAACAGTACTTCTGTCTTGTCAGGATTCACCCTCAATCTGTTAGCCACCATCCATCCTCCAACCGCCTCCAGGCACTCACACAGGACCTTCACCGCCTTCACTGGTTCTGATTTGAAAGAGAGGTAGAGCTGGGTATCATCTGCATATTGATGGACACCCAGCCCAACCCCCCTGATGATCTCCCAGCAGCTGCATATAGATGTTGAAAAGCGTGGGGGAGAGGATGGAACCCTGAGGCAGCCCACAAGTGAGAGCCCAGGGGTCTGAACACTCATCCCCCACCACCACTTTCTGGACACGACCCAGGAGGAAGGAGCAGAACCACTGTATAACATCAGTTATCCATCTTTCCAGGCAGAGGTCCATCCTTTAATGCAGGGGTCAGCAAACCTTTCCAGCAGCAAACCATTTTAAATAAAAGGACACATTCTACTCATGTAAAAACATGCTGATTCCCGGACTCCCGGACCATCCGCGGGCCAGATTTAGAAGGCAATTGGGCCGTATCTGGTCCCCGGGCCTTAGTTTGCTTACCCATGCTTTAATGCTCTGAGTCTTAGTGGTGTTGGGGGATTTTGTCCTGAGCTTTCCTTGTGAAAATCATCTCTTTAAAGCTGAATCAGTGAAAACCTTATTTCAGGTATTCTGTGGATTGAGGTTTGCTCTGATTGAGCTTTAAAGAGATGGTTTTCACAAGGAAAGCTCAGGACAGCTTTAAATAGCAAGTTTTCATGGGGAAAACTGTGGAGCAAAAAGGGGGGTGCTCAGACTTGGAGCCTAAAACCCTGTAAAGACTGAAAGAAAGGCAAGTGTGGCCAACGGTCTCCATTCTTCCACATCAGGGCATATTTGGTTAAAGCAAACTAAGCAAATTCAGTTAAGGCAAACTAAGGCCCAGGGGACGGATCGAGCCGAATTGCCTTCTAAATCCAGCCCACAGATGGTCCAGAAATCAGCATGTTTTTACATGAGGAGAATGTGAGCTTTTATGTAAAATGCACCTCTGGATTATTTGTGGGGCATAGGAATTCTTTCATCCCCCCCCCAAATATAGTCCTTGCCCCCCTCAAAGATCTGAGGGACAGTGGACCAGCCCCCTGCTGAAAAAGTTTGCTGATCCCTGAGTTAAAGATATCCTTCATTGCAAATGGTGAGGTCATTAAGAGCTCATTAGGAGGTGGTCTTAATTGACCTGGAGAGCTGATGAGAAGAGGCTGCTTTTGGCTGCCTGGTGCTGCCATTTCTGGGCAGAAGAAGCTGCCTAAGGATTCTGTTCTTGAGTGTTCTCTTTTCAAGGCCTGTCTGCCTCTCAATCAGTCGGCACCAGATCTTGAGAAATATGCCTGTTCAGTGTCTTTTTAAGGCAGCAGCCTCTTAAAATGGTGCTGTGAGATGATGCTTAGTTGTTTCAGGCTTCTGTTCACTGTTGGTGAGTTCAGACGTGAGCAGCCTTCCCTGGGGTGGGAGGGTGGAGTTTGTGTCTCAGCCAGGTGGCCACCTGCTAAGAACAGCCAGGCCCCAGGAGGTTGTCAAACTATTCCACGCTTCTGCTGCTATCGTTAGAAACCATTTGGGAATGCTGATTTTGCCAGGAAGGGTCCCTTTAGGGGATGTCACTGAGTTACCATCCAGAACAATTGCTGAACTGGGACTGGGGAGCCTGCCTAACTCCACGTGGTCCTCTGCAAGTGACCAGTTCAGATCTGTCTTAACAGAGGGTGAATAATTGTGGGGAGGGGGGTGCTGAAGCAAAGGAGGAGTTGAGGGAAGGAAGCAGACAGGTTGCACAGAGAAAGAGTGCTCAGTAATGCTGCTGGCCCTGTGCACCCCCCCTTTGTCTTTTGCCGTGGACAACAGCCCTTCACAGGAGAGGAGACCCCCCCCCCCCAGGGTTTCAAAAGCCAGCCTAGGTCCCATAGGGGTCCATGGAGGGAGCTGTCAGTCTTTAGCCATCTGGGACCAGGCTGAAATGGGCTTTGCTTTTCCATTCTTCTCAAACGCCTCCTGCATGTGACAACCAGGCTTTCCAAAGCCTGATACTCCTTTATATCTCCAGCCCCCTCTGCTGCCTCTTAGCAGCCCCAGGTAATCCCTTCAACCTGAACCATTGGTTTGATGTTGGTGTATAGAAGCCTGTGGGCATGCAGTGTGTGGGTTCCCAATCTGGCTATCCACTGTGGGGAAAGAGTAAGGGACAAGATGGTTCTTTGGGTATGATCACTGGGGCTTTTCTCTTAAAATGTTCATCATTCTCTTCATGGAAACTCCGGAACGGCAGTTCTGCACTTCCTTCCAAGATGCAGTCAGTGTGCACACTGTGGCTTCCTTGCTCTTGATTCATTTGGTGTGCTTTTTCTTCAGGGTGTTTTCTTCCTTGGTACCTGGACTCTTCAGTGTTGCAGGGCATCCTGGGACCCCCTGCCTCTCCTTGGCTTTGTAAACATACCACTTCCTGTGCTCTGTGGCAAGAAAGGGGCAAGAAAGGAAGAATGCCAAGTGAGATAATAGGTTATTGTCAGTATTACTACTGTTATTCATTAACTGTCCTCCTCCCTAAGGTCCCAGGGCAGGTTACAACATTCAAAAACAGCATCGAAAACAGTTTAAAACAATTTAGAATCACAGAACTAAGAGGGATCCTAAAGATACACATCTCAGGTGCCAAAGGCCAGGGTTTCAGCATTTCCCCAAGGCTGTATAGTGCAGGTCCCACAACTCAGGGGTTGCAACAGAGACGGCCCTCTCCAGCCCCCCACCCCCACCCTGCAATCCTGAGGGAGCTACCAAAAGGCCCCCCTCTGCTGATCTTAACATCTGGGTGGGCCTCTAGGGAAAATAGCACTCCACATGTTGTTTGTGCCATTGAGTCAGTTCTGGGGACAAGAAAGGTGGGCCTCCAAACACAGGAGGTGAGGTTGAGCTTTAAGCAGCCTGCTTCAAGAGGCAGCTGTCTCCTGGGTTGGGGGGTGATTCAGTCACCACCCAGCCTTCCCTGCTTTGTATTCCTCTGGCTAACCACTGCTCTGTTCCCCTTGGTTGTCGTAGCTTTGTGCCAGAGTCCTCTTCCTCAGAAAGCAACATGGCTTCAGCCCGAAAACAGCCCCCCAGCAGCCGGTTCTCGTCCTTCTCCTCTCAAACAGATCCTGCCTCTGCAACCGACCAGCATGATTCCTCCAGGGACCACAGGAGCACCAGTCTGGACCGCTTCAGCACAGATGTAGAATCTGCAGAGGGGGCTAAGGCCCCTGCGTTAGCAGGGGACGGCCCAGACTTCTCCTTCCTGGAGGTAAGTTCTTGAGGCATGTCCCTGAGGGACACATTGCAGGCAGTGTTGCAGGTCTGTGTTTGACAGCATGTGTGTTTGTTCTTCTCAAAGCAAACTCCTGTGCTGGACTCGAGTGTCTTGAAAACCCGCGTGCAGCTCAGCAAAAGGAGGCGCCAGCACCGAGCCCCAATTTCCCACTCGCTCAGAAGAAGCACCGGGGGAGACACTGAGCAGCGGCTCTCTGTGACAGAAGAGGCAGACAGCACGTGGTTGTTCAAGGGCTCCACAGGTAGCAGAGGGAAGGTGTCCTGTGCTATATAACCTGTCCCAAATCCCCAGAATCTGCCAAATAGTTCCATGAGTGATACAAGTAAGCAAGCCAAGCTGCAGGATCCCAGCCAATTTGAACCTGGATTACTTGCCATCCTTGAGCACGTTGAAAGGGTGTTGGATAGCACAGAGCTGTGTGCCTGGTCGTTGTGCCCTTAGAATAGTGTCCAACAGATACATTGTCAGGTGCAGCTACATTCTCTCTAGCTTCCTATCTGGATGGTTCACTGTGAGGGAGAGGTGAGGTGGGAGACCTTAGCCAAAAGCACATGGAACTGGGCACTTCCCGCCTTTGTAGGTTAGAAGTACCCATGAGTGCGGGCTCCGAGACTTTCATCATCATCTTCGTCCACTTGTTTCTATACTGTTTTCTGGCCAAGACCCACAAAACGGTGAACAAATTAATATGAGAGACAATAAAGCTATAGTATACAAATAGTATACAATAAAGCTATAGTAAATACAAATGTGGACGTAAATCCATTTAGCAGCACACGGTGATTCAAACTTCATACTTTCCCAAGCTGCATTTGTGCTCGGACCAAAACACAGCTGCCACCCACAACACAATGGCCCATGCGACGGGCTTCTCTCCGGAAGCAGCTGTAGCTGTGGGACTCACTGGCTCAGCCTTCTGGCTCTTCAACAGGCTGCAGTTCTCCAGGTGCAAATGCAGGAAAGAAGGGAGGGGGAGGCTAAACTTGATTTTCACCTCCCAGCCAGCAAGGATCTTATTACTGCTGCCCTGCTACCTCTCCAGTCACCTCTGTACCTGGAAGGGTCAGGAAAGGTTGTGTAGACCCATAATTCCCCCATGGTGCCTCTGATTGCAAAGCGGGTGGTTGTTGGAGCAGCAGTGGGCCCTTGGCTAGTCTTGGGGCCACAGTGCCTGACCTTTCCACCACAGGGAGATTGGAGACAGAGGGACCTGGTCAGCAAAGTCACAGAGGCCTGGGCAGGAGCAAAGATGGCAGAGGGTGAAGTCGCATCCCCCGGCTGACCAAGCTGCTTTCTGGTCCTTCTGGCTTGGGAGAATTGATTGGAAAGTCATCCCAAGGACTGCTTTGAAATATATAAAAGGATGTCACATAGAGGAGGGAGAAAGGTTGTTTTCTGCTGCTCCAGAGAAGCGGACACGGAGCAATGGATCCAAACTACAAGAAAGAAGATTCCACCTAAACATTAGGAAGAACTTCCTGACAGTAAGAGCTGTTCGACAGTGGAATTTGCTGCCAAGGAGTGTGGTGGAGTCTCCTTCTTTGGAGGTCTTTAAGCAGAGGCTTGACAACCATATGTCAGGAGTGCTCTGATGGTGTTTCCTGCTTGGCAGGGGGTTGGACTCAGTGGCCCTTGTGGTCTCTTCCAACTCTATGATTCTATGATTCTAGGAGACAGAAGCTGCTGGTGGGAGGGGTCCAAGCAGTGGGTTTCTAGCCCTGTGTTTTGTGCCTTCCCTCCCTCCCTCCCAAAGTGTCTGAAGCCTCATGAGTAATCCTCATTCTTAAGCAGAAAACTCAGCCAAGAAAGAAGACTCTGGTGAGGACGGAAACCCACAGCCAACAGAGAGGTCGCCCATCTCTCAGCTGCAAAGGCTCCCTGTCTTTCCAGGGATGGACCACTCAGCCCTCAAGGTGAATGTTGGTGCACCCCCCCCCCCCATACACACTTGTCCTTAGCATTGGGAACCTGTCGTGGAGTATATTTCAGAGACACTGTGGAGAGGTTGATTCTGCCTCAACCTGCGCTGAGAAACACGTGGTTCTAGTTCGTGTAATTTGGTAGCACAAGAAGAGAAATGTCATGGGGGCACTTTGGGTACCAATGGGAATACCTGGAGCCCATTCTGAGCCCCAAAGGCACCTGAGGGTGGGCTATGGAAATGGTGTACCTCACATGTTGCATGCAAGGAAGCAGTGGAACGGTGTGGGAGGAAGGGGCCAGTGACTGGAGACTGGGAACAGGATGCCCAGTAAACAGCTGGGAGGCCCATGCCCTGTGCTGTGAGCCTCCATTCAACGCTGCCTGAAGATTTAGGAAGCTGCCCCTTACCATGTCAAAATGTTTGTATTATTGTATTATTGCTACAATTTATTTATTTATTGCCTTCCAAACCACCATCTCAAGGTGATTTACACGTCAGATAATTAAAAGCAGTTAGAAACACTAAAGTAACAAATACATTTGAAACAAGATTAAAACCATACAAAATAGGCATTCATTGCAAAGTCCATGGTTTATCTGGTTGGGAAAGCCTGTTGGAACAAAAATGTCTTCAGCTGTTTCCAGAAAGTGGACTCCTTCCGTCTCTCATCCGAGATGCTGTTCCACAGAACAGTTGCAGCTGCACTAAAAGCCCTGTCCTGAGTTCCTGTGGAGTAGGGTTTTGGGAACTTGCAGGAGAGACTGTCCTTCAAACTGCAGAGATCTGCTGGGTGTCTAAGTGTTAGGGCAGTCTGGTCTCAGCCTGGTCTCCCCTCAAAGGCCTCCTCAGGTCTTTTCCACGAGCTGCTCCTTGATTACTTGGTGACTGGATGCACTAGCCGGGTGCTCCATCCCTGAAATCATGCCCCTCCACATAATGCATAACCACCCTTGCCTGGTGATGGCCAGATGGCACCAGGCCCTTGGCTAGACATTCCTTGGAGTGAGCTCATTGCTGATGGGTCCCTTTCTTACGCTACCTTTTGTGAAACTTGTGATCCAACCGTGACATTTACCAGAGGGTTCCCCTCTCGCCACCCTCCAGGCTCAACTCAGGAAAAGACATGAACCAGATGGAACAGGAGAAGTGCAGTTGTCCAAGTCACCAAAATTCCCATTTCAGGCTGGAGTTCCTGCTGGCAGAGTTCTGCCTGTTGGCACGGAGAAAGAAGAGAGGTGAGGAGGCTTGTTGTCAGGGTGACATTCTGATAAATTCACCTTTAAGTTTTTCTGCAGATTTTACTGCTTTGCTACTTGTGAAAGCCCCACCTTCTAGCTTCCCAAAAGTCTTTTGGTTTCTGAGATTCCAGCAGGGGTTGCCCAAATACTTTAAATCCTGCCTTTATAGTCATAAGGGCTGGTGACTTTAAAATTATAAATCTTGAAGTGGAATTCTACAGCTTATACAGTGGCACCTCAGTTTACGAACTTAATCCATTCTGGAAGTGCGTTCTTAAACCAAAGCCGTTCTTAGACTGCGGTGTGCTTTCCCTAATGAGACCTCCCGCCGCCGGTGCCCTCCCACCATTTGGCTTCCGTTCATAGACCAAGGTAAAGTTTGCTAACCGGAACACTACTTTCAGTTTTGCGGAGTTCGTATTCCAAATAGTTCATAAACAGGGCTGTTCTTGAACCAAGGTACCACTGTACTACATTCAAGACTACATACAGACCCTATTCTCGTCCCCAGTTTTGAGACTGTATTTACATAAATACCAGCACTTTGCTGAGTTTTTGCACTTTAAACATTTTTTAAATGAGAAGTGTGCTTTCAAAAGGCATGAAAAGCCTCTTGGGGAAACTTGGGGAACTCATGCAGTTTCTTTGTTTTTGGATTGCCCTGTTTCCAGCCCCAGATAAGCTACTATTTTCAATGTCTGTATTTTAATTTTTTTCTTCTTGTTCTGTGAGTGAAGCCAATAAGGAATCACCCAGCAGAACTGTGTCATCCTGTTCGCTGCACCTTCTATCAGATTTGGTCATCTGGCAGCATCTCAAAAGGCAAACAAAGGCTTCACTCATGGTGTCAGTGGGAGGAAGCGCAAAGCAGTTGCTGAGGAAAGTGGGCCGACACCACCTTGTCTTTCTGGGTTCAGGCGACCATAATCACGAGCCAGGGCTGCATTGGCAAGACTTCCAAACTTCTGCCCCAGCATGATCAGCTGTGAGGGAGCAATGGCTGCACATCCTGCCATGCAGTGCAGAGGGAAAAGATCCTCCTTTAGATGCATTAGTAGGATTGAATCCGAAGGTTTTGCTGAAACTTTGGGCAACCAGGATGTGTTCCCCGCCTTCTCACCTGTGCGCAAAGAGGACCAAACAAGGGCTAAGGGCAGAGGGAAGATGGGCTTGCGAGAAGCAGGCACCCTCCTTATTTCAGCTCCCCAGTAATGAATTTCTCATGGAAGGACCTCGAATGGGATGTTTGTAAAGGGAGTGACCCAGGCCTGTTTCCTGCATTCCAGGTCGGAGGAGCTGTCTCCACATTGGCTGAAGGAGCTGAAGTCCAAGAAGAGGCAGAGCCAATACGAGAACCAAGTGTGACGACCGAGGTCTGGAGGTGGCAGCAGTGGCGGTGATGGGGTTAGCTGCCTGTTGAGTGGAAGAGGGTCTGCAGAGCAAATGAGCCTGGCCCAATGCAGGGGGGAAAGGGCGGGGTGACCAGGGGCCATCAGCCATAATGTCTCATTGAGGAGCTCTGGATTCCAGATGCTGGGGTGGCGAGCATTTTTTAGAAACTTTTTGTTTTTTTGAAATCATTTTTAGTTGGTTTTACAAATACAGTGGTACCTCGGGATGCGAACAGGATCCGTTCCGGAGCCACATTCGCATCCTGAAGCGAATGTAACAAGCGACAGCGCGTGGGCGGGTTGCGGTTTGCTGCTTCCGTGCATGAGCATGACGTCATTTTGAGCATCTGCGCATGCACGAGCGGCAAAACCTGGAAGTAACGCGCTCTGTTACTTCCAGGTTGCCGCGGAGCGCAACCCGAACATGCTCAATGCGAAGCACATTCAACCCGAGGTATGACTGTATAAAGTTATAAAAAGTATCCAAATATATATCCATATATAGAGATTTCTCCAAATCTTGGGACTTCCCCCGATCCACTCCATGGGGTCCCATTTTAAACATTTAATCAGTGATGGCCAAACTTGGCCCTCCATCTGTTTTGGGACTACCAATTCCCAACATCCCTGACTACTGGTCCTGTTAGCTAGGGATGATGGGAGTTGTCGTCCCAAAACAGATGGAAGGCCAATTTTGGCCATCACTGCATTTATTCTTTGCTACTGCAACTTTTATATCAATCCATATTATACATGGTAATTGTTACACTACAAATGAAATCAAAGTCCTGCTAATGTTTCCATCTGCTTACAGTGGTTTCCTAAATAACTTATAAATTTTTCCCATTCTTTTATAAAGTTTTTGTCCTCTTGGTTTCTGAGTTTTCCAGTCAGTTTTGCCATCTCGGCATGGTCCATCAGTTTGGTTTGCCACTCCTCTCTAGTAGGGACTTTGTGTTCTTTCCATTTCTGGGCTAGTAACATCTGGGCAGCTGTTGTTCCATACATGAAAAGTCTTTTCTGTTCCTTTGGAATGTTGGTACCTGTAATTCCTAATAGAAAAGCTTCTGGTTTCTTAAGAAAGGTTATTTTAAGCATTTTTTTCATTTCATTATATATCATCTCCCAGAAGGCTTTTATTACCTTACAGTTCCACCACATATGGTAAAAAGGTACCTTCTTTTTCTTTACATGTCCAGCAGGTATTTGTACTTGTCCTGTACATTTTTGTCAGCTTAGTAGGTGTTAAATATCACTGGTACATCATTTTCATATAGTTTTGTTTCAGTGCACTGTAAATTTCAAGTCTGTTTTCCATAACCTTTCCCAATCTGCCATTTGGATATTATGTCCCAAATCCTTTGCCCAGTGTATCATTACTGACTTGTTCATGTTTGTATGCCACTCTAAAAGCAAACTAGACATTTTGGACAATAATTTAACATTATTTTCTAACAACTCTTTTTGAAATCTTGATATTTCACAACTAAAACTTTTCTTTTTATCTGTCTTAGAGATAGAATCTAATTGGTGATACTGTAACCAATCCGTTAATAAATCTCTTATCGCCTCCTAGTCGGCCAATTTTTTCAGAGATATTGTTTCTAAAGCCACCAAGATGTTTTTTGTTCTATTAAGTTTTTATATTTTCCCCTTATCATAAAAATTTATTTTCTTATTAAGTGGTTCTGAAAACCTTTATGCACCTTTGCCTTTTCATAACATAAGTATTTGTGCCATCCAAATCTATTATCGTGTCCTTCTAGATTTAAAATATCTGCAATTTGTTTCATGGAACGCTGGGGACAGTGGATTGGGTATTTCCTCTCGCATGACCTCAGGCAGGAGCAAAGACTTGTGGGAGGCAGGCACTTCCTCCTCAGTTTTTTTTCTCCTGCCTGACTCAGCAGTCTGTTTTACCTGGCTTTCCTTCTTCGGATAAGTTTTTCAATTTTGATCTCATTTTATTATTGCTTTATTTTATCTAGTCTTGCTTAGTTTTAGCAACTTACCCCGTCTTTGAGTCTTGCATACACACACACACTCTCCAAAAAATATTTCATCCCTCCCCACCCTGGTTGTTTCCCTTAGCAACCTTAGTTCTTCTTGTTTTTAGTTTATTTCGTATACTTTCTTGCAGAGCATCCTTGTATAATGTTCTCCTTCACGGTCACTGAATATGCTCGTTTTTTGCATGCTGTGGCTCCGTTTTGCCACATTTATCAGATTTAAAGATGGGGGGGTGGGATCCTACCCAAGTCTTTTTGCAATTGCAGCTCAATTTTAGTGGCTGCTGGCTCCAAATCACCACCTCATTTCTTTGGTGATTTCTACAGCCTTTAGCCATTATTTTCTGTATCATTTCAGGCTTCATTAAGGCTTCATATTGACTACTCTCCTAGTTCGTGGTACGGCAGAAGGAGTTGGGGTTATTATTCCTCAGCAACATATTCTCCTCCCAGTTCGCAGTCATGGCAACGGAGTGAGCAGGCACTGATAGACTGCTTCTGAACCTCCTAGTTAAGGAATGATTCAATTGTTTATTATTATTTTCACTTATTATTCTGCGTCTTGCAGACCCAATCCACTTGTGACTGCATTGGAGAGATGTATGTTTGTGCCATTTCCCATAGTCCATGATTGTGGCATTGGAAGTGAACGCATTCATATTTATCTGTTCCTAGACGACCTGCTCCTCCAGGCAACATCCCTTCAACAGGCTCATCTCCATTTGCAGATCACCCTCAATCTTACAGCTTCTTGATCAACTACAAAAAAAGTTGCTTGGCTCCATCACAAAGGATCATTCCCTTAGGCACCCGGCTAGATACAGTTCAAATCTCGTGACTCTTCACCAGAGCAGATCAGCAAAATCTCCACAGCGGCAGCTTCAATCTTAAAGACAAAAAAGATGGCAGCAAAACAACTGTCAACAATTCTAGGTCTCTGCATGTGAGCCTCTCAGATTACACCTTGAGCGAAACACCACACAAGAACCCTGCAGTGGTTTTTACTTCTGCATCAATGAGAGATCATTCAAAATTGGCCCAGGTCTTTGCTCTTATCTCCTCAACTCAAACTGTCCATGCTGCGCAAACCTCCAGTATTTGGAAAAGTACATTCAGAAATTCCTGCAGCACTCAGGTAACCATGTTTACAAGGTTTAATCTCTCTACACTCAATTCCTCCGAAGGCCACTTACTCCATCAATTGGCTAGAGTTGAGAGCAGCCAAACTGGCAATTGTTTGCTTCTCTCGTCTTCAACTCCATCACGTCCTTCTTTGAACAGACAACTCAACAACAAAAGCCCACATATCTCGTTAAGGAGAGACCCATTTGGAATCTCTCCAGAAAGAGATGGCTCTTCTCTTCAGTTGGGCTGAGAGTCAACTCCTCAGCCTCACGGCAGATCTTACCACCGGTGACGGCAAACAGTTTGATTGAGCAGATCCCAGGTAAATCACTGAATGAACAGGAGTTTCTTCAGATTCAACAATGCTGGGGTCCTCCACAAGTCGATCTCTTTGCTCACAAGCTAAACTGTCAGCTACCCCATTACTTTGGCAGGTTCAAAGACAACCAAGCAGACACCTGGGATGTCCTAATGACGCCATGGCCAAAGCAATTATTGTATGCCTTCCCTCCTCAAGCTATCATTCAGAGAGTCCTCTGAAAGATCAGGTTGGAAACAGCTCAGGTGGGTCTTGTTGCACCATTCTGGCCCTGCAGACCTTGGCTCTCAGAGATTCAGGCTTTCAGTGGCACCACCATTTCATCTTCCTGTATTTACTTCCAATTTACTTCGCCAGGAACCATTGACTCATCCAATCCTACAATGGTTGAACCTGACTGCATGGCGTTTGAGCACCATAGACTGAAATATCATGGTCTGGATGAGATTGTTATCTCCACCATTCTAGCTTCCAGATGTCCATCCGCAAGATGTATTTATCAATCAACATGGTCAGCCTTTACCTCCTAGTGTAAAGCTGTGGCTACAAAGAATTCTCCACTATCTCCAACATGGTCTGCAAAATGGTCTATGGCCTAATACTTTAAAATGTCACCTTTCCACCATTTCTTCGACTTTAAGTTCTGCTGGCTGTTCTTTGCTGTCACAGAACGTTGCTAATCAAACGTTTCCTCAAAGGAACTATGTTACAGCATCCTCCAGTGAGTACCGTTTTCCATCATGGAACTTGCATTCTGTTCTGTCAGCACTGCAACGGCCTCCATTTGAACCACTATGCCAAATTTCCTTAAAGAACCTTTCTTTTGAAATCCTATTTTTGGTTACGATACCTCAGGTGAGATGAGTTTCAGAACTGTCAGCCTTGTCGGTAGCAAAGCATTTATGCATCTTCCATTAGGAGAAGGTGGAAGATCCCTCCTTTCTACCAAAAGATCTTACAAAATTCCACATTCGACAGGAACTCATTCTCCTGACTTTTTGTGCTGATCCAAAACATCCGTTGGAAAAGGCTTGGCACTCTTTGGATGTTTGCAGAGCCTTAAAAGTGTATATACACTAATTCTTTGTTTGTGTCTTTTCATCCTTCCACCTTAGGAGCAAAGGGCACTTCAGTTTCCTTAGCTAGAGGGATTAGGGCGTGCATTTCCTTAGCTTATGATACTATGAAATTGCCCCACCCATCTCATATTTTGCTCAGTCCTCTGGTTCAGCCTCGACTTCTGCTGCCTTTATGGCTGATGCCACTTTAATAGAGATTTGTAGGGCAGCCACTTGGTCGCCTCCTTCCACTTTCACTAGGCATCGTCTTTAGCTGAGGCGGCTTTTGGCCATACAGTGTATACCAAGTTTTGTAGTCAGTGCGTAAGCCGGATTGGGAAGTGCTGTGGTATGTCCCAATCCACTGTTCCCAGTGTCCCATGAAATAAATAGAATGATTGGCTTACCTGAAGTGTAGATTTATGAATTGCGGATGCTGGGGACAGTGGAACCCTCCCTATGATGGTCTGCAGTCGCACTGATTTTTTTCTTTTAGGAGGGGTACTATTGACTCTGTTGCTTCTATTTTTATTGATTTATGAGCCAGGAAGGGAGGCAGGCTGCTATTATTGTTTCTGGTGCATTGGTGAATGTTACTGCTTGGCAAATCCGAAAAACTGAGGAAATGCCTGCCTCCCACAAGTCTTTGCTCTTGCCTGAGGTCATGTGAGAGGAAATACCCAATCCACTCTCCCCAGTGTCCCCATTTCATAAATCTACACCTCAGGTAAGCCAGTCATTCTTTTTCCAATGTTATCCATTCCCAGATCCAGCAACTGCAGGACGCTTCATAATATAATTTAAAATCTGGCAGGGCGAAGCCTCCTCTCTCTTTAGCATCTGTTAACAATTTATATTTTATCCTTGGTTTCGTTCCCTGCCAGATAAATCTAGAAAAAACTTTTTGCCATTCCTTGAAGTGTCCTCTACTTCCAATCACCGGTATCACTCATATTCTTCCCCAAAAAGATAAATTCATCCTACCCGAAATCTCTAAATTTCTTTTTATAGTGGTACCTTGGTTCTCAAACTTAATCTGTTCCAGAAGTCTGTTCCAAAATCAAAGCATTCCAAAACCAAGACTCGCTTTCCCATAGAAAGTAATGCAAAATGGATTAATCCGTTCCAGACTTGTAAAAACAACCCCTAAAACAGCAATTTAACATGAATTTTACTATCTAACAAAACCATTGATCCATAAAATGAAAGCAATAATCAATGTACTATACTATAAAATAAGTATTGTAGATGATAAAAATTAAAATTATTTATTTTCTTACCTGCACTGATGATAGTCAATGTTTGGATGGGGGGCTTTTATCCATTTCTTCAGTCACACAATCAATCAATCAATAATAAAATGAAGAACATGCCACAGTCACAAAAACGAAAAAGCCACACAAACAAAAATGCAAAAAATAGCAAAAAAAAAGCACCAAATATAAGCTGCAAGTATCACCTCAGAACACTGCAATTGGAAAGGGAAGGCTTTGATTACAATGGGGGGGTGCAAATTAGCAGTGCAACAGTGAAAACGGAAGTTCAGGAGCATGTTCGGCTTCCGAAGCAAAGTTTGCAAACCAGAACACTGACTTTTGTAAGAACACTTGAATGATAGGCAGCATTCAAGTTCCAAGTTGTTCAGGAACTAAGCTGTTCAAAAACCGAGGTACCACTGTATTTCTTTCCAAGTGTTTATGTAATTGTCTTTAAATATATTAATGTTTTTAGCTGTCAGTCATACCCCCCAGATATTTAATGTGTAAGTCTGTAAGTTTCTGGAAACTTTATAAATGGGAAAACTTTTTGCCTCCCTAATTGACAAAGCTGGCCCACCTATGAGGCAAGGGGAAGGACCCGCCTCAGGCAGCGGAAATGCAAGAGGTGGTTCTCCACCTGCCCCACTGCTTCTCCTGCTCCCAGAATGTCTCCCTCTCACTGGTGAAAGGGGTGTTCCAGCAGGAGGGGCCACCACTCGGCTTTCCTGTCCGCAGGCAGAGAAACACATCAGCAACGCTTTGCAAATGCCAAGTGTTATAAATGCCAGCGTGGTTGCTCGAGAGCAAACAGGCAAGACTTCCTGTTGGTGTCTTTCCAAGGCTTTATTATCTGTCCAAAATGTTCACAATGCAGATCGACTCTTTTCCATGTCTGCTCAGTCACTAGCAGAATCTGGGAGTGGGCGGTCCTTAAACTTTCCCCAGCAGAGCAGTTTTTTGACCCCCATCCTACGCCTCCCCTCTCTGTGCAGAGAGGGCATGAGCAAGGGGGCACCTGCCTCCCCCCCGCTTTGCTCAGGTTCAGTGTTGCGGCTCTCCCTTGCATCTTCCGAGCCCTGCATCCCTTTCCCCACTGGAGGCATGGCTTCGCTCCTCCTCGGAGGACAAGCTGCTTCTCACAATCTTTGGCGGCTCCCTGTAACCCAACTGCCCTTCCACCTCCCGCCTCTGAGCTGATGGCAGTTCCCTGACACCAAGGCTCCTGCGGTGGAAGGGAAGGGATGGGGTGGGGAGTGGGAAGGAGGGAGAAATTCCCATTTTGCTTCAAGTGGTGAAATGGGCCACTCCTGCCTGTTGGAATTAGCAGATGCAAGTTACTTGTAGAATCCTAGAATTGTAGATTTGGAACAGACCTCAAGAATCATCTAGTCCAACCCCTTGCAATGCAGGAATCTCAACTAAAACAGCCGTGACAAAGGACCATCCAACTTCTGCTTAAAAACCTCCAAGGAAGGAGAGTCCACCCAAAGGAGACTGTTCCACAGTTGAACAGCTCTTACTGTCAAAAAGTTTTTTCTGATGTTTAGTCTGAATCTCCTTTCTTAGAACTTGAATCCATTGGTTCAGGTCCTACCCTCCAGAGCAGGAGAAAACAAGCTTGCTCCATCTTCCCTGTAACAGCCCTTGAGATATTTGAAGATGGCTATCAGGAATTTGAAGAGGGTTGTTAGCAGCTGAACAACAATAATAGTAATAATAATAGTAATAATTTATTGATGATGATAATGATAACAATGATAATAATAATAATATATGAAAGCATGGCCTCCTTTGGCTTGCAGGGGCTCTCCAGAGTCTGTGGCAAAGAAAGTTCTTCTCCATTACCAGCCACCTGCTCTTATTTTAATAGAGATGCGAAGGAATAAATCTGAAGCTCTCTGCGTGCAAAACATGTGTTCCGTCACTGAGCAACAATTTCTCCCCACGGGTTAAGTTAGACCCTAATGAGGGAAAGATGCACTGCTCCTACGAATGCAGCAGCCCGTGCCCGCCTGTGTTTTCCAGCAGCTGGGATTCAGAAGCATTGCTGCCTCTGAAGGCAGAGCAGAGCCACTGTGGCTGGAAGCCATCGACAGCCATCCAAGTTGGTGGCCATCGCTGCCTCCTGTCCGTGAGAGTTCCACAGTTTAACTATGCACTGTGTGAAGAAGGCCTTGTTCCACCAGCAGATGTGAAATAGTGTTTCTCCCCCAACTTTCCAGGTTGAAGTCCGGATGACTTGGAAGACAGAAGAAGCCTTAACTTGCTCACGCCCCTCTCCCCTGCTGCTGCTGCTGCTTCCCGCCCTGACTGCTGTGTGCCTTTCCATCTGGTGTGAAGAATGTCCATGGTGGGCCTGATGCGGAAGGCTGTCCAACTCCTCAGGATCCATTCCGCCCCTCCGCAGTTGTGGCTGTTATGGTCTCCTAGTTGTGCTGCAGAGCTGCCCCCCCCCACTCCAGCTGCCGGGGGGGCGGTGCTGTGCCTGACACACTGGCCTTCTGGCTGGGGAATTGGGCACACCAACCTGCTCTTTGTTGGCTTATGAACAAAGAGATGATGTTGTAGCGGATGAACTTATAGGCTGGTCTCTTGCAAAAAGACTTGTTGCTGTCTGAGGATGGGAAATGGAAAGAGGAAGAAACAGATTATGTTTACTGCCATATTGAAAGAGGAAACTTGAGTGATTATTTTTTAAGAAAATTTTGATTGGCTGGTATTAACTTTGTGGATCATCTGTTCCGCCAAGACAATGTGATATATACTCTTTCTTTCTTTTTTAGGATCAAAGGAGATTTTATTGTTTAAGTGAGATTGTATGTGCGTGTGTTTTGTCAGCACACAGAGTAATGAGCATCCCATTTCTAGAGGGATAAAGCAATAACATCAGACAGTCCTCATTAAAATAATTTTAAATAATCTGAGGGGTGGTTCCCCACCCCTCACTATTTACTGAAAAAAGAAGGGAAGTCTCACCTTGTCAGTATCAGGTCTGCGTAGGAACCCTGCTGGGTTCTCTTGCTGGAAGTTTAAGTTTTTTCTTTCTGTAAATAAAGGGGTAAATGAATAGTTTATATTCCTCCGATTATTTCAAAAGTTCAGTTGCAGAAGTGTGTACCTATTTTTCCACAAATGTTAAACTTGGATGATATCAGTGAAGGAGCTTAGGGTCCCTGCCTGTGGTCTCCAAGCGTCCTTGAAGACAGACTCTAAGAAGCCTTTTTACCTTGTCACAATCTGTCAAAAGAAATCCAGGGTCGCTCATTCTTGTGAATGTACGGGGCGGGGGGCAGGTGAATTATGACCCTGCAAAGCACCTTCCTTCCTCTTTGGTCTTTTCCATTGCTGAGTTTCTGCTTTTGCCATCTAGGAAGCCTCTTTACCTGAACAAGTTCCCATGAAGGATCTGCAAGATTCTTTCTTCCATAGTGAGGTTTCTCTGTTGCTGTTGTTGTTTCCTTACCCAAAGCCCCCATGTTTGGGATTCCTTCTTTGGATGTTAAGAAAATAGCATTACCCCTAAGTGCTCTTCCCAGAAATGTTCTATTTTCAGAAAATTAAAGTTTATATTGTCACAGAATTAGACAGATTTCTATTGCATTACACAGATGTCCTCCATGGACATGCACACACGGTCTGTGGTGGGCAGAAGATTTCACTGCTGAGCAGTGTCTCACAAGTTCACAGCCCTGTTGGGAGTACAAAAATGCATCTGCACTGGCCCTTAGGAATGGGAAGGGGATGTGCCCCACTGATCTAGGCCTAACCCTGAAGATGAGCATCCCCAATTTGCCCTTGTGGGCTTTCAGACATTCGTAACCTTTGTGCCAATTCCTCACGCAATTGGCTTTTTCTGCTCTTCCCTGCCCTGCCCCACGTGGGTTTTGCAGTCTTCGGCCTATGCTCAAGCCCCATGCAAATGGTGCTGTCTCCCAATCAGCCCCTCCCTTTCAGGAGACCATTCCTCAGCTAAGTGGCTGTGCCGGGGATGGAGCACCTTCTTCCTTGGGATGAGGCAGAATAACCTTTGTACGTCCCCTGGGGATCTGCCCCTATTAAACCAGACACCTCCCATGGGTTCCTCTCAGAGCAGAAATAGCAGTAATATTTTGCCATAGGAAAACATAATATATTCTGCTCTGAGCACCACTGAGGATGTATCCTGGGGTCCTCAGTGCTGCTTAGCAGCATCCTCACCCCACTCCCAGCCCACAGGGAAGACCCAGTTGGCATGGTTTGGGAAGGGAGTGGGTATACCCAGGGGATTAGAGAGATGCTGTCACAATGCCCCTCCTTTTCAAGTAGCTGTGGGTATAGATTTTCCCCCAGACCTTGCCACTTCCTAAGACTCAGGATATTTTGGTTTGGCCCTTGTCTGTTTGTTTTGCTTGCTAGGTGGGTTGGCTGTGCTGTAGTGGCCAACGTGATTAGCACCAAAATGCCCCTGAAGGTGCTGACAATCTTCCCATTTGCTTCGCTTTTAAAAAAAAATCAGTTGATTTTGTCCTGGTGTTCTCATTTGGTTTGATTTCCGCCTGTGACTCTAATGTGTGCTAGAAGCCTTTCCTTAAATTGCACTGAGTATGCACTCACACACACACATCCTACAGACTCCTTTCCAGCCTAGCAGAAACCTTTTGCTGGGATGTGAGGGCCTGCAGCAAAGTTTGGGGCATCCACAGCATCTCTTTCATGTTGGGGGGGGGGGAGGCAGGGGGTTTGTTGGAATGTATGCAATGCCTGGATTCCCCGGGGAGCTGGCCCTGCACAAAGGAGTGGGATTAAGGTGGCATCAGGCCAAATCCCTCTGAATCTGTACACACACGGGTTCTCTTTTGTGCTTGTGCAAGGCACTGAAATTCTGTATTTTAGTAGTTTTACTACTAAGAAATGTTTGGACAACTATATCTGATTAAAAACAGCATTCAGAATGACTTTGCATGTCCATCTTTCATTTTTCTTTTAAACTATTCACATTTATTGAAGCAGAAGGTTTTCCTTCCCCTTTTCCTCCCCCATAGAAGACTCCACAGTCTGTTTTTAAATGTTACTCTCTCAGAACAGGATGGGGGGGGGGTAAGGGTTGTTCACCTGCAGCAGCCTTGCTTGCTCTCTCTCTGAGGTAGCCAGAAAGAGGGAACAGGTAGCTGAAGAAGGGCCCCAGCATCTCTGCCTTCTTTTTCTCCCCCCTCCTATACATATAGTTTGGAAAAGAGAGAAGACTAGAGATGGGAGTTTGGCAGGGCCCTTTCTTACTCCTGAGGTGGCAGCTATACCATTTTCGGGCAGCTTGGGTCCCAGTTCCAACTCTTGCATCCTACCAGATGATGGCTGCATATAGCCCCTTGAAGCATAACGAAACAATTCCACACAAGTTGCAAGACCACAAGTTGCTGGCTTCAGAGAATGATCTGAATGAGTGTTGTGATGCGTTCACCACTTTGCTGAAGCTAAGCTGGTTGGCACCTAGAGGAAGATGCATAGACATGCAAAACAGAGCAAAATTCATAAATCATAGAATTGTACAGTTGGACGGAACACAAAGGGCCATCTAGTCCAACCCCCTGCAATGCAGGAATCTCAACTAAAACAGCTATGACAGATGGCCGTGCAACCTCTGCTTAAAAACCTCCAAGGAAGGAGAGTCCACAACCTCCCAAGGGGGGAGTTTGCCACTGTCAAACAGCTCTTACTGTCAAAAAGTTATTCCTGATGTTTAGCTGGAATCTCCTTTCTTGAACTTGAAGCCATTGGTTCGAGTCCTACCCTCCAGAGCAGGAGAAAACAAGCTTTGTTCCATCTTTTGTGTGATAGCCCTTAAGATATTTGAAGATAACAATCATAACTCCTTTCATCCAGGCTAAATATACCCAACTCCTTCAACTCATAAGGCTTGGTTTCCAGACCCTTAATCATCTTGGTTTCCCTTCTCGGCACATGTTCCAGCTTGTCAATATCCTCCTTACATTGCTGGTTCAAATCACTTCCACTCGCTAGAATAAACACATAGTTTTAATAACCTGGATGAGGATTCTCATGAGCCTGCCTTTTAAAGACAAGCAACCTGAGACTGGAGGCACAGAATTCTTGCTCCTTTCAATGGAAAGGCCCTCCGCAACATCTCCCTGGCCTGGGACATACGGCATGAGTGTCTGCTGCTGCTGAAAGGGCTTTGGTTTGGGGTTGGAAAGCTGCTGACCCAGAACTTCTGTGAAGTTCTGGCAAGGAGCAGTGCCAACATCCTAATGGGCTGACTCGCAGGCAGGCTGTTAATCTTCTCCAAACCGTCAGCTGGGAGGCCTCTGCATAATGGCTGTGTATTGTGGAGTGGAGCCCTCACTATTGAAGTGAAAGGCAATGGGTGGGGTCTGCTGGATGGAGTTGCTGCTGCCTCAGCACCCCTCGAAAGCCAGGGCTGCGCTCAGAGGCAGGCGCATAAATAGGCGCCTGCTTCCTCTGCCTGCCTGCCTGCCTGCCTGCCTGCCTGAGTTTCCAACAGCATCTGGAAAAGGAGGTATGAATGTGTCCTCACCAGACACATGGTTACCCTGGAGTCCTTCGCATAGCGCTTCCCTACCTCCAGCAAAAGCTTTTGAATGTCATACTTAAGCTTTTGATCCATGTTATCCCCCCACAGCCAAAACAAAAGGGGTAGATGAGACCTAAAGACAGTAAGTTGTATGTAACAGCATCTGTCTTTGTACCAGCGACAGCAGTGAGGGAAGGCCAGGGAGATGTCGCAGAGGGCCTTGGGAGGGTGGGGAACTAGAACACCAGGCAGTGGAATTCCAAGACTGAAACCTGAAGGAAGCTGCAAGTGAGGTGGCGTCTTGAACTACAACTCATTGTGGGTCAGTGGGTGGGCAGAGTGCTGAGAGGAATCTTACAGGGTTGATCTGTAGCAGCAAAAATGCAGTGTGCTGCTCTGCAGTTCCTTGAGGTGCAGAGCTTTGAGTCATGCACTCTTGGAGGAGAACCTTCCATGTGTCTCTGCCTCCCTGAAGCTTAAAACTGCAGAGTTGGAAGGAATCCTAAGGGTCAACCAGCTTCACCAGTAATAAGGAATGAGAAAAAGACCAGCTGGGTGTGGGATGTGTTTACTCTCCACCCCTGTGTCCCCTGTCTCCAGTCCAATGAAGTTGACAGTTGCCTCCATCACAAATAGGTTCCTCCCCAAAGCTCTCCTGCCCTTTTGGTTTTAAAGCTAGACAATAAAGTAGGAATGACCATTGCCTTACTTTGGCCAGTTCTTTGCAGGTCAATCTCCCAGAGTCCCTGGAGACTGGGAGTCTCCTTATGCAGATGATGATCTCTTCATTCTCATGCTCTCTAGCAGAAAGCCTGGCAGAAATCTTTGGCAGAGAGGATTTTCCTCCTTGGAGCAATAACCATCTCTAACTTGCACGGGGATGGGGGCGGGACAGGGTTTGATTGCAGACACCATGACTGAACAACAGACCCCTATGGAGGAGATGGCAGCTGCCGAGAGCCCAGAGGAAATGGGGCCAAATTACAAGGTATGGCAAGTGTTGAATTCATCCCTTCCCTGTCCCACAAAGCCCCTGAAGATTTTATACTGTTGCAGGTTTGGGCAGTCAGTCTGGATGATGCCCTGAGCCCCTTCTTGGGGTCCTGTACCCAGTGAGGGTAGAAATAAAGGGTTATATTGCTGAGCTGTTCAGACAAGTTTCTCTGTGAAACAAGAAGCTTAGCTGGCTACTTAAGTGTCCTCAATGGCATTCCCCCAAAAAGAGCTAGGTAGCAAGGGCAGCAACTAAATGATGGGGCCCTCCAGGCAGATGTGGGGCCCTTTCCTCTGCCCCTCTCACCTGTTAAGTAAGAGAACAATAGCCAGGAGAGAGAGAGAGTTTTTATCTGAAAACAGGCTGGAAGCCAGAGACCCAGAGGCCTGCTTGCTCTGTGCTGGATCCCAAACTGTGACTTGACTAATGGAGAAACAAGATCCTTGGGAGTTTTAATGCTGTGAGTCCCTCCATTTATGCTCATGTTGTAAATAATGTGTAAATAATGTCAATGCAGGTGGCACTGTGGGTTAAACCACAGAGCCTAGGACTTTTCGATCAGAAGGTCACCGGTTCGAATCCCCATGACGGGGTGAGTTCCCGTTGCTCGGTCCCTGCTCCTGCCAAACTAGCAGTTCGAAAGCACATCAAAGTGCAAGTAGATAAATAGGTACCGCTGCGGCGGGAAGGTAAACGGCGTTTCCGTGCGCTGCTCTGGTTTGCCAGAAGCGGCTTAGTCATGCTGGCCACATGACCCAGAAACTGTACGCCAGCTCCCTCGGCCAATAAAGCGAGATGACTGGACCTAATGGTCAGGGGTCCCTTTACCTTTAATGTCATATAGCCTTAAGACTCCACAGTCTCCATTGACCTTCATTCCAAGGAATGCAACTAGGTAAGCTCCTGGAACTCCTGAATTCTCTCACTGCTCAGAGATTGAATAGGGGGCATGTAACAATACATGGTGCACGTTTTACTAGAAGCAGATACCAGTGGTACCTCAGGTTACATACGCTTCAGGTTACAGACTCTGCTAACCCAGAAATAGTGCTTCAGGTTAAGAAATTTGCTTCAGGATGAGAAGAGAAATCGGGCTTCAGTGGCATGGCAGCAGCGGGAAGCCCCATTAGCTAAAGTGGTGCTTCAGGTTAAGTACAGTTTCAGGTTAAGTACAGACCTCCGGAACGAATTAAGTACTTAACCCGAGGTACCACTGTATTTTTTTCAAAGCTGGTTGTTCTAGATTTAGACAGAAGATGGCACTCTTGACTTCTCCAACAAATCTTTTGCTTGCCAAGAGCAAGTCTGAGCACAGCCCGACCTCCATGTACCAGCAAACATGCAAGGAGTGATGTGATTACACTGGTCAACAACAAATTTGTTGTCTGCATTTTTTTAGTTGATTTAGGACAAATCTGATGCGCTGAATCAAAAAATCACATTGGTTTTGCTCAATCAGGTCAGGTTTTTAAGCTATGGCCACATGTCGTTTTTTTACGTTTTTGTTCACATGTACTCTTGTGTGGAGCATTTTAGAAGAAGTTGGTGGGGGTAAAATGCCATGTCGAATAATTGTTTTGATTGGAAATGATTATTTTAATGACAAGAAGTATTCAGGTCCGATAGTTCTGGGTGATTATGTTGAAAAGGGATCAGTTTGAAGTCATAAAACCTCAAAATCTTCCATAAATTGGTGCGGCAAAGCATAAAGTTGGGGGATCAAAACTAAGTTAATGGGGCAGCCGCCCCTTCTTCTTCAATCAGCATGTCGTCCTGTAGCTCACTGTGATGAAATTCCAGTGCCTATCTTCGGATAACTTCCTGACATTAGTGACGAAGATGCCTCCATTGTTGAAGGACATGAAGAAGAAGAAGTGGTTCTTGAAGATGATGCTCCACATCCATTTTCCCCAAAGGAGTTGAATGATCTAGTTTGCGACCTCAGCTTGTCAAAGGACTCTGCCGAACTGTTGGCATCCAGATTAAAGGGAAAAAAATCTCCTCTCTGACAGTGCTCGCATCAGCTTCTTCCGTAACAGGCATCAAGAGTACCTCCGTTTTTTCTCGGAAGAGAAGGACTTGGTGTACTGTGCAGATATCGCGCAGCTTCTGCTCAAGCTTGGAGTGCCACAGTACGAACCCAAAGATTGGAGACTGGTCATTGACAGCAGCAAGCGATCACTGAAATGTGTTCTGCTACACAACGGCAACCAGTTTGCCTCTATACCCCTGGCTCACTCGAGTACACTGAAGGAGAACTATGAAGCGGTGAAGTATATGCTGGAGAAAATTGGTTATGATCAGCATAAGTGGTTTATTTGTGTTGACCTGAAGATGGTGAACTTTTTGTTGGGACAACAGTCTGGCTTCACCAAGTACCCATGTTTTCTGTGCATGTGGGATAGTAGGGACCGTGCTCAGCATTACACGAAGAAGGACTGGCCTGTGTGGGAGGAATTGGTGCCTTGCAAAGAAAGGAACGTCATCAATGACCCTCTGGTGGACAGAGACAGAATACTCTTCCCACCGCTGCACATCAAGCTGTGTCCAGTTCTGGGCAGCACAGTTCAAGAAGGACACTGACAAACTGGAACGTGTCCAGAGGAGGGCGACCAAAACCATATGTCAGGAGTGATCTGATGGTGTTCCTGCTTGGCAGGGGGTTGGACTCGATGGCCCTTGTGGTCTCTTCCAGCTCTATGATTCTATGATTCTATGATAATCAAGCAGTTCACCAAGGCTCTGGACAAGGATGGTGACTGCTTCACTTACTTGTGCCAGGCTTTTCCAGGATTGACCATGGAGAAGTTGAAAGCTGGCATCTTTGACAGTCCTCAGATCCGTCAGCTCATCAGAGATCCAGAGTTCGGAAACTCAATGAACGAAGTGGAACTGGTAGCGTGGAAAGCATTTGTTCTGGTAGTGAAGAACTTTCTTGGCAACAATAAGGCCAGAAACTACGCAGAACTTGTCAACAACATGCTGACTGTTTTCAGAAACCTGGGCTGCAACATGAGTGTCAAGATGCACTACCTATTTTCACATATGGACTGGTTTCCTGAGAACCTGGGTTCAATGAGTGACGAGCAGGGGGAGAGATTCCATCAGGACATGAAACAGATGGAGACCAGGTATCAGGGTCGCTGGGACGCAGTCATGATGGCTGACTACTGTTGGACTCTGAAGAGAGATCTCCCTGCTGCTGAGCATTCCAGGAGTTCCAAGAAACGGAAGTTCAAGCCCTGAAGTTTGAAAAATGGTGAAGCAACATGCAATTTACGTGTACTTACCTTTATCAATGCCCACCATTCAGTTTACAGTAAACCTGACCTGATGGAGAGAAACGGGTGCCATTTCCTGATTCAGCAGTGCAAAAATACCCTAAATCAGTTGTAGAAATCTAGACAACATTCAAAAAGTAAAAAATTGTTGCCCAGTGTTATCTTTCCATAGCATGTAGTTTGTGGCCTTTGCCGGTGGCAGTTGTCCCAGGAGCAAAATCCTTAAGGGTGCAAAAACATTGACGTTGCAAGCGTTGTAGCTTAGGACTCAGGCCGGAATTGGGATTGCTGGGCAATCGGCTCCTCTCGCACTTTGACCGGCAACCTTGCTCTCCCAACCCCAGGGACTAGTTGGGTCTCCTGCAGGACTCACTGCCCAAGTGGCACCTCTTGGTGAGCTGGATCAGGGCAGGTGGTGGGGCAGCACGCTTGCCTCCCATGACAGCTGGGTATGGGTGCTGCGCGGCCAACTTCTCACCAGGGTTGCCATTTTTGCATATCACTGGGCTAGGATGTGCCAGGCCACTGTCTTGCTAGCCATAGCCCTTTCACCTGGGGTGGCAACTTGAATAAAAGTTGGGGGGGGATGTAAGCCCCGTCCCCATAATTGATCACATGATGCAGTGCACACACACCATTTGAAAGGCAATGCCTATCCACTTTGGGGGGGCAGCCCCTCAAATATTTAAGGGAGGGCAAAGACCCCTTGGCCCCTAGGAGTTGACTCCTATGCCTGCAGTTGCCAGTTGCACACACCTCCTCAGCCGTCCTGCTTGCATCTTGCACTCAAGAGCATTGCGCTCGTCTAGGGCAGGGTATGGGTCTCACAGGTGCATCCCTTCCTCAGGCCCTCCCTGCTTCCCAAGCACTGGGCTCCCCATAGCTTCTCCCTCTCCCCGGCGCATACACTTTCCCCAGCCTCTCCTTTCCTGCCCAACAACAGCCGGCTGTGGCAGGAGGTGTTTGTGGGCATGTGCTGCACATGTGTGCAAAGACAGCCAAGGGTTTCTGCAACAACGTAACTGGTTAGAGCCCACTTCATCGTGCTGGGCTGTCTGTGTAAACTTTCTGGTTGTTTATACTAGACCACCTTCTGCTCCTTTTCTTCTTTTTCAAGAGTTTGGATACCTAAATTCAACTGCCTTCCCAGTGACCTCTTGAGCCTGTGGCATTGCTCCCTATCTCTGGAAAACTCGTCTGGGTATCAGAGAGATCTGAAATCTCAGGACCTGGGGTGCTCCTGACCACTCTGTACTTGAGGCAGCTGCCTCACTGTGTCTAATGGTTGGGCCGACTGCTGAAGAGCCTCCTGTGTTCAGATATGCACAGCCTGTTGGGGATGAATGTTCTTGCAGTGGAATCAGGGCTGCCAAGCTGGGCTGGGCTGCCAGGCTGGGCCTGGTGATGATGATTGTCTTCATCCAGTGATGGCCTGAAACCTAAGAGTGGCCCCTGGTGATGACATGGTAGGAATCATAGAATCATAGAATCAGAGTTGGAAGAGACCACAAGGGCCATAGAATCCAACCCCCTGCCAAGCAGGAAACACCATCAGAGCACTCCTGACATATGGTTGTCAAGCCTCTGCTTAAAGACCTCCAAAGAAGGAGACTCCACCACACTCCTTGGCAGCAAATTCCACTGTCGAACTCGAATTCTTACTGTCAGGAAGTTCTTCCTAATGTTTAGGTGGAATCTTCTTTCTTGTAGTTTGGATCCATTGCTCCGTGTCCGCTTCTCTGGAGCAGCAGAAAACAACCTTTCTCCCTCCTCTATGTGACATCCTTTTATATATTTGAACATGGCTATCATATCACCCCTTAACCTCCTCTTCTCCAGGCTAAACATGCCCAGCTCCCTTAGCCGTTCCTCATAAGGCATCGTTTCCAGGCCTTTGACCATTTTGGTTGCCCTCCTCTGGACACGTTCCAGTTTGTCAGTGTCCTTCTTGAACTGTGGTGCCCAGAACTGGACACAGTACTCCAGGTGAGGTCTGACCAGAGCAGAATACAGTGGCACTATTACTTCCCTTGATCTAGATGCTATACTCCTATTGATGCAGCCCAGAATTGCATTGGCTTTTTTAGCTGCCGCGTCACACTGTTGGCTCATGTCAAGTTTGTGGTCAACCAAGACTCCTAGATCCTTTTCACATGTACTGCTCTCAAGCCAGGTGTCACCCATCTTGTATTTGTGCCTCTCATTTTTTTGCCCAAGTGCAATACTTTACATTTCTCCCTGTTAAAATTCATCTTGTTTGTTTTGGCCCAGTTCTCTAATCTGTCAAGGTTGTTTTGAAGTGTGATCCTGTCCTCTGGGGTGTTAGCCACCCCTCCCAGTTTGGTGTCATCTGCAAATTTCATCAGGATGCCCTTGAGTCCATCATCCAAGTCGTTGATAAAGATGTTGAATAAGACCGGGCCCAAGACAGAACCCTGTGGCACCCCACTAGTCACTCTTCTCCAGGATGAAGAGGAACCATTGATGAGCACCCTTTGGGTTCGGTCAGTCAGCCAGTTACAAATCCACTGAGTGGTAGCATAGTCAAGACCACATTTTACCAGCTTCTTTACAATAATATCATGGGGCACCTTGTCAAATCCCTTGCTGAAATCAAGGCATTTGGCTACATCCACTGCGTTCCCTTCATCTACCAGGCTTGTAATTCTGTCAAAAAATTTCAGAAATCCATGCTGACTATTGGTGATCACAGCATTCCTTTCTAGGTGCTGACAGACTGTTTGCTTAATGATCTGCTCCAGAATCTTCCCTGGTATTGATGTCAGACTGACTGGGCGGTAATTATTTGGGTCCTCTCTTTTCCCTTTTTGAAAATAGGGACAACATTTGCCCTCCTCCAGTCTGCCGGGACTTCGCCTGTTCTCCAGGAATTCTCAAAGATGACTGCCAGTGGTTCTGAGATCACATCTGCCAGTTCTTTTAATACTCTTGGATGCAGTTCATCTGGCCCTGGAGACTTGAATACATCTAGACTAGCCAAGTATTCTTGTACTATCTCCTTAGTTATTCTGGGCTGTGTTTCCTCTGCTGAATCATTTGCTCCAAATTCTTCTGGTCGGGCATTGTTTTCTTTATCGGAGAAGACTGAGGCAAAGAAGGCATTGAGGAGTTCAGCCCTTTCTGTGTCCCCTGTTTGCATTTCACCATCTTCTCCTCTGAGTGACCCCACTGTTTCCCTGTTCTTCCTTTTGCTACGAACATACCCATAAAAGCCTTTTTTGTTGCTTTTAACCTCTCTAGCAAGCCTGAGTTCATTCTGTGCTTTAGCTTTTCTGACTTTGTTTCTACACGTGCTGGCTATTTGTTTGAATTCCTCTTTGGTGGTTTCCCCCCCTTTTCCATTTTTGTACACATCCTTTTTAATCTTAACTCAGTTAAAAGTTCTTTAGATAGCCACCCTGGCTTCTTTAGGCACCTTCCATGTTTCCGTCTCATTGGTATTGCCTGAAGTTGTGCTTTTACTATCTCCCTCTTAACAAACTCCCAGCCATCATGAACTCCCTTTCCTTTTAGTATTACTGTCCATGGGATCTCACCCAGCACTTCCCTAAGTTTTATGAAGTCGGCTTTCTTAAAGTCAAGAAATTGAGACCTAGTATGCTTGGCTGCTCCTTTCCGCTGTATAGTAAACTTCAGAAGAGCATGATCACTCGCGCCTAATGATCCTTCCACTTCTACCCCACTAACCAGGTCATCAACATTGGTTCGGACCAGATCTAAAATGGCTGTTCCTCTTGTTGCTTCTCCCACTTTCTGGGCAATGAAGTTGTCTGCAAGGCCAGTGAGGAATCTGTTAGACCTTATGCTCTTGGCTGAGTTTGACATCCAACAAATATCTGGGTAATTGAAGTCCCCCATTACTACTATCTCCCTTCCTTTTGCATACTTGGCCATCTGTTCGAGGAAGGCATCATCTATGTCCTCCGTTTGGCTTGGGGATCTATAGTAAACTCCCACAATGAGGTCACTGTTCTTCTTCTCTCCCTTAATTTTGACCCAAATGCTCTCACTTTGGCTTTGAGGTTCTAAATCTTGGATCTCTTCACAGGTATACACATCCCTGACATATAACGCCACTCCTCCTCCTTTCTTGTCTGGTCTGTTTCTCTGAAATAGATTGTATCCCCCATTATTACATTCCAATCGTGGGACTTATCCCACCAGGTTTCAGTGATGCCTATTATGTCATATTTAGTTTGCTGTACCAAGAGCTCAAGCTCATCTTGTTTATTTCCCATGCTTTGCGCATTAGTGTACAGACATTGAAGTCCATTGATCATTCCCCCATGACTCTTATTTAAGGATTTTTTCCTCCCACCACTAGGTCTGCGTGCTGTTTGCTCCATTTGGTCTATGACATTTGGATGATCATCTTCATCAATTGATAGACTCCTACCTTCAGGAGTACTGTCTCCCTACCCCACATTAGCCAGTTTAAAGCCCTCCTGATGAGGTTTCTGAGATTTTTGGCAAAAACATTCCTCCCAACCGTTGTGAGGTGCAGCCCATCGCTTGCCAGAAGTCCATCTTCAAGAAACTGCAGTCCGTGATCTAAGAATCCAAACCGTTCCTGTTTACACCATTTGCGAAGCCAGCTGTTCACTTCCACTATTTTTCCCTCTCTCCCTGGGCCACGTCGTTCAACTGGGAGGACAGATGAGATGACAATTTGTGTATTTAATTGCTTCAATTTCCTGCCCAGAGCCTCGTAGTCTCTTTTTATCTTCTGGAGGCTATTGCTTGCAGTGTCATTGATTCCCACATGAACCAAGAGGAAGGGGTATTTGTCAGTGGGTTTTATGATTCCTTGCAGTCGTTCAGTTACATCTTGGATCTTAGCCCCGGGGAGACAGCACACTTCCCGAGACATCTTGTCAGGCCCACAGATCACTGCTTCTGTTCCCCTCAGTAGGGAATCCCCTATCACCACTACACGCCTCCTCTTAGGTTTGGTCGGGGTTCTTCCGTGAGCTGTCCGCTCCAAGGTCGCCTGCACATTCCCTGAAGACTGACTTTGCTGCTCGTCTTCATATACCTGATCGACTGTAATGAGGGAGAGATCCTCAAATGGAGTCTGCTCTTCGTCTTCCATGCTAGGGGGAAGGAGGCCCAGGAAACAGAGGTTACTTGGGAGAGCGGAGTGAAGGAAGGCAGGGACTTCCCCCCCCCCCCAATTTGCAGCCAGCTCCTGCCAAGCTGAAGCTTGCAAGCTGTATGCACAGTCTTCTTAATATTTTTTTCTTATTGATAAAGGTACTCTCACCCACCCTGAGAATCAAGTCCTCCAGCTGGAGGGGTCCAGGCAAACCCAGAGGCTTCAAATCAGACCTGGAGACCTGGCAATCATATCTTCAAGACCTTGTCGTCTTTCAATGAGCTGGCCATCACTTGCTACATATTTGAACTATTACTTTCCTCGACACACACCTCTCCTTCACTTCTACCTCTTTTCTCTAAGGCTTTTGTTATGAGAATTCTAAGGTCTCATATATAAATTAAATGTTCATAAATGTACAAGGCAAACACATACATACCATTTGTCTGAGAGAGCAATCCTAAAGCCATTTTGACTCTCCCAAATTGACCTCAAATATTTCTCTGCAAGGAAGAAGGAAATGGGAAATCCTCCGCATTGTCTTTTGCTTACAAATCCTGTCTTAAGGGCGCGTATTTGTGTATAAGCGTGAGCCTGGCTGCCCAGGTAATGCCCAGGTAATGTAATCAGTGCAATCAGTGACCATTATCAGGTATCCTGGCAGACAGGATTTCTGCTGTACACCACCTCCTGTGATTTATTTTTGCTGTAGACTGCCTCCTTCTGTAATGTATGTATGATGTTTTGGGGGGGGGGGTCCTGAGCTACAGGGTGGGCAGTTTCAAAAGTCTGTATAAGGACTCACGCTCCATTGTTCAGGGTTCTCTCCTCCCTCCTGCATGTGGGGAGTGGGGACCCTGTTGCAACAGTTAATAAAGATCAGACTTACTAGCCACTTTGCTTCTCTATATACTCTGGTTGGCCTCTGTTATTTTCTCCAACTGATAGGAAACCCACTTGGATACCCCATAAGGGAAAAGGAGCAGATTTTTTCTTATAAAACTTTCCTTAACAAAAGTTTTCCTGCACCTTTCTTGGGCCCCTTGTTAGAAGCTACTTTTTGAACACTGTCCCCCTGCCTCTGTGGTTGTGTCCTTGTTGTCCCTGAATAAAGTCTTTCAAATTTCTCCACAATTGTGTCTTAATTGTGGTGTGGTGCAGTGGTTAGAGTGCTGGACCAGGGAGACCCGGGTTCAAATCCCCACTCAGCCAGGCCTATCTCACAGGGTGGTTGTGGGGATTAAACGAGAAGTGGGAAAACTATGCATACCACCTCAGGCTCCATGGAGGAAAAGTGGAATACAAATGAAAAATAAGAGCTGCTGGAAGCTGCAAACATATTCAGAGAGTCTTCATTCTTTGGCCTTCCCTCCTCCACACAGAGAGAAACAGCTCTGTCTGTCCTAAAGGTGTCTGTGTCACCTTTGGTGGAGGGTATCTCAATTTGGGAATGCTTTTTTCTCCCCCTGCAAACAAGCTGGCTGATAGCTTCTCTCCCAAAACTGTTTCTCCATCAGTACATGCTCCTTTTTGAAGCTCTTTACCCCTTGATGGCTGTTGGGCCACTTGGCTTCTGTGCCCTCATCTAGGTCACCCTCTTCGAGATGGAGAATTTCCAGGGCAGGAAATGTGAGCTCATGGATGAGAACCCCAACGTGACGGAGAAGGAGTTGGACAAAGTGGGCTCCATCCAGGTGGAGGCTGGCCCGTGAGTACCAAGCATGGGAGAGAGCAGGGAGCCACACCGGGCTAGAAGCACATGTCTTGAAATCTGAGCATTCTCAAGGAAAGCTAGATTTTAAAAGCACCCAATTTTGATTTGGGTTTTATCCCAGAAGCTTTTGTGAGGAGTAAAAGTAGTTTGAGAGGTGTATAATGCCCCTAGTTGCCCCCTGAAGGCACCTCTTTTCTAGTTCTGGACTGCTGACAAAGTTCTGGTTGGGGGGGGGTGCCAGTCAGGAAAGGCCCGGGGGCTGCAAAGCTGCAGTCCAGTCCCTTAGGCCTCCTCAGCTCTGTGCAGCCAATTACAGGCAGCTGTGTGTCCTTTAAAAAAAAAAAAGCTTTAAATGCTGTGCCCAGGTGATCCCAAAGGGAGCAAGCAGAGCAAGAGGTGAATTGGCTAAGAGGCTGAGCTACAAATCAGGGAATTGCTCCCGTCACAAACTCACTTCCAGAATCATAGAATTGTAGAGTTTCTAGAAAAATAGATGCCAGAACTATTTGGCACCTAAACACCTCCTTTGTTCTCTTATAATAATGGCAATGGCACCCTCTCTGAATATGCCGGAACTGAGTTCTGGTGAGTTCCAGCTGCAAAAAAGAATAAGCCCTGGTTGGAAGGGACCCAAAGGGTCATCTAGCCCAACCACTGGGCAGTAAGTAACCTGGCCCCTCAGCCTTCCTGTCTGAGTTATGGGGATAAAATTGGTACTGATTCTGATAACTGCTGTTTTTAACCTGTGTTTTCTTTATTGACGAGGGGACGCGGGTGGCGCTGTGGGTTTTTAGCGCCTAGGACTTGCCGATCGCATGGTCAGTTCGAATCCCCGTGGCGGGGTGCGCTCCCGTCGTTCGGTCCCAGCGCCTGCCAACCTAGCAGTTTGAAAGCACCCCCGGGTGCAAGTAGATAAATAGGGACCGCTTACCAGCGGGAAGGTAAACGGCGTTCCGTGTGCTGCGCTGGCTCGCCAGATGCAGCTTGTCACGCTGGCCACGTGACCCGGAAGTGTCTGCGGACAGCGCTGGCTCCCGGCCTATAGAGTGAGATGAGCGCACAACCCTAGAGTCTGTCAAGACTGGCCTGTACGGGCAGAGGTACCTTTGCCTTTACCTTACCTTCTTTATTGACAATCAGCACAGCTTCTAGAAGTCTTGTTCTGGCTATGTTAGGCTCTCGCAGACAAACCAAGAGTCATGTGGCACTGCCCACTTCCCAGGGCTCCTTACCTATAGAAAGCACAACCCACTAAGGAAGAGAAGAACAAAAAATAAAATAAAATCAAAACAGAAACAATTAATTTTGCATATTCCCAAAATCAGGTTAAAACTTTACATGGCTGGGTCTAGGTCAGAGGGAAATTAATACACAAAAGTTAGAGGTAGGCCATTCCCATGTTGATAACACAGACATTCTGGCAATGGGTAGCAAATTAACTATTGCTGGCAAGGAAAAAATAGATATAAAAGAATAATTTCCTGGATGCCAACATCCAGGTTTGGGGCATGTACTCTCTGATGAGACAAACCCAGCAGAGATTTAAAATCACAAAATCTACAGCAAAGTAAAGTGATGAAATATGGGCTGTTAGATATGCCCTTCTGAGTTCCTTCCAAAGTTCCCCTCTTCCCCAGTATAGAAAAAGACCACATGTTTAGTAAGTTAAAAATGGTTTATTTACAAACTTCCTAAAGGTCACATTCATGTGCTTTTCCATACAGTATTCAGAAAATGCTGCACAGGAATTCAGTATTGGCTTGTGATAGCCATGTAGCCTGAATTTGGAGCAACCTCTTTACACGCCAAGCTTCTCAGTTTGACTGAGGAACAACAATAGGTTTGATTCCTCCCACAGGTGGCTCGGGTTTGAGCGTCAGGCATTCAGTGGCGAGCAGTTTGTGTTGGAGAAGGGCGACTACCCTCGCTGGGACTCCTGGTCCAACAGCCACTGCAGTGACAGCCTCCTCTCCATTCGCCCCCTGCTGATCGTAAGTCACAGATATTTGCCCACGAAAGGGCAGTGGCCATGGACTAAATTATGTGTATCTGTTATTGTCCTGACCTACATTGGGGGAGGACACCCCAGTGCCTTGGGCAGCCCTTGTATGCCAGTTTCATGCTCCCTTTATCATATCCTGTGTGTTTGTTCAGGATATTTATTCTTCTAGCCCCGTGCTGTCCACTCTGGTTGGCAACAGCTTTCCATGAGCTCAGGCAGAGAGCTTCCTTCTCATCACCTGCGTTCTGTATGCATAGCAAATGTCCTGGTACAGCCCCTCCCTCTTCATTGTGAATATGTGGTTGCAGGGGGAGAGGGTTCAGGGACCCATTCAGCCACCCCCCACTCCACACCAGCTCCCATCACTTGTTCCCATTGCAGGACAGTGCAGACCACAAGATCCACCTCTTTGAAAACACCAGCTATGGGGGCAGGAAGATGGAGATCGTGGAGGATGACGTCCCCAGCTTGTGGGCTCATGGCTTCCAGGACCGCGTGGCCAGCATTAAGGCCCTGAATGGAATGTAAGGAGGGAGCGGGGGGGGGAGGGCAAATCCTGTAGCCCCATGCAAAAGGTGGAGGGGGTGCCTCTGCTTCAGAAGGGGGCTTCTTTGCACAGTTGCTTCTCTTGGAAGAGCAAATCCCTAAATCAGCTTCCTTAGAATTAGTATATAAAGCCCTTAACAATTTGGGACAGCTTGCCCCATATCTTTTCCCCCTTGACCGCTGCAATTGGCAGATCTGGCATTCTTGCAGGGGCTGCATAATATCTATTCCACATTTGTAGGAAATGGATATTTTAGTGTGGCAGCACCTACACTCTGGAACTCCCTTCCTATTGACATCAGGCAGGTGCCTTCACTGTACTCTTTTTAGCACCTGGGGCAGATCTACACTCAGGGTTTTTAACCTTGTTGTTGTTTAGTCATTTAGTCGTGTCCAACTCTTCGTGAACCCATGGACCAGAGCACGCCAGGCACTCCTGTCTTCCACTGCCTCCCGCAGTTTGGTCAGACTCATGTTGCTAGCTTCAAGAACACTGTCCCACCATCTCGTCCTCTGTTGTCCCCTTCTCCTTGTGCCCTCAATCTTTCCCAACATCAGGGTCTTTTCCAGGGGTTTTTAACCTTAAGGAAGGGCTAAGAAATGCTTTTGACAGCCACAGGACACATTATGTCCTAATGAGTTGTTGAAAGGTGACACCAGAGGGCACTGCAGAGCAGCCAGCAACCGGCAGTAGGAAGACAGCCGCTTTGACAAATAAAAAGGTAAAAAAACCTGTGACGTTTTAGAATGATATATCCCTGTTAAAACGATATAGAACGATATAGCCCTGTTAAAAACATTCTTGTTTAGCCAAACCTACCCAGTTGAAAGTTAGTGTGAGTTTTAATCCGCTTTTAGCCTTTAACTTTTTGAAAGTCTTAAATTGTTATTAATTCTTCTTATAGACAATTTTATTGTTTTATCTTTGTTGTAAACCACTTTGAGGGTTTTCTTTTTTTACAATCAAGTGGAATATAAATTGTATGAAATAAATAATGATGGAACTCATTTTGGCTCATTCTGGCATGTGGGCTTATCTCCCCCCCCAAAAAAGATGAAAAGAACAGGCAGGAGGCACAGAAACCCCAAAAATGCAGGAAGGAGGAGCTGGTTCTCCAAAGTGGTGGCTCTGAGCTACTGACTACAGCTCAAACACATTTGGAACAGACTTTCCTTCAGGAACAACCTTCAACTTCCTGAGCCATTTTGGCGTTCCTGAAGCAACCCCCATAAATGTTTCTGCCAGGACTTGCTCTCATTTTAATTGTCCACACACCTTGTCCAGGCCCCCTTTTGCTCTTTGTCTTTCTCTCCCACTCTCTGGCCTCCATCTTCACATTATTTGAAATGTGAGGAACAAGGGCCAAGACTATTAGCGTGGTTCTTGCTCTTAAAACCTGTCTCTCATTATAGATCTTTGTAAACTACTCTGATAGTCTTTTCCAGCCAAAGAATTTGGGGTGATGGCAGTAAAAATGCTTCAAATATTATAAATAAATGTAATACATAGTTGGCTCTGGGAGGGACAATGGCCAGTGAGAAAGATCTATTAACAATCATGCTTATAACCAGAGTGGCTGGTGGGTGCTTGAAGATCTTTGGGCAAAATTTTGGTCTTATATATTTTATTAATCAGATGTCCAGTACAAATGCTCTCTAGGTGCTGCATAAAATGAGATTAAAAGAGAAAAAATGCAAAGCAATAATATACAAGGTCTGGGCAAATAAAAATGGATTGGTCTCTGGTATCTTTCCCTGGGGAAAGCATTCCACAAAAAAGGGAATTAAAAAGTGACATGAACAATGAAAAATGAAAAGAGAGTTGGATTCAAATTCTGACTAAACATTAGGAAGAACTTTCTGACAGTAGAGCTGTTCAGCAGTGGGACAGATGACCTCAGAAGGTGATGAACCTTCACTGGAGGTTTTTTTTAACAGATATTGGATGCCCATCTGCCAGGGATTCTTTAGTTGCGATTCCTGCATTGCAGGGATTTGGCTTATAGTAAGGTTACCAGATTTTTTTTTTAATGAATCTGGGGACACTTTAAATAAATAAATAAATAAGGAAGTAAGTAAGTAAGTAAGTAAGTAAATAAATAAATAAATAAAACATGTTCAGGATGTTGATGCTGCAGCAATGGCGGTGGCAGAGGGGCGGCCGCCACCTTGACCTCAACCGCCATGTTTCCCCTTCCTCCGAGGCTTCTATCTCCTTTCTCCATGAGCCTGGGCAGCCCCTGAGTTGTTGGTTCTTCAGTGGTGGTGGTGGGGGAAGCGGTGCGCAGTGGGTCAGGCATGGAAGGCAGAGAAGGAGGGCCGAGAGCAGCGGCAGCGGCTGGGGCAGCGCAATGCCTCCCTTCCCATTGGAGCAGCCCCAATCCCATTCCTACTTGTGTGCAAGCAGGAGGAGGCGGGGATCCCTCAGCTTCCTCTTGCCTGAGAGATCCCCACCCTGTTCCTGCTTGCACGCAAGTAGGAGTTGGGAGGCTGCTCCAGTAGGCATCATGAAGCCTCCCTTCACAGCTTAATTGCTGGGGTCAGGGAAGGTGGAAGTAGCTCGGAAGCTGCACCTTAGAGCCCCTGCACCACCATCATATGGGGATTTCTGAGCAGCTCCTGAAGCCAGCCAGAGCCAACTGCTCCAGGCTGCTGAGACTGCCACTGCTGCATTTCCCGGGGATATTAGATGAAATCCAGGGACATTATTCGCAAATGCGGGGACTATCCCAGGGAAACGGGGACTTCTGGTAACCCTAGCTTATAGGGCCATTGGGGTCCCTTGCAACCCTACAGCTCCATGATTCTGTGAGTCTATGAGTTGAAAACTGTAACAAGCAGCACAGGTGGCCATAAAATGCCCAGGAAAGCATCTTGAAGGACCATTTGACCAGTACTGAGATGTAATTCACCCAGAGGACACTGATGGGTGAGCAATCTATAAATGAATGAATTCCTTTGTAGCATTTATATCCTGCTTTTTTCCAGTCAGGTGGCCTTTGTGGTGGCTTAAATGAACTAAAAATAACCCCCCAAAAACATAGTAAGCAAATTAATTAGAGCCTGCATCACAAACAAATCTCAGAGACCTGGAATGTGTTGCTCAAAACTGAAGGATATGCAAGCATAATCAAGGATTGGGTTTTAAAATAAATAAGAGTTTGAGGATGTCCTTAAAATCATGCCCCCCACCAATGCAAATAGCAGCCCACAGGAAGGGGGCAGAGGGCAGGCTCCAATCCAGCTTATATTATTGTAACCAGAGTTTGGGAAGTTCATTTTTGAAAGGAACTAATACTAGATCATGTTTGACATGCCCCAACAGAAAGTAATTCCAGTTCATGTTTGTCCCTTTACAAAACAAAGTGGTTCAGCTCCCAGTTTAGTTCAAGTTGTTGGCATCTGTCTTTCTCGAGAAAAAATGGAGTTCACGTAATGCTTCTGAATACCAGTTGCTAGAAGCTCCTGGTTGAGGGCTTCTCCCCTTTAGTGCATCTAGGTGGTCACAGGATGCTGTACTAGATGGCTCTCTTTGGCCTGATCCAGTAGGCTCTGCTGATGTTGTTAAATTCATCTAATTGATCCTCCGGGGTGGGAGGGAATTCAGCATTCAGGATGTCAGCAGCTTCTGTACTGGTGTGACATACTTCAGAAGACATTGAACGACACAGACAGTGGAACGTGACTCAATGAGTTCATTTCCCTCAACAATTACGAACTTAGAGAGTAAAAAAAGTGTGTAAGGAAATGAAATTGAAGATAAACTAGAAACAAACCTAGTTTAGTTCAACCAGAAATCATGGGAACTACTTTTATGCATAGTTCAGAGATTTTTGAACTAATTCTGTGAACTAATTCTAACACACATTCTGCCTGAATTTGCCTTTGAACGGCACCTGGAAATTAAAACTGGTGCAAGATGATCTTATCTTCCTGGTATTTGTGCTGACGTCTAATTAATTTCAGGACCCAATTCAAGATGTTGCTAACTCCCTATTAAGGGAAACCATTCTTTCTCCAAGCTAGTGCCCAACAGACATTGCTGGACTCCATTCATGGGTGTAGCCGGGGGCAGGGGGGGCACTGCCCCCCAGATCAGGTAAATCAATAAAAATACATAACTAATGGAGGTTTGCCCCCCTAACATAAATCATGGCTACTCTCATGACTCCATTTCCCATCAGTCCCAGCCAGCATAACTGATGATCAGGGATGATGGGAACTGTAGTCCAATATCACCAGCTTGGGGAAGTGTGCCATAAACCGTTTGGGACACGGCCTTCTTCCATATGAACCTGACAGCCCACCACGTTTACCTTGGGACCTTTGATCCAGGTTCTTCCACCAGGAGAAGTACATTTCGTTGGGATACAGGAGAAGACCTTTTCAGCTGTAATACCCTGATTGTGGAACTACTTCCCAAAAGAGGCTGTGTGTGTGTGTGTGTGTGTGTGTGTGTCCTTTTCATATTTTACACCAAGCTTTTTCAACTTTCATACCTAACCTACCATATAGCTCTGTTTTGTTGAATCTTATTATGTAAATGAAAATTTCATTTTGTAAATTGTCTTCGGAGAGGAACTGTTGAGAGCCCAAAGGCAGTAGTTCTGACTTCAATGAGTAGTTCTGGCTTCAATGAGTAGTTTGGATCTTTGGAAATGAGTTGTTACTGCAGTGAGCTGTGTTGGGAAGGATGCCTGGCTGAGCCTATCCTGATAGGTCCTCCTTCTCTTGCCCCTCTGTCTCCATAGATGGGTGGGATATGAGTATCCCGGGTACCGTGGCCGCCAGTACGTCTTTGAGAAGGGTGAGTACTGCCACTGGAATGAGTGGGATGCCAGCCAACCTTTGATCCAGTCAGTGCGGCGCATCCGGGACCAGCAATGGCACAAAAGAGGCTGCTTTGAGGAAAGCTAAAGTAATAGCGAGTCACATTCGTCAAGGAGAAGAAACAGAAATGAGACCCTCCCCTCCTTGAAGTGCTGGCAAAAGGCCGTGTTTTGCTGTCTAAATAAAAATAAAGCCTAATGTTCTCAATAAAGTTCTGAGCCTCCAAGGCTTCTGCTCTTTGCTGTGTCTCCTCTCGTTTGTCACTTGATGGCAGAACTTTGCAGGCAGCAGGTCCCCTGTTCAGTCCTCCACCGCTTTAGTTAAAAAGGACCTCAGGTGTTCACAGGGCTGGGGATGGCCACAGAGAGTGGACAGAGCGACGGGCTAAGTGAATCTGGCACACTCTAAGGCAGCTTTGAATGTTCCTATGGCTTGTTCACTGGGAGCAAAGGTGGTTCCTGCCAGATCCTTAGGTAATATCACCATCAAGACACAAGTGATCTTAAAACACATGGGGAAATCAAAGTCTTCACCTTGTGCCAAAAAAGGCCATAATGCAAGGCTGCCAGTACTTAGCATTGGTTCATCCAGTTTCGCCCTTGCACCCACATCAGCCCAAGCTCCATCCATCATGTCTCTTAGGAGGTTTTTTGTCACACACACACACACACACGGATATGCAAAAGTTCATTCCCAATACATAGTATATTTTTATAATACACTGAAATAAAAGAAATGCTGAATCTAAAATGGAATGGAGGCGGAAAAAAGAAAAAAAGGGGGGAAAGGGAAATAAAGGTCTGGAGGTGGTCTGACCTGCCTGCCTTCCAATTGAATTAAGATTCTCATAGGGGTGGGGTCAAAGTGCCACCCCCAAAATCTCCTGAGCCCACCAAGTCTGGGAGATTTGAGCCATCAGGACCCCCCCCCAGGCACTGTGCCAGCTGTGGAGAATGCCAATTGGCATGCCAGTATGGAGCAGGAGGACCACCTTCACATTCCAATGGTCCTAGACTCAACATTCAGGTAAAGTTTGGTAAAGAAATTTCATACATGATAGAAGTTTACAAAATATTGCATGACATGAGAGTGGACAAAGATAGGTTTCTCTCTCTCCTAACACTAGAACTCGGGGCCACATCCAATGAAGCTGAATGTCAAGAGAGTCTGGATGGATAAAAGAAAGTCCTTCACGCAGCGCATAGTTTTCTTTTGATAAACTGTGGAGCTCCCTCCCACAGCAGGCAGGGATGGCCACCAATGTGGGTGGCTTTAAAAGAGGACAAATTCATGAAGAAGGATAAGGCTATTGGTGCCCACTAGCCCTGCTGGCTTTGTTCTGCCTCCACGGTCAGAGCCAGTGATGCTTCCAAAGGCCAGTTACTGGAGACCCCAGGAGGGGAGCATCCTGCAACAGGGGGCGGAGCGAGCCAAGGGAGGGTGCACTGCATGGAGCCCCTCCGCAGCCTCCCCCTCAGCTGTAGGGCGGCTGAGGTGGTGGGCAGACGCAAGCCCCATGCTGCTCGAAAAAGCCGCGCAGAGATTGCAGGCCTGCCACCTCCCCCTCAGGAGAGCTGCAGGCCCCGCGCCTCACTTTGGAAGGGGGTGAGGGGGGTGTGGGAGTTATTTTAGGGTTGCCGGGCGCCCTTGTTTTATAAAAACACACATATTTTTGCCATTTTGTCACCCCCCTCAGTGATTACACCCCGGGTGGTCCACACCCACTGCATCCCGCAGGGCGGGGAAGAGGACGTGCTGGGCAGCTGCTGCTCCTGGCTGCCCCCCTCGCCCCTTGGCCTTCCTGGCAGTTGGGTGCTGTGGCTGGGCTGGCGAGGGAGCCTGCACACACCCCCGAGCGCCCCGATCCCGTTTGGTTGTGAGGCGCTGGCTCTGCCTCTTCCGGATCCTGCTCAGGGTTGGAGCCAGGATGGCCCACCAGCCTTGGCCCCTGACACTGCCCGGCCCACCTCACTGCCCACGCCCCTGCCTCTCTGTTGCACCTGTCAAGCCCTCTTCTATTTTTTGATCCTGGGCTAAATGGTCTTACAGAGCAGGGGCTCTTTGGATGCCCAGGATGTCTACAGGCCTCAACATCATCTACAGTCATACCTCATGTTACTGACGCTTCAGGTTACGTGTTTTCGGGTTATGGAAGTACCCGAGAGTACCGGAACCCTACCCTTCAGGATGCGAACGCTGCGGGTTGCAGACATGCCTCCGTCACGGATTACGTGGATTACCCGAGGTTCCACTGCACATGTGTTTACAAACCGTGACATGCCATTCTGTGTTGAGGGTTCCAATCTGCTTTGCATAAAATGAAGCTCCGTGATCCACATTTGCTATAATGAGAAATCTTAAAAACTGCTGTTGCATGTTCTCCTTTTGGTCACAGGCAGAGCCGGCAAATTTTTTTAGCTGCAGGCCAGTCCACTGTCCCTCAGACCTTGTGGCGGACTGGAGAAGTGGCGGGGGGGGGCTGGAAAAAGAGGCAAGGGGGGCCAGCCGCTGCGCTTAGCTTCCCAGGGGCACAATCCATAGCGCATTTCATTTCAGTGGGCTTCGGGCGCTGAACAAGCGGCGTTGAAACGATTGCAGCCTACTTGCGAGTAAGCGTCTCTTTAGGGCTCTTAGTGTCTGTGCATCCAATGGCAGGTCAGACGCGGCGTCTAAAGTGGACTTCCGGAGGTGGCGAGGCGGAAGGAGCCAATCTCTGCCAATCAAACGCCGCTGAGGTAAACCAGGTGCGGCGTTTGATTGGCAGTGTCGCCGCCGCTCAGCCTCTTCCTTCCGTCACCATCGCCGGGAGTCTCGGCTTCACGGCGCAGGGCGCAGGCCCTTGGTTTGCCTTGGGATGCCAAAGTGATTGAAATCTATAGGAACAGGAGACCCTCACCCCCAGCTCCTCAAATTGATTAAATCTGCCACATTGCTGACAAATAGGCGCAGAAGCTTTTGTGGGAGAAAGTAAAAGGGACTCACTTTCCTCCATAAACACGGGAGAGAAGGTGTTTTAAAGGTGGCCAAATGCTGGTGCATTTTTTTTTTAAAGTTGTTGCTTCCAGGTGACTTTCCCAGTTCCTTTTTGTGTCCACAGAGTTATTTTAGTGCTCTGAGTTTGTGGGTGCCACACCCTTATAATCCTAGCAAGTGTTATAAGCTTATCAAGACAGACTAGCTTCCTGACGCTGGGCCGTTAAGAGAGCAAAGGAAGGGGGCTCTGTGCCAGATACCAATGGAGAGAGGCTCCTCTAGTTCTTAGACAGGAGGACAAAGCCTGAGTTGGAGAGCAGTGTGTGCTAGAGGAAAAAGCTGCAGGCTGGAAAGGCAGAGCTCTCTCAACCATCACCCATGGTAGATTTATGCTTGAAACCAAGGCTGTGTCTTTGGGATAAACAAAAATACACCTTTGGGGTGTTAATACTGTGAACCCCTCCAGCCTAGACTCAGGTTATATATATGTATAAGGAAACCATATATCCTAAAGAAACCATAGTTTCCGCTGTGTATCATTTCCAAAAGTTAACATGAACCCTGGGTAAGCACCTGGAATCTCACCCCCCTCAGAGATTGGAGAGGTATGCAACAATAGGCTTTGCAACATGAGACTATTGAGGGTGCTGCCCATGGAGTTATGGGGTGCGCTAAGGTTATTTGTTAAAGTACAGCAATGCAGTTAAAAAAAAGCAAAAAACTTAAATGAAGCTTTTAACTTAAAAACAAACAAAAACGTTAAAACAAAGTGGATTTTAAAGCTGTGCTTTAAAACAAAAAAACACCAAATAATCCCAAACTCTTCAATGCTCTGCAAGCAGCATTTTAGACAGTCCCACTTCTTGCAAAGCCCACTGGACCTATTGAAACAGATTTGTGTGTATGTGAATGTCGGAGAAAGGAGACATGGATCACTCCAATTTGTCTTGGTGCACACCCTTATTAGATGGCAATGTGCTTCCTTCAAAATGTGGCAAGTCAGCCCTGGGCCCTCTTACACTTTTTGCAGAATGGGGTTCTCTGCCCCCCTTTTCTAAATGGACCCAAGCTCTTTGTGGATCTGTTGAGAAACACCAATTAGTACAGAATAACCCCGCAATGTTGCCTTATTTCCATTTGCAGTAGTTTTTGCAGGGTGCAGAGAAAGAGAGAGAGAGAGAGAGAGAGAGAGAGAGAGAGACTCTTCTGCTTCAAGGATCAAGCACAAGAAATGTGTAAATGTATCTATGGATCTAGCTATCCATGCCACAGTGATGACTCCCAAATATTATCATGGTTTGGTGTTATCAAGAATAGGGAAACCCCACTACTAGGCCATGAGTATTGATGGTTTCTTAAAACTGGGCAGATCCCACACTATCTGAGCCTAGTTTTGCCCCATCTCAGTTATGGGGCATCATGTGCCCACCTGCAAGCAAAAGACATAATGGGCAAGAGGCACCAGGAGACCACTTCTTGTGATCAGCCAACCTGGTGTCTCCAGACGCTGATGGACTCCTATTAACACCAGTCAGGATGGCCTGAGGTCTGATGGCAAAAGGCCTTGGACTTTCCCTGGAGAAGCTCTATTGGACACCAACTGCCTCCACTTAGTGGTTAAGAGCTTAAGCTGCAGAGGTCCAATCAGGTTTAGCTTGTGAGAGTGTTGCATTGGTGGGTGGCTATATTTGAGCTGTTTTCTTTTTAGCATAATTTACAATCCCCCAAAAGGGGTACTTGTCAATTGCCAAGGAATAATAAATGATACGGGACGCAGGTGGCGCTGTGGGTAAAACCTCAGCGCCTAGGACTTGCCGATCGTCAGGTCGGCGGTTCGAATCCCCGTGGCGGGGTGCGCTCCTGCTGCTCGGTCCCAGCGCCTGCCAACCTAGCAGTTCGAAAGCACCCCCGGGTGCAAGTAGATAAATAGGGACTGCTTACTAGTGGGAAGGTAAACGGTGTTTCCGTGTGCTGTGCTGGCTCGCCAGATGCAGCTTGTCACGCTGGCCACGTGACACGGAAATGTCTGCGGACAGCGCTGGCCCCCGGCCTCTTAAGTGAGATGGGCGCACAACCCTAGAGTCGGACACGACTGGCCTGTACGGGCAGGGGTACCTTTACCTTTACCTTTAATAAATGATATGGGTTGGGATCCCCCTGGGAGCCCCAACTTTATGGGGCGGAGAACAGATCACCCCCCCCAAAAGTATGCAGGAATGGGGCTGAGGCCTCCCAATCTTGATTGGCTGGGCCCTGCTGGGCCTCCCATCAGCAGTGGTGTGCCCTGGTGGGCTATCTCTGGTGGCATAGGGCCCTGCCGGGCCTACCTGTAGTGGGCAGGCCTCACAACCTCCTCCCAACTTATGAGACATTGCAAGTGTGTGTTGCACATGTGATGTTACACACACATGTCGAACCCCCCAGTGTCATGCGGAACTCGGTGCCTCTGCTCTCCTGTAAAGAAAGACTGCTGTGTTTGCAACGTTTTAGTTCAGAGAAAGGGTGAGAAAGATACGGCATGAAATATACTTTTAAAATTATGCCTGGCATGGAGGACACAAATAGAAAAAAACTTTTTTTCTTCTCTCTGTGTGTCTCCTGTCAACCAGAACTCATAGACATCGGATGAAGCTGAATGTTTGAAGATGCAGGACAGATAAAAGAAATGACTTCTTCACACAGTGCATAAACTATGGAACTCCCTCCCTCAGGAGGCAGGGATGGCTACTAACTTGGATGGCTTTAACGGAGGATTGGAGAAAATCATGGTGGAGGAGAGGGCTCCCAGTGGCTCCTGGCCACAATGACTCTGCTCTGCCCAGGAGGGGAGAGTGTTGCTCTTCTGCTTGCATATTGTTTGCCCCTTTCCCTTTGGAGCCTTTGGGCAGCCAGTTGCTTCAGTAGATGGGTCTCCCTGTGGTTGCTTCTTGCCAAACCAGCAGGGACTGTGGTCTGAGCAGCGGGCAGAATGTGTGCACAGCTGGAAAAACCCATCTTCCCTTAAAAAATAAACAAACAAAACTCCAACTTTGCAACTGCTGACCTTGGCATTTTTATTTCTATTATTTTGCCTCCTAAATGAGCTATATGGGTGTGTTGGGTTTATCAAAGAGGGACAGTCTCTCGTCCTCAAAATCCCCAGGCTGGACTGAGCTGGGAGCAACATTGTTCCAAAGGGATGCCGGGGGGGGGGGCTTGGCAAAGATCCTGCTGAGGTTGACAGAAACTCCCTTTTCTTGCCAACAGGCCTGACAAAGAGAGTGGCTCCAAAATGAAAAGCTCATGAAATAATTCTGCCTCTTGGTCTTTAGCAGGACAAAGGGTCGTGACGAGTCAGCTGATCTGGGTTTTCATTGCCCTTTAATCCAACATTCTCGATTTTGATCACACATTCGTGAACTCGATAAATACTTCTGGTGCATTAATGTGCCGGCTGCCTATAAATTCTGGTGCTTGGCTGCACTTCCAGTGGCATAAGCAAACTCTGGTGCAACTGGTAAGCATCTTATTCTTTTTTTAAACCCCCCCCCCCGCAAAGTTTTAAAGCTGGGGGGTTTGGGGGGTTTTTTTGTTATATTTTTTGGGGGGGTCTTCTTTCCATTCCAGGTGTGAATATCCTGTAAAGGAAATCCCAGAAGGAGAAATTAGAAAGCAGCTCTCTAGTTCTCAGCCGGTCTCAGCTTCCACTGAGGCACCTCAAGTTAGGCATCCAATATCTTTGTTCCAACCTGTCCTTACCTATGCTTTGAAAATCCAAACAGGAGAGCTGCCTCCATTGCCTAGAGAATGGTACAGTGGTACCTCGGGTTAAGAACTTAATGCGTTCTGGAGGTCCATTCTTAACATGAAACTGTTCTTAACCTGAAGCACCACTTTAGCTAATGGGGCCACCGGAGCATGATTTCTGTTCTCATCCTGAAGCAAAGTTCTTAACCTGAGGTACTATTTCTGGGTTAGCGGAGTCTGTAACCTGAAGCGTCTGTAACCTGAAGCGTATTTAGAGAGGCGGAAGAGGGACAGCAGCAATTGGGAGGGGAATGCCCTTTGGACAAGAGGGAATTGAGACAGGCAAGAGTGGTTCACAGCCTGCATTAAGCCGTGCTAAGTGCTTAAAAAGGTAAAGTAAAGGACAGTTAAGTCCAGTCGCAGACGACTCTGGGGTTGCGGCACTCATCTCGCTTTACAGGCCGAAGGAGCTGACGTTTGTCCGCAGACAGTTTTCCTGGGTCATGTGGCCAACATGACTAAGCCGCTGGGACCGAGCAACGGGAGCTCACCCCGTCGCGGGGATTCGAACCACTGACTGGCAAGCCCAAGAGGCTCAGTGGTTTAGACCACAGCGCCACCCGCATCCCTATGCTAAGTGCTTAGTTGTGAGTAATTCCTCCTGGCTAGATGTGTCTGTGTCTGGACTGTTTGGGTATTTCCCAGCACCTTGGCAGCAATCAGGTCCCCACCCCCTATAGACTCCCCTTTTTTCTTTTGCAAACTGGCTGATTCCCTCTCCCTTTCAAATGTATATATTTTCTAGCTTCCTTTTACACAGCAGTCTCTTTAACCCTGGCAAGTGTTTGTGTGGCCACCTGCAAATGGGGACCTTTCTGTTAGGTTTCCTATCTAGAAATGTATATGATGGGAAAGGGAGCTGGTTGCAGTGGCGCTTTATGGCTGCATTGCAAATGAAGAGAGCCAAGTAGGGACAGGAGAGCAAGTCAGTTTCTGCCTAAACTGCACTTCCCCAAGTGATTTCTGGACCAAAATGCAACTATCTTTCAAAATTGGCACTTCTCTGAGTTTTGCGGTGCAATTCTCCAATCCTTGAAAATGTTACAAAAATGCATCTATCTATCGGGGCGGGGGAGAGGAGAGAATATCAGGGGGCATAGCTTGCAAAAAACATACATGTTAGGCACAGCTGCATACGTGACAATTAGGGAAATGGCACACTAAAAGGATGACTAATTTTCATGAGGACTCTTTAAAATAAAAAGTGCAGATTGGTGTGGAGAACAGATTGGGGCAAAAGAAAAATTGAGAGAAACTGAAACTGACAGATCAATCCTCTGTCCCTGCTGTGTCAGGAGATTGTCTCTTGCCAGCTCTGCCGCTCCAGCTACCTACCTCCGAGGACTAGTAAACCCAGCATTGGAGACAGCAATGCTTCTGAATACCAGTTGCTGGAAATTGCAGGAGGGGAGAGAACTCTAGTGCTCATGTTCTCCTTGCAGGATTCCCATCTGTTTGGCCACTGTGAGGATAGGATGCTGCACTAGATGGATCCAGCCAATGGCATTGCCGGGTTTCTGGTGCTCATGGAGCAGAGTGACCTGAACTTCCTCTGGGATGGTCCCTACCTAGCATTGTGTTTGTGCAATTTCTCCAATGTGGTGACTTTGCCCTCATCCTTCTAATCTGATGTGAGGTTCTCTCCCCAGGGAGCAGCTCAACCACTTTTCATGATGGCTTCAGACCACCAAGCATCAAAACAGCAGCAAGCCAGTTCCAAGGTCAGTAAGGGGCAGGCCAGGAAGCCCAGAGGGCTTGCAGCCCTGCAGAGGCTCTCCCTGGAAAGAACTCAACTGGGTGGAAAATTCCACTGCAGATCCAGAATCTTGCGGGGCAGCAGGAAGCAGTGACAAGAAAAGATTTTGGTCCAATCTTACATTTTATCAATAAAATGAGAACCTTTATAACAGGGGAGATCTTTCCTGTAAACAAAGGAGGTGTAAGATCAACAAAGAGTATTATAGCTCCTCAAAGACTAATGAATGCATCATGGCACAAGCTTTTGTGGACTTTTGTGCATAAAAGTGTTAAGTTGCTCAGAAGGCAAGCAGAATGCAAAATCATTAGCCCACCATTTCTACCCTGACTAGGAGAAAGGTAATCTCCATCTTGCTGGCTTCTGTGCAGAAAGAGAAAAGCAAGCCTGGCCGCCTTCCCCATCAGCACCACACAGAAAAAGGCAGGAAGCACAGCAGCTCCAGCAGGGGGCTTGGGCATCCTTGACATAGGTGGGCCTCTTAACTGTATGTGTGGGTTGGTAGGGAGGACTCTCCAGAGTTTCAGGCAGAAGGACATTCCCAGCCCTACCTGGAAATGCCAAGGATTGAACTTGGGGACCTTCTGCATTCAAAGCAGATGCTCTGCCTCTGAGCAGAGTAGCACTGAGAAACCACGGAAGGATTTTCTGGGAGATTGAGTGTGGTCTGGACTAGCTCATGAGGTCTTTGACTTGGCTGGACCCTGCCCCAAGCAGAGCCACAGTGGGTGGTGTTGGTTCCTCCTGCCCCCCCCATCAATTCTCATTTATTGCTCCTATGTGTAACCTGTGGGGCAGGGGGTTGGTCTGTAAAAGGCAGCAAGTTGGTTATAAGCAAGGACCAGGGCAGGATTCATGAATACATCTCAAACTTCTACTCTGTGCAGCTTTTGCATCACTGAGGTTCCTCTTTAGCCCTACAGGAAGCAGGATCGCATGTGCCTGTTCAAGCTTCAAAGATGCTTCAAAGCATCCTGCCAACTATTTACACACAGAAAATGAACCAGAAAGTGGACAGAGTAGGGCAATGGAAAGGTGGTGGAACAGGGATCCATCCTTGCCCCCCTCCCCATATTGGGCCATAATACAACAGAAGTTGCCAGGGACCCAAGCTTTGCAAAGTTCCCGAATGCCTCTCCTACCTCCCAGCCCTCCTGCCAGGGTCACAGGAAGTGTCCACACAAAGACAAACCCTGAAATGAGCTTGTTAATGCTGGAACTGGTTTCAGTAACAAAGCCATGTTACTCGGTCTTTTGCAGCAAAAAAGTCCAAGAGATCTGAGGCATCTAAGGGCCAATTTTTGGAAACCTGTTTGTGTTTCAGTTCTCACTGATCATCTTTTTTTACTCTATGCTGTTGTGGTGGGCAGAGAGTATAGCCTTGGGTCTATTATTTATTGCATTTATATCCCACCTTTTTCTCTAAGGAGCTCAAGGTGACTTACCGTATTTTTTGCACCATAACACTCACTTTTTTCCTCCTATAAAGTAAGGGGAAATGTCTGTGCGTGTTATGGAGGGAATGCCTACGGGTGGCATGCCTACGGATTTTCCTCCTCTAAAAACTACGTGCGTGTTATGGTCGGGTGCGTGTTATAGAGCGAAAAATACGGTACATGGTTCTTTCTCTCCTCACTTAATCCTCACAACAGCCCTGTGAGACAATGGCTGCCCCATGAGCTTTATGGCTGAGCTTTATGGATTTGAACCCTGGTCTCCCAGGCCCAGGCCCAACTGACCACTAGGCCACCCTTGCTTTCTCCCAGTGAGCCTGGTAGATGTTATGTATCTACCCTTGCTTTCCCTTTGGCCTGCTCCTCTTCCAGGCACTACCATTCCCATCTTTTAGCTGGAACCTCAGTGGATGGTACAATCCATGGAGGTCTTGGGCCAAAACTGGATAACTAGGTAGGCTAGGGAGGAAATTGGTGCAGGATGAAGTCACTCACAGTTAGGCCTGTCAAAAGAATGTTACAGCATTGCTTGTAAAGTCCTGTTGCAAAGTCCCATTGCAAAGTCCTGTTTCCGCCTGTGAACAGCCCAGGGAGGTCCATGGAGGAGGTACCCACCACCTCCTGCTGCCATCCCAGTATCTGCTTCTCAGCAGGAGGCTGTTTCTGAAGGTGCCACTGGAAATCATGTCCTCGGTACATATTTCCACCTCCTTTGAAGTGTAAGTATTCTAACCCCTTCACTTGACCTGCTCCACTTGCTCCCTGCTCCAGGACTGAAAGGGAAATCTGAAAGAGGGAAGTTTATAGGAAGGTTCACTGACTTGATGAAACCTGAATGCAGCCAAAATTCCTGGTGGATCCACTGGCAGAGGAAGAGGAGTGCGGAGGGAGCGCACCGCCGGCGGCAGCACAATCCTGGTGGGGTGCCATCGCAGCTGCCCCCCCGCCTGTGCTGGGCGCCACAGCCCCTGCAGGTGGTGCACCACACCCCCAGGACGCGCGCCAGCCCCGCACCCGCCTGCTTTCTGCCACTGGGTGGATCATGACATTTGTAGCTCAGAGGTAGAGTATCTGCTTTGCATGCAGAACATTCCAGCTTCAGTCTTCAGGTAGAGCTTGAAGAGACCCTGGAGGGCCACTGGCAGTCAGTGAAGAAGTGAAGACAGTACAGTACTGAGCAGTGGCCTAGCCGGGGGGGGGGGGGCTGGGGGGTTCTGGGTGCCCCCATGGCAGGTTGAGGCAGGAGCACAGGGAAGGTGCCCCCATGGCAGGTGAGGCAGGAGCACAGGGAAGATGCGCCCAGTCAGGGGTGGCACCCCCTTCCCCTTGTGGCCAGCGAAGGGGCGCTCCTTGGCAGAGGCGGGGAGGCACAGCCGCTGCAACTACCTCCCCTCAGGGCGTGACCCGGGACAGAAACAGTGGACAGCAGGAGAGGTGATGGAGGCCTCTCCGCTCCTCTCCTCCGCTGGCCTCAGCATGTGATTGCACCCTCCATGCTGCATTGTGAGGCTGCAATCAGACAGTCACAAAGGCGCACAGGGCTGCCAGGCACGTGCCCTTCAAATCAGTCCAGTCAGACTAATTGCAAGCAGCTGCTCCCTCTGTGCCCCACCCCCTGCCACTTTGTGCGCCTGCCCCGGGCGGCAGTAGCATACGCTCTGCCATTGGTCCTGAGCTAGCTGGACCAGCGGCCCAATGCCATATAAGGGAGCTTCCAATGTTCATACCCAGACACAGCTGTTCTCTCCATCTGTACGTCCGGCTAGCCACACCATAATGACTGCACCAACCTGTCCTCCTCTGTTCCTGCCTTCTCTGCCTATTTGAAGGCAGCTTCCCCTCCAGATGTTTGGATTGCAGCTTTCACCAGCCACCCAGCATCAAAAGGCTCTGGGTAGGCACCCTGAGTAGGGTACCAGGTGTCTGTCTGTCTCTCTTTCTCGGGTTCCAGATTGTCGTCTTCGAGCAGGAGAATTTCCAGGGTCGCTGCCATGAGCTGAATGCGGCTTGTCCCAATTTGAAGGAGGTTGGGCTAGAGAAAGTGGGCTCCATCCTGGTGCATTCAGGCCCGTAAGTCTCCCCCTGTGCGAACAGGGGTTGGGAAAGATGCAAGGGCAAGCTTCTGTGCCACGGTGGGGTTGGGTCACACAGCTAGAAGGAGCTTCGTTTTTGACACTGCACAATTTCATGCAAGTGTCTTGTTTGTCCTTCAAAGGGCAAAATGAGGAGAACCTCCTGCCTCTTCGGATAATTATCTCAGATAGCCTCTGAGGTGAATCATGCTCCAACATGACTGTCATTTCAATGATGAGCAAATATGACACTCTTAGCCCTTTGTGGGAGAAGGAATGATGTATTTGGAGGAATGAGATTCCTTCAGCTCCAACTTTCATTTTAATTTTATTTCAGCAATTTTTGTTAGGGTGAGGTTTTGGGTTTGAGTTTATGAATGTATGGATCATTTGAGCAAGTTTGGGGTTATTCTGGGTTTAAGGCTGTTTATTTCCTGTTAGGTGAAGAATAGGTTGCAAATAGCAGAAGTAAATAAATAATTGAATTAAAATGTTGGAGTAGTTCCCCTCCTCTACACCAGAGGCATACACCAGAGATTTTCTTCTAAATCTGAAGTCAGGACAGATAATTTATCTGTACAGTGGTACCTCGGGTTAAGAATTTAATTCGTTCTGGAGGTCCATTCTTAACCTGAAACTGTTCTTAACCTGAGATACCATTTTAGCTAATGGGGCCTCCCACTGCCACTGTGCTGCCACTGCACAATTTCTGTTCTCATCCTGAAGCAAAGTTCTTAACCCGAGGTACTATTTCTGGGTTAGCGGAGTCTGTAACCTGAAGCATCTGTAACCCCAGATACCACTGTACTGCCAGGAAAAAGTTAGTTCTGCTCCAGCTGATGGAGATTTTTGTGGGGGGTATCTCTGTGCTTTTCCAGATGGGTTGGTTATGAGCAGGTGAACTGCAAAGGGGAGCAATTTGTCTTTGAGAAAGGAGAATATCCCCGCTGGGACTCGTGGACCAACAGCCGGAGGAGCGACAGCATCTCTGCCTTGAGGCCCATCAAAGTGGTGAGGAGGTGGGGAGGGAGGGAGACATTCTGGCTGGTGGCAGGCAGCACTCATGTAGCGAATGTTCTGGGCTGGATACAAGAATGGGCAGGTTTGGCTTCATGCCTGGTGGAGTCACAAGGGTCTGCAGCTGATCTTAGAAGATTTTGGAGTGGGCAGATGGAATCACTGAGCTGGGATCCCAAGAGTCACTCAGTCCACCCCCTTGTAATGCTCTCCTAGGGATGTGTGCCCAGCAACATCAAATTCCCCATCCCTGCTCGAAATATGATGGGGCTGGACAGACATAGAACAGATGGCAGCTTCAGCAGCAAAAACAAAAGAGAGGAAGGAAAGAAGGGTGCAAATGATGACCTTCATGTGCCCTTTGTGGTTTGTTATTCCAGTTGGAAGGTGGGTCATGGCTTTATCTGCAAAGCAAAACTCTGAATCAGTGACACAAGTCATGCTTTCACAGGAACCACTTGGAGGAAAGAGGGGTTTTGTGGGCAGGGGGAGATGTAATATTCTGGAACACACAATAGCCTAGTTTTATGAGAGAGATTTCTCCCTACCACCACCAACCATATACTTGTGAGGAGGGCCCACCCATGGTGTGTTACTGTTTGGGTGGCTTTCAATGATTAAAAATGCAATGCATTAAAATTCATGCATGGTATTTTCAGTGCTATTTTTCTAGAAAAAGAGCCAGAACTCACCACGGACACCTCCCTTGTTCTCTTATAATGGCAATGGTGCCTACCTGAGAGGGACTGAGTTCCGGTTGAAAAAAAGCTGTGGGTATTTTAATATATTTTTATTAACAATAAAATTGCATGAAGTACATGGCATTGAAGTCCCTTCAAAAACCAAGAGCTGAAGTGACTGCAGCAGAGAAGTCCCTGCTGCCGCAGAAATGTGATCAGCAAGGAGTGGGCAGCCCTTGCCGGAAGCCTCCAAGGAGAGCTTTTCCCCCACCCCCCTCCGGATCTCTCTGTTCATTCCTGCCTCCAAGGACCCCTTTTAATTACGGGATGTATTTCTTGGAGAAAGAGGTTTAGAAGAGAGATTCCTACTCTCTGGTAGGCACAATGGCGATAGCTACCAAGTACATTACAACTTGGTTAGATATTACATCTACCCTTATCCACTTTTAAACAAATGTTCTGTACAAAAATACAGAATAAAATCACAGATGCTTGGCTTTGCAAATAAATGAATGTTTTACTCACAGAGTTTCCAAAAGTTGCAGCAAGAAAGTCTCCATCTGCTGGCAGTCATACAAAGAAGAGGCTCTAAAAGACTTTAAAATAAAATAATTTTTTTTTAAAGGATCATTGCAGGCTATAAAATCTCCCTTTTGGAGAGGTTCAGCTCAATGGCAGCATTTGCAGAGCCCGGAGTCAAAGCTATATAGAAGGAAGAGAAAGACACTGAGGGGGGAAGGGGAGCCTGCTAAGCAACACCCACTCTGATAACTTGGGCTCAGGGTTAACCCTTTTATGCACACAGGTGTGTGTCAATAACTGCATATTACAGCATTTATACCCTGCCTTTTCCCCAAGCTGGGATTCAAGGAGGCGTCCAACATTTAAAAACACCATTATGGAATACAAAGTAGTCCCAACAAGCTAGTTAAAAACCAATAGTTAAAATACATTAGAACACCAGCAATGAAAATGCAGTTTGCCCCGACAGCAGCACTGTCTGCACGTTAGTTTCCAAAGACCTGTCCAAACAGGAAGGTCTCAACCTGCCAGCAGAAGGATGACAAAGAGGGAGCCAGTCTAGCCTCTCTTGGGAGGGAATCTCATATTGGCGGTTGGAGGATGGATGGCGGCTAATGGATTGAAGTTGAATCCTGACAAGACAGAAGTATTGTTTTTGGGGGACAGGGGGCGGGCAGGTGTGGAGGACTCCCTGGTCCTGAATAGGGTAACTGTGCCCCTGAAGGACCAGGTGCGCAGCCTGGGAGTCATTTTGGACTCACAGCTGTCCATGGAGGCGCAGGTCAATTCTGTATCCAGGGCAGCTGTCTACCAACTCCACCTGGTACGCAGGCTGAGACCCTACCTGCCCGCGGACTGTCTCGCCAGAGTGGTGCATGCTCTAGTTATCTCCCGCTTGGACTACTGCAATGCGCTCTACGTGGGGCTACCTTTGAAGGTGACCCGGAAACTACAATTAATCCAGAATGCGGCAGCTAGACTGGTGACTGGGGGCGGCCGCCGAGACCACATAACACCGATCTTGAAAGACCTACATTGGCTCCCAGTACGTTTCTGAGCACAATTCAAAGTGTTGGTGTTGACCTTTAAAGCCCTAAACGGCCTCGGCCCAGTATACCTGAAGGAGCGTCTCCACCCCCATCGTTCTGCCCGGACGCTGAGGTCCAGCGCCGAGGGCCTTCTGGTGGTTCCCTCATTGCGAGAAGCAAAGCTACAGGGAACCAGGCAGAGGGCCTTCTCGGTAGTGGCGCCCGCCCTGTGGAACGCCCTCCCATCAGATGTCAAAGCGATAAATAACTACCTGACATTTAGAAGGCATCTTAAGGCAGCCCTGTTCAGGGAAGCTTTTAATCTGTGATATTTTACTGTATTTTTTGCTTCTATGGAAGCCGCCCAGAGTGGCTGGGGGGGCCCAGCCAGATGGGCGGGGTACAAATAATAAATTATTATTATTATTATTATTATTATTATTATTATTCTGGGAGCAGCTGTAGAAAAGACACATTCTTGGGTCACCACCAGCTGTGTTTCTGATGCTGTTGGGACCAAGATCTCACTCAAAGATCTCACCCAAAGATCTTAACACCTGGGCAGGTTTGCGTGGGGAGATGTGATCTTTCAGGTAGCCTGGGCCCAATCATATAGGACTTTGTAAGTTACAAGCAGCACTTTGAAGTGTGCTTGGAATCAGATTGGTAGCCTGTGAAAATGTTTTAACTGGGCTGTAGCATGCTGAGTTGGTCTGCATAATTCTCCCAGCCACCCCTTAATCCTTACAAGGATCCTACGATGTAAAGCTAATCCAAGGGTTTGAGCCCAGCGGAGTGGAGCTGGCATGCTTCTGCTCCTGCCCAGTGAGCCAGGGTTTGCACGTGGCTTTTCCCCCATGGCCTCCTTCTTCCTTTGCTCTGTCACCCTTCCCCCTGCCCTTGTGTGGCTGCCTCTAACCTTGGCCTGGTGCGGCTTCCTCCTAGGACAGCCAGGAGCACAAGATCGTCCTCTATGAGAACCCCAGCTTCACTGGAAAGAAGATAGAGATCATCGATGATGACGTGCCCAGTTTCCATGCCCATGGCTACCAGGAGAAGGTGTCCTCTGTGCGCGTCCAGAGTGGCACGTAAGTCCTCTGCCAGGCAGCTTGGTCAAGCTTGGTTGGCTGAGAGAGCTCATTTCCTAAAGATTCCTGGGTGGAGTGGCACAAAAGCCTCTGAGGTGTTCCTGGACTCAACTGAAGGCCACTGGGGTTTTTGCAGGACACCACTGGCATGCACCTAGAAACATAGGTATCAGACCATTGGTCTATCTAGCTCAGTATTGCCTCTACTGACTGGCAGCGGCTCTCTTGCCCAGTCCTCCCTGGAGATGCCAGCGGAGATTGAACCTGGGACCTTCTGCTTGCAAGACAGATGCTCTTCTGTGACCCTCCATAAGGACAGTGCAAAAAAGGTGCTAGAGATGGAGGCGCAGGTGTGGGGTAGATGAAGAGGCTGGGCTTCGTTAGGGTCCAGTCTATGTCTTATAGGAAGTGCCCAGAGTCTGAGCCAGAGTGCTGCTTAGGACTGTCTACAATAATATTCCCCAACCTGGTGCCCTTCAGGTCTTTTGAATGACAACTCTCATTAGCTCTGACCATTGGCCAGGGTGGGAGTTGTTGTTCAAAACACCTGGAAGGCACCAGGTTGGGGGTTCAGGTGGGGTCTTTCCCAGCCCTGCCTGGGGTGGGTTGAATCTAGGGCCATTTGCATGGGGGTCAGGGGCCCTATTTCTCCTTGATAGGATTGTGCAAATTCATTTCTTCCTTGAGTTCCTTGGGTTCACGTGTTACACTCAGGCCACATTCACACCAAACATTTGAAGCACTATAATACTGCTTTAAAAAGTTGAGGCTTCCCGCAAAGAATTCTGGGCGCTGAAGTCTATTAAGGGCACCCTGTTCTCTGAATGGTTTGACAATCAGTCCCTCTTCCCAGGGAATTATGGGAATTGTGGCTCTGTGAGAAGCACAGGGGTATTCTAGCAATGCTCAGCACCCTTAACAGACTACAGCTCCCAGAATTCTTTGCAGGAAGTCATTGCTTCCTGCAGGAAGTGGCACCATAGCTCTTTAAATGCATGGTGTAGATGTGGCTCAGTCAAAGTGGCAGGCAGTGTCAGATCCATGATCATCCCCCCTGGATGGTGAAAGCATATAGAAAGGCCTTTTTTGCTTTTGGAAATAAATGAGATGCTGTAAATCTGCTTCCAAACTTTTCTTAATGTTCAGTTCTAAATATAACAAATATGTTACAGACTGCAAGCAAAACAGAGCAGAAAGCCCTGTCCACTAGTCAGATCCCATCACCTGGGATGAATAGCTGGGAGGGGACTCCCACTGTGTGCTGCGCTGACTCCACTTCCCTTTTGCAGATGGGTGGGATACCAGTATCCTGGCTACCGAGGCTACCAATACCTCTTTGAGAAGGGGGACTATAAGGACAGCACTGAGTTTGGTGCTCAGCAGCCCCAGATCCAGTCGGTGCGGCGAATCCGGGACATGCAGTGGCATCAGAGGGGGGCCTTCCATCCTGCCAGCTAAGCCTCCCACTCCCCTTCGCTGCGGCCTCCAGACTGGGGGGGGGGGGTGAGAGAGTGCTCTGAGAGAGCCAGCAAGGGCCCTGACCTGGTCATCTACCCCCCCACCAGCTGGGGCCGCCTCTTCTGCACGCTCATGTGTGTGAGTAACTGTTCTTGCTACTGCTGCCATCACCATGGAATCGCCTGAATAAAGCTTTGCCATTCGAACACAGTTCTTGGTCTTTTCTGTTCTACTCATGATACTCCTAGAATCATGGAACTGTAGCATTGGAGGGGCTCTCTGAGGGTCATCTAGTCCAGCTCTCTGCCATGCAGGAATCAAAGCTACGGCATCCTTGACTTCTGTTTAAATACTTCCAGTGAAGGAGAGTCCACCACCTTCCCAGGGCGTCCATTCCACTGCCAAACGGTTCTTGCTGTCAGAAAGTTCTTTGTGAGGTTTAATCAGAATTTCCTTTCTTAGCATTTGAATCTACTGGTTTGGGTCCTATCCTCCGAAGCAGGAGAAACAAAAGCTCACTCCACCCTCCATTGGCTATGCATTTTTATTGATTTGTATTGATTGGGGGCGGCTCTTTCCCCCTACCCCCCCGCTACACCCATGAGTCCAATCCCCTTTGATACAGGAAGAGCTGCAGTCCAGCAGCAAGCAGGGAGACTTACTCAGCCATGGTATTTTACTTAAGGGCCACTCACTCTTAGATGAACCTACTTCACAGGGTTTTTGGAAGGATAAAAGGACAGAGGAAAACCATAGATGCCTTGGAGTTCAACCAATATATAGATCACAGAAAAATTACAAATTTTCCCTTCCAAACAAAGGCTCCCCCCCCTTTTTTAGGGGGAGGGTTGTGTGCATGGCTAGATTAGCTGTCTAATGTCTTCCTGTGTGTGAGGAAGAAGACAAAGACAAAAACAAAGGGAGAGAGAGGAAACAAGAGGCATAGAGTGAAGATATGAGGGAAGTGAGCAAGGAGAGCTTCATGCCTGATAACCCCCTATTCCCTTACCCCAGATTCCCCTCACTGGTGAAGTACATGGCAGCCTGTACTTGGGGGGAGCTTAGATAAGAGAGAGAGGGGATGACAGACAGAGAAACTGATGCTTGCCCTCCCCCCAATCACACCGCCACTTGCCCTTCCGCATCCCACAGAATCATGCCACCGCTTGCCCTCCTAACCCCCCCCCCCAAAATCGCATGTGAACTGCTGCTCACGTGTGGGCAGCTGGCAGCCACTAGAGTTGCCATATTTCAAACAGTGAAAATCAGGACAGAAAAGTTGTTGTTTTTTGAGTTTTTTTTTTAGTTTTGCCCAAAGTTGTTGACACTGTTGACATGGATTGCCACATGTCCAGATTTTCCCAGACATTTTTTCATTTTTTCCTGTCCCTCCACTTTCAACCCTTTTGGAGGGGTCTCTTAGGGTCACTTCCCATCTCTCCACATCCCCATAGGTTAGATTACTGCGACATGTTATATGCTCAAACCACCTTTGCAGATGGTTTGAGCATATAACATCAATCCTGGCCCAACTGCACTGGCTGCCACTTAGTTTCTGGACCCCATTCAAAGTACTGGTTTTGACATATAAAGCCTTAAATGGCTCAGGATTGCAATACCTGACCAGACCCAGCATTCATCATCAGCTATCATTTTCTGATCATTCTCTATTGCTGTTGAAGGTGTGCACTGTTGAAAGTCTTCTGCCTCTGCTATTTACCATGGAGGGCTGTTTAACCCACAGCCACCATGCTACCTCAGTCATGTGCTGATAGCAGAGTTAACCAGGCTTCCATCTGCACCCCATGCAAATATTACTTGGCCAATGAGAGCACTTCCTCAATCTGGTGATCCTCTTTTGAGCCCCTCCCTGCTCTGTAGTCCTGCAGCCTCCAAACCAGCGAAGGAGAGGCCAAGTTCCCCTCTGTCCTCTTTGCTGGCACAGCCACAGCCTGTCCAAGAGGCACCTTGGGTGGCTATTTAAGCTGAACCCCCCTGGCATGTCACTGGCTGTGATGAATGATGTTCCAAGAAAATTTGCTATTTTCTGCTCCCAGACAGACAAGCGGATGCATCTTGAATGCCAATGAGTCCCCCGTCTGAGGAGGAACTGGGGAGACCAGGCAGCTGCTTTTCAGGTTTGTATGTAAAAGCCCCCCCCCTTCCAAGTTTCCCCTGCTGTGCCCGGGCGTGCCTTTCCCCTTCATCTATCATTCTAAAACATTTCTGTCTCGCTATTCAGCCACACACACCCCTGCGGCGAAGCAGCTTACAAAAACTAGTAGACGGTTTTGCCCTTAGCTCTGCAATTTAAAATACACAACCCACAAGGAAAAAGAGATTGGGAGGGAGGAGGAAAACAACAAGCTCAGGCAGGAGTTCTTAACGTCACAGTTCTTCTAATGAACCGTTGGGATAGAAGAGATGAACTGCTTCTCCCTTGGAGGTTAATTTTGAAAAACAAAGTGGCAAACTGCTATGGTTCTGCCTTGGACCAGTACACTTCCCATTTGCCTGAATAAAAGTACCCCCCCCCAATTTAGGTGGGATTTGGAGCCTTCCAGGAAGAATGGGAGGCCATGGCATCTCTTGGCTAGAAATTAAGCCATGGCTGAGCCCACCAGAAGTGGCACCTCAACTTAGCTAGGCTCGCCACCGCAACTGCTCTCGGCCCTCCTTCTCCGCCTTCCATGCACACCGCTTCCCCACCACCTCCACCACCATCGAAGAACCAACAACTCAGGGGATGCCCAGGCTCACGGGGAAAGGAGATAGAAGCCTCAGAGGAAGGGGAAACGTGGTTGTTGAGGTCAAGGCAGCAGCCGCCCCTCTGCCACCGCCATTGCTGCAGCATCAACGTCCTGAACATGTAGCATCTATTTATTTCATTGAAAAAAATCTGGTAACCTTAATTTAAATTCCTACTTCTAACAGTTTAAAAAGGTTGCAGATCCCTTTGTGTGCACTTACTGACTTGAATGGGACAGCATGTGCATAAGATTTCAGATTGCGCACACTTGTATTTGAACTTGGTGGAGCTTACAGTTTGAACCCTGTGTGTTTGCTTAGACGTAAGGCCTATTGGGGCAGCTCAGCCAACCCCACCCTTTTCCTGTAGTCCATGGGCAGAGCACGTATCTAGGGTGTCAGGTGGGGACACCAATGCAAAACAGAATGTCCATATTTTCATCTGAAAAATGTTGGAGTCAACAGCTGTTAATAGTGATGGGCAAATAGAAACTCCAGGTTCAGAGACAGCAGAAGAGACAATTGCCTTCATGCCTTGCTTGTGTGCTGGTCCTGTGGGTTTCCCTGAGGCGTGGTCCAAGTCCAGTCCGAGGTCGAGGGTGCAGTATTGAGGCCGTCCGTCAAAGTTGAAGCTGGGTCCAAAGCAGGGAGTCGGGCGAGGTCAGGAGATCTGGCAGGACAGGGTGCAGGCAGGAACTGGCTACCAACAACGTTGCTCCCGCAACCTGGGACTGGGGCTGCCTGGGTTACTGGACCCAGAGGCAACCTCAGCTTCCCCTGACGGGGCTGAGAGTGGAGCACCTGCAGGCAATGGGTCCTCTATCACCTCAGGCGCCAGAGCAGACTCAGCTGGTGCCTGCATCTGAGGATCCAGCACAAGTGAGGACCCTTCAGGCTCAAGCCCCAGCCCCGGCTCAGCTGCTTCTGGAGGCGGGGAATCCTGTGCAGGTTGGGGTTCCTCAGGTTCAGCTTCCGAGTCCGAATCCCAGGCCATCACAGCTTGTGATGGCCTTTGTGAGAAGCAGGATGAGAGTCTCTGGACTCTTTGCCTACCACCCCACCTTTGTTGTGTAAAACTCACCCGTGGTGCTCCTACCATGGTGCCCATGTCCCAGCCAAGGACTATTTTTATCCATCTCCTGTGTTTATAGTTTTGAGTGTGGTTTTAAATCTTCTCCTTCATGTGAAATGTATTTTCTTCCCTCCAATAATTTTCCATTTCATGGTCTGAGCCGCAGCAGCCAAGTCTCCAGATTAGAACTGAGAAGGAAATGAGCTGTGACGGATGGACCCCTTGCCGTGGAGGGTACCAGGCCTCTTTCTTGTCAGTTGGGGGGCCGAGCGGGTGGCCCACAGTTGAGGGAGGTGGAGGGGCTGTCTTTGCAGCCCTCAGCCCAAAGAGCTACTCAGTAGTCCTGTGTGGGTCAGAGGAGGGTGGCATTCACTGCTGCTCTTTAGCACCACTAGGCTCTCATGCCCAGGCTAGCCTCTATCCAAAAGGAAGGTGCGTCCCAATCCACCCACAAGAAATTCTCCTTCTCCAGCCTCATGGGAATGAAAAAAGACTGAGACATTCCCCCCTGAGATGTAGTGATTAGGAAACTTGACCTGTTGAATGTCCTTGGCACACAGCTCTTAGAACTACACCCCCCTGGCCTGCTTCCTTGCAATCTAAAATACATAACACAAAAGGAAAAAGAGATGAGGAGGGAAGAGGATATCCTGCTCCCCAACATAAATCCTGGCTATGTCCATCCTTAGTGGGGCTGCTGGAAGGTCATGGGTGGCAAATGAGCAGCAGCAAGTGGGTGGTCAAGTTGGTTGAAGGAAGCAAAGAAAGAAAGAAAGAAAGAAAGAAAGAAAGAAAGAAAGAAAGAAAAGAAAGAAAGTGTTCCATTTTGGGAAGTGTGAATGATGGAAGTTTGCAAATATGAACTGAACTGTCTTTCTCCCTCTCTCCCAGAGAGGAGACCCTCCTGCCATGTTTGGGTCAAAGGCATGTTTCTGCAGGAACATTGTTTCTGCTGATCCACACAGCTTTGGATTGACTGGAGGGTCTGTGCGTTGGCTTTTTCTTCAAAAGAAAACAGATCTTCATACTTGACAGTGCCTGTGTCAGACTAGTTAGCTGCAGCCAAGCCTGGCTGACCTACCCTCCTAGTGCCCCCAAACACGTCATCCTAATATAACTGTTGCCAAGGGAAGGGGGGAATAGCACAAAAGAGTGATCATTAGAGAGCCAGCAGGTGGCCACCAGGCATTGTATAATATCTGGTAGCAAAAATAACTGCTTGGAATTTCTCAACAAATGTCATTGACGAGAAACAGCAGGTGCAATCCCCCTACTCCTCCCAAAGCAGAGAGAGGCAAACTCTAGATGTTGTTGGACTCTCAACTCCAGGCAGCTCCAGGCAGCATGTACAATGGTCAGTGAGG